ACTTTCCTTGCTTCTGGCTGTACACCGGGACCCGCCTCATACCCAGTACGTGTTGGTCCATGGCAAGCCTCCTACTTGGCCTGATTACATCGTCCTGAGAGAGAGAGTTCACCAAAACTCTCCCCCAAACGATGCGTCTTACAGGTGGTGTCGCTGCGGCTCTGGGCCTCTGCGCTGCTGCCTCCGCTTCTCTCCATCCCCATCGTTCCTACGAGACCCATGATTACTTCGCTCTACACCTTGATGAATCCACCTCGCCGGCCGACGTCGCCCAACGACTAGGTGCTCGCCACGAAGGCCCCGTCGGAGAATTACCCTCACATCATACCTTCTCGATACCCCGTGAAAACAGTGACGATGTCCATGCGCTGCTGGATCAATTGCGCGATCGTCGGAGGTTACGCCGCCGCTCCGGAGATGACGCCGCTGTCCTTCCCTCCTTGGTCGGGCGAGACGAAGGTCTAGGTGGCATTCTTTGGTCCGAGAAGCTGGCTCCCCAGAGAAAGCTCCATAAAAGAGTGCCGCCGACAGGATATGCTGCCAGATCGCCCGTCAACACTCAGAATGACCCCCAAGCGCTTGCGGCGCAGAAACGCATTGCCTCGGAATTGGGCATCGCGGACCCCATCTTCGGCGAACAATGGCATTTGTATAATACTGTTCAGTTGGGCCATGATCTTAACGTGACGGGTATCTGGCTGGAGGGCGTTACAGGGCAGGGTGTCACGACGGCTATTGTCGATGACGGTTTGGACATGTACAGCAACGATCTTAGGCCGAACTATTTTGCGGCGGGTTCTTATGACTATAACGACAAAGTACCAGAGCCGAGGCCGCGCTTGAGCGATGACCGCCACGGTACTAGATGCGCGGGTGAAATCGGTGCGGCGAAGAACGACGTGTGCGGGGTTGGTGTTGCGTATGATAGTCGCATCGCTGGTATTCGGATTCTCTCCGCACCCATTGATGACACTGATGAGGCTGCGGCTATTAACTACGCCTATCAGGAGAACGATATCTACTCGTGTTCCTGGGGTCCCTATGACGATGGCGCCACAATGGAAGCCCCGGGCACCCTGATCAAGCGGGCCATGGTCAATGGTATCCAAAATGGTCGTGGTGGAAAAGGCTCGGTTTTTGTGTTTGCGGCTGGTAACGGTGCCATTCATGACGATAACTGTAACTTTGACGGTTACACCAACAGTATCTACAGCATCACGGTGGGTGCCATTGATCGGGAGGGTAACCATCCTCCGTATTCGGAATCCTGCTCGGCGCAACTGGTGGTTGCCTACAGCAGCGGCGCCAGTGATGCAATTCATACCACGGACGTCGGCACAGACAAGTGCTCGACTACCCATGGTGGAACTTCGGCGGCCGGCCCGCTCGCTGCGGGAACCGTGGCGCTGGCCCTCAGTGTGCGGCCGGAACTCACCTGGCGTGACGTTCAGTATTTGATGATTGAGGCGGCAGTGCCTGTTCATGAAGATGATGGAAGCTGGCAGGACACTAAGAACGGGAAGAAGTTCAGCCATGACTGGGGATATGGTAAGGTCGACACATATACGCTGGTGAAACGGGCAGAGACCTGGGATCTGGTGAAGCCTCAAGCCTGGCTCCATTCCCCCTGGCAGCGGGTTGAGCATGAGATCCCACAGGGCGAGCAGGGCTTGGCTAGTTCGTACGAGGTGACGGAGGATATGTTGAAGGGAGCCAACCTGGAACGGCTGGAGCATGTCACGGTCACCATGAATGTTAACCACACCCGCCGAGGCGATCTCAGCGTGGAGTTACGGAGCCCTGACGGTCGGGTCAGTCACCTCAGTACGCCCCGGCGGCCAGATAATCAAGAGGTGGGCTATGTTGACTGGACCTTCATGAGCGTTGCTCACTGGTAAGTAAACTTTTTCTCGGTTGTCGGTTCTTCTGCTAATACATATCTAGGGGCGAGTCCGGGATTGGCAAATGGACTGTGATTGTCAAGGACACCAATGTCAACGAGCATACTGGGCAATTCATCGATTGGCGACTCAACTTGTGGGGCGAGGCGATTGACGGAGCCGAGCAGCCTCTCCACCCCATGCCTACTGAACACGATGACGACCACAGCTATGAGGAAGGAAACGTGGCTACCACGAGCATCAGCGCCGTTCCCACGAAAACCGAGCTGCCTGACAAGCCCACTGGTGGCGTTGATCGCCCGGTGAACGTTAAGCCTACAACATCCGCGATGCCGACCGGTAGTCTTACAGAGCCCATCGATGATGAAGAACTCCAGAAGACCCCTAGTACAGAGGCAAGCTCAACACCAAGTCCTTCTCCGACCACCGCGTCAGATAGTATCCTGCCTTCCTTCTTCCCCACGTTCGGTGCGTCGAAGCGGACGCAAGTTTGGATCTACGCTGCGATCGGCTCCATCATTGTGTTCTGCATTGGCCTGGGCGTCTACTTCCATGTGCAGCGCCGCAAACGTATTCGCGACGACAGCCGGGATGACTACGATTTCGAGATGATCGAGGACGAGGATGAGCTACAGGCAATGAACGGACGGTCGAACCGTTCACGTCGCCGGGGTGGCGAGCTGTACAATGCTTTTGCGGGCGAGAGCGATGAGGAACCGTTATTCAGTGATGAGGATGATGAACCGTATCGGGATCGGGGGATCAGCGGCGAACAAGAACGGGAGGGCGCAGATGGAGAGCATTCTCGGAGATGAAGTGCAGTAGATGAGGGTTGATTTTATTTCGGACAGTGTTTCTTACTTGTTGGATGACCTGCGTTGAACAATATTCCTGCTGTGTATGCTGCATAGAGAAAGCGTGTATATACCATGTATGTGTGCATCATCTTTGATCGGGTTATTATTCTTCATCTGCCATGGTTTGTGATCTCCGGAATAGTACCAAAGGAACACTAAATTAAGGGTCTTGGCGATGACGCTTCCCGTCGCTGCTTTTGACTTCCTCCGCATCTCGTCTCTCCTGCTGTTGACCGCCCGCCAACCAACCTCCATCTCCTCACTCCTCCCACCTTAATCTTGCTGTCCTGCTTCTAGAGCCCCCCAGTTTAATTTAAAAACCGGCTTTTCCTAGCTCCACGTATTGTACCTCGCACTGATCCCCATCTCCACCCACTCCAACGCTACCGACCCAGCCTTCTCTGCCGGCTCCAGGCGGCAGGCAATCAAACCAACCCCTCGATGGATCAGCACGACGACTTCGACAGCGTCTCGTGGAGGCATGACCCGGACAGCGATCTCTCGCGACCCACGACCTCCGGAACAGACACAGAGGAACAGGCGCCATACACTCACGATGTCAATGGCAAACGGAGGATGAGCAACGCTCAAGAAAGCCCTCAGGCTGGACCACTGGCGGATGCCGTCGACCTGGCGGGCATCGGCGACGGCGTACTAGAGTGTCGGGTAGATTCACCGTTGAAGGAGAATGATGGAACGAAAGACGCTTATATCTCCTATTTGGTTACAACTACGGTGGGTTATCTTTACCTTCAGTGATCTCAGATGGAAAAGGCTGTGCGGTTGCAGTGCATGCTGACTAGAATGATAGACCGATTTCAAGTCCTTCCAGAAACCCGAGTTCACCGTGCGACGCAGATTCACCGACTTCTACTTCCTATACAAGACACTTTATCGCGAATACCCTGCCTGCGCCGTCCCGCCGCTGCCGGATAAGCATAAGATGGAGTATGTCCGCGGCGATCGGTTCGGACCCGAATTCACTACCCGGCGAGCATGGTCTTTACATCGCTTTTTGAAACGGCTTACGCTGCATCCCGTGCTTCGTCGCGCACCGTTACTGGCCATCTTCCTGGAATCGCCCGACTGGAATGCACACATGCGGTTGCGGTCCACGCGCAACTCGACCAGCACCTCGGACGGCAGCGGGGTCCCTGGGATCTTTGACAACTTTACCGACACCTTTGTCAACGCTTTCACCAAGGTGCATAAGCCGGATAAGCGGTTTATTGAAGTGCGGGAGAAGGCCGATAAACTGGACGAGGACCTCAATCATGTGGAGAAGATTGTAGCCCGAGTGGCTCGGCGGGAATCGGATCTTGAGGCAGACTATAATGACCTGGCTACGCAGTTCCGCAAACTTGTACCCCTGGAACCGGAGGTGGAGGTGCCCCTACAAGTCTTTGCGGCATCGGTAGAGGAGACGGGGCGCGGGCTCAAGACGCTCAAGGATCACACTGACCAGAATTATCTGGGGTCGCTGCGGGATATGGAGGCGTACATTGTCTCGCTTAAAGCCCTCCTCAAAACGCGCGAGCAGAAACAGCTCGACTTCGAAGCGCTGGTTGACTATCGAAACAAGGCGGTGGCGGAGCGGGACTCCCTCGCCTCTAACCCCTCGTCCTACTATGCCTCCAACCCGCTGACCTCGTCCCCGGCCTCGTTCATCCGGTCCAAGATGGAGGACATGCGGGGCGTCGACCACGAGCAGTCGCGACGCGAGAGGGTGCGGAAGTTGGAGCTTCGCATTGACGAGCTCACGCGCGAGGTCGAATCGGCTAAAACGACGTCGGAGATGTTCGACGAGGAAGTCGTGCGCGAGGTGGCAGACTTTGAGCGCATCAAGGCCGTAGAGTTCCGGGATACGCTGGGAGCGTTGGCCGAGAAGCAGATCGAGTTCTACCAGGGGGTACTGAATACCTGGGAACGATTTGTGGCTGAGATGGAGGGAGATCTGGAAGAAGAGCATGACCCAGGCACGGAGGCCAGGTGATACTTTAACTACTACCACCATTACTACACTTAGGTACTACTGATTATGACACTGTGATATCGCACTAGCCATGTTGTCGCTTAATGAGGGTTTCGTTTCTCTTATTATCATTGTGGAAGGAGATTGTTGCTTCTGAATGAATAATCATCACGACGTTGCATTTTCTATCTTTCTTTCTTTATTCCCTCCTTTTACTCGTCCGGTAGAAATCCATAATCATCCTCATCCTCAGATTACCATAATACCCAATTAGTTCCCCACCAACCTCTCCCTAACCCTCTGACTTTCCGCCCACTCCAAATCAAGGGGACTCGGATCCCTCTGCGCATTAGGATCCACGACTGCCGGGTCCAGCGCGCGAGTCGTATGTCTCCGTACGATATTCTATATCACCCCACACCAGACAGGCACTTGGATATCAGACAACTAAACTTCGCGCAAATGCACAACATAGCAACACATAATAGAATCATGAAATTTGATTCGGAAAGATAGAGTAAGGGGTAACCAACCTCTCTATACACCTGATTTGGCGTCTTGCTTCTGTTCTTGTCCTTGCGGGTGTCATCACCATCATCACCGGACATCAAATGGAGGTAGACTTCATGATCATAGTCGATTCTCTGCGATGATGGGTTGGCGAAGTTGGCGGATAGATGGGGTCTCTCTTCTTGGGGTTGGGATTGAGGTTGGGTTTTGGGTTTGGGTTTTTTGGTTGTAGTGGTGTTGGATGAGGACATTGTGTCTTGTTTCTGTGTATAGTAGGTAGGGTTGTATGTATAAGGCGAGTAACTGAGTGAGGAAAGTGTGATATTAAAGTTGGGAAGAAAATTCAATTGGGTTGTAGGGCTGTGTCTGGTACTAATATACTTTAAAGTTCTTCAGGGTTTACTAGTTATCTTCTGCTTGAGGGGGTTTATTTGCCTTCTGCAGTGGAATGGAATGGGTGCATTGTGGCGGAGTGAGTGCATGGTGGCAGTGGCAGTGAGAGTACATAAGTGAGAGTGAGATTGGGAGTCAGGGGGGGATGGAATGGATGGCATGTTGCATTTTGTGGGATTTGATGGTATGCTTAGATGGGTATTTCTTTAATGATTCTTATGCAGGAGAAAAGTTAGTATTTGGGGGCGAGAATGAGGAGTTTCTTCGTGTAGAATGATGCCTTGTGATGGTGGTTGATGGAGGTGGAATGATGTTTGCTTTGTTTGCTTGAGTATCTGGTGATGGCTTCACTTTCCCTTCCACTTCCGGCTTCTCGCTCTCTCTTCCCCGCTGTTCACTGCCCCATATCCATCATGCGTCCTCTCTCTCGGACGGCTCTCCGTCCCTACGTTTGCCCGTCTTGTCAATTGGGTCGTCTTCCTGCCCGCAGGAGATATGCTTCCCACTCGCCCACCAACGCTGTGGCCCCCGAGATCTACGATGTCGTCTGCGTCGGCGGTGGTCCTGCCGGTCTAGGCCTGCTGGCTGCTCTCCGTATGCTGTTCCAATGCGCTGTATAGATCCAATTGGCGTCTCTGACTGACTTCTCTAGGGGCTTCTCCCACCACCTCCAAGCTGAAAGTCGCCCTGGTCGAAACTCAGGACCTGAACAAAGCCCGCTCGTGGTCCCTCGATGCGCAGAACTACTCCAACCGCGTCAGCAGCCTGACTCCCTCCTCCGTCTCGTTCCTGAAGAAGATCGGCGCCTGGGATCACCTTGACACATCCCGCGCACAGCCCTACCAGGAGATGCAAGTCTGGGATGGCGAAACCGGCTCGCGCATCTCCTTCGACTGGTCCATGGAGACCTCTCCGTTCGAAGACCTCCGCGCCGTCGCGACAATGACCGAGAACGCCAACCTCGTTCGTGCCCTCCTCTCCCGCATCGCCACTTCCGGAGACGACAACCTCTCCCTCTTCTCCAACAGCACTGTCTCCTCCATCACCAATGGCACCGATATCCCCGACGGCCCCGACCTCTCCGCCTGGCCCGTCCTTTCCATCACACCCACCAACAACACCACTTCCCAACCGCCCACCCGCATTGCCGCGCGCCTCCTCGTCGGCGCAGACGGCATCAACAGCCCAGTCCGACGCTTCGCCGACATCGCCACAGACGGATGGGATTACAACCGACACGGCATCGTCGCAAGCCTCTCCCTCGCCGACCTGGACCCCGCTCCCTTCCCTCTCGGAATGAGAACCGCATACCAGCGCTTCCTCCCCTCCTTAGGCGGACCCATCGCCCTGCTCCCCCTCCCCAACAACAACGCAACCCTCGTCTGGTCCACGACCGTCGAAAACGCCGCCTACCTCAAGTCCCTCTCCCCGAAGGCCTTCATCTCCATGGTCAACGCCGCCTTCCGCCTCTCCATGACCGACCTCCAATACATGCTGCGCATGGAACGTCCCTCTACTACAACCGAAAACCCCCACGAAGACGAACTCACCTGGCGCCTCCAACACACCCCGCAGCCCTCCCACCTCCCACCCATGGTCACAGGCGTCCAGGAAGGCAGCGTAGCATCCTTCCCCCTCCGCTTCCGCCACGCCTCCACCTACGTCTCTCCCCGCGTGGCTCTCGTCGGCGACGCAGCGCACGTCATCCACCCCCTCGCCGGTCAGGGCTTGAACCTGGGTCTGGGCGACGTGGCGTCTCTCGCGCAGACGATCGAGTACGCCGTGCACCATGGTATGGATGTGGGCGATTTGCTCACTCTCGAGCGGTATGCGTGGGATCGGTACGCCACGAATGCGAAGATCGGCGGTGCTTGTGATGTTCTGCACAAGTTGTATAATGTCCCTGGTAATGGACCTGTGGCGTGGGCGCGCAGTCTGGGATTGGATGTGATTGATCGGGTGCCGTTTGTTAAGGGGTTGTTGATGAAGGGTGCTGAGGGGCGGTAGGTTGATTGATTTTGTATTTATTATTATTAGTTAGGGATGGGTATGTATATTACTTTACTTTAGCAGTACTTTAGTCGTTTGTCCAGATGTATGATTAACATGGGTATACTCTCACTCTCATGCTGTATCTACTATATCAAATCAAACAGTAGTAGAATGACGGACTACGGATGGATCACAATATTTGAAACTACAACTTTTAGATGGTGTAGTGTAAGAATAATGTCGCTCCAATTTGACTGCCATCTATCTATACTATACCAGGAGAACCATTGAAAGCGAAAGATATAGAAAATAACCCCCGGGGTATTGTATTTTAGAACATCTTCGTTAATTTTTGCTTTCTTTCTTTCTTTCCTTCCCTTATACTTTTTTTCAAGTTGAACGCTCTTAGCACAAACAAGTTAAACCCATCTAAGCCCTGTATATGGTTTCCCGCTCTATGCATCAACCTTCATCTCACCCAACTGCTGCGCAACACCATCGACACTCTCTCCTCGCTTCTTAGCCACCCGGGCCTTGACCTCCGCCGGCAGAGCAGTCAGATCAACCAGCACACCTTCCTTCTCGGGGTGTCCGTCCTCGAGACCCATTTCCTTGACGCGAACCTTGCCGGCCGCGAGCTCGTCCTCGCCCAGAATGACGGCGAAGGGGACGCCGGCTTGTTCGGCGGCCTTGAATTGTTGGGGGAGCTTGGGCTTGACCTTGTAGGAGAATTCGGCCTATGGATTATTAGTATATAGCAAGAGGGGAGAAAAGATGGTAGGTGGGGGTGGGGGAGCTTACCTTGACGCCAGAGTTCCAGAGAGTCTGGCACACGCTCATCCGCTCCTTCAACATACCCGTGAAGCCCTTACCTCCAAAGGCCATCACGTAGGCATCGACCTCGCTGCTGCGGAGGGCTTCGGCGCTCTTCTCCCGCTCGAGACGGGCCTTGGTGATGGAGAAGATACGGTCCACACCGAAGGACACACCCACACAGGGAATCTGCGCCTTGGGCAGGAACATGCCCACCAGGTTGTCATAGCGACCTCCTGCGGCGACACTGCCGACACCCAGGGTCGGGTCGTTGGAGCGGTCGTCATCCTCCAGATTGCCGCCCTTGGACTTGCTCTTCTTGCCGGACTTCTGCACGGCCTGGGCCTCCGGTGCGGAGGACGCCACGGCGGGGGCGGAGCCCTCGGTAACGACCTCGTAGATCACACCGGTGTAGTAATCGAGACCGCGGGCCAAGCTCATGTCGAAGGAGATCTTGTCCAGCACACCGAATGCCTCGAGGTAATCCATAAGCAGACCCATATCTTCCAGACCGGCCTTGGCAGACTCGTTGGCAGTCAGGCCCTCATCCTTGAGGAGGTTATCAAGGAGTTCGCGACCGCCCTTGTGCATCACGTATGTCTCGATCTTGTCGGCCACGGCGCTGTCCAGGCCCTTCTCCTCGACCATTTCCTTGCGCACGTCCGCCCAGGGCATCTTGTCCAGCTTGTCGACGGCACTGGAGATGGGACGGATCTTCTCCTCGGGTACACCGCAGACCTGGAACACACCGTCCAGAATCTTCCGGTGGTTGATCTTGATGTTATAGCGGCCGTTCCAGCCCAGCTCCTCGAAGACTTCGGTGACGATGCGCAGGATCTCGGCATCGGGGACCATGGGATCGAAGGTACCGGCGATATCGAAATCGCACTGGTAGAACTCGCGCATGCGACCCTTGCTCACGGCGGGCTGATCGCGACGGTACACCTTGGCGATGTGGTAGCGCTTCATGCTGCGGACATCCGGGTTCATGGCGAGCCAGCGGGCGAAGGGGACGGTAAGATCGTAGCGGAGAGAGCAGATTTCTCCACCCTGGTCTTGAAGGTCGTAAATGAGCTTGGAGTCCTCGCCATACTTACCGGCGAGAATCTCGCGCAGCTCGAAGACGGGGGTGTCGAGGGCAGTACCGCCATGGCGCTTGAAGACATCGGCGATGGTGGAGAAGATGCGGTCGCGGAGGAGGGCGTCGGAGCCGGACCAGTCCTTGGTACCCTTGGGGGTTTTGAGGTTGAAGGAGAGCTTGGATTCCTTTTCTTTGGGCATGGTGGAGAGCGGACGAGAGGGATGGGGAGGGAGAATGGAGGAGGGGGAGGAGGGAAAAGTCGAGTGGGAGAGGGAGATGTGGTAGTGGCGGTGGTGGGGGATGGTGGGGGCTTCGATCGCCTGCCGGATGTTTGGCCGCTCGCTGGTTTGGTGCTGCTGAAGGCTACGGCTGCTGGTGCTGCTGGTGCTGGTGCTGCGTCTGCAACTGCTCGCTGGGGCCCAGGGACACTCCGTCAGGGCTCGTCGGGCGGAGCGGAGGATGCGTGGTTGGAGTGAGGGGTGCATTCAAGGAATTGAGGTCGGACTCACCCGCGCGAACCGGCGTTATTGACAGGCAGCCTTAAAATCAGGAGCAGAGATGTTTGGAGGCAAAGTCGAAGTCGGCGAATCGGTGGTTTGAGATTTGTGAGTCAGACACCACACATGGAACGTACACTATATACGACTATAGGAGCTAATACTTTCATCGAATAGACACTTTGGCCGAGTGGTTTAAGGCGCAGGCCTGCTACTACCTTACCGTACTAGCTGTTTAGCCTGTGGGTTCGCCCGCCTGGGTTCGAGTCCCAGAGGTGTCGCATATTTCTTTTTTGTTTTTGCTCTATCGCCTGCAACCTGATACGGTAGTATGCTCATCCTTATTGAGAACATTGATCCCAATGATGGTTTTCTACTATCTATCTGGTGGATAATGAACTTTGAAATACTCCTGCGTCATGCTCAGTGCTGCAGATTGTTTTTCCGCTTCCATGCGATGTAGCAGAGATCAGAACAAGTCACATGGTAGCTGGAATGCTGGCTAGATCTACACATTCCTGGTCCACATCTAGAACCTCGTGGCTGCGAGTGATGTGAGATCAAGGCTGCAAGCGGTATGGCGAGATTCAGGTCTATCGATGGCCTGAGGCTTATGACAACGGCCCAGAGTTGTTGGTAGATATTTGAAAGGGACCATCTTAGACACCGTCCATTACAAGGGTCATTTGACAAAATGACGCTTATCCAGAAAAAAGCTGGGCTGAGTCGTGGAATCCTCATGCCAAGGAAGTATTAATAGTTACAAGTATAGCAGGAGATACTTCGCGTTCGAAATCATCGCTAGAGGGACACCGTAGAGGAATGTCCATCCGGCTCGGTAGATCACCGAATGGGGCATGCGACAAGTTTCCAGTCTTACACAGTTATGCAAAGTAGTAGTAGTAGTACGGGGTAACTAACTCCCTGCAACTCAAGCATATGGACGTCGCCCTGCCTGGTTAGTTTCATTCGGGTGACTTCACTAATCAGATTCGGATTCGGTCTCATTCCGCCATCCGACCGAGGCGAAGAGCCAAGTGAAACTGAGTACAAAGCCGCAGTCACCACGACTACTGCTAGTATTACAGCCAAACCTGTCCAACTCCAAGCCCCAGCCCCCAGAACTGGTTTTTTTACTCACCATTCCAGGAAGAATCCCTGACTACCCGTTATGGTCCTACCGATTCCACGATCTGCCCCCGTGTAGTTTCAAGCACATGGATAGTATCAACCCACATGGACAGGGCGCTTATTGGCGGGGAGACGGTGGCTTGATGTGAGGCAGACCGGCACATGGGGAGATGTTACACTTTGGTATTTTGCACACCTGACGTCTGTAAGGATTGTGTTTTCCGGTTTGACCAGGCACTCACTCTCACTGCACACCTCCATACCAGCCGCCAGTACTTAGCAAAACCTACTTACTGCTTCGGACTAGACTCCGGAGTAGACCGAGCGCGGTGGAAGGTTCCATTTAGACGCCCGCAGCTTTTAGTGCAGGCCCTAGTGCCCCCACGTCCACCCAATGACGTTATGGCTTGTTCTCATGGATCTTCCCCAAAGACCATTGATTTGTCGCAGGCTTGAAACCCAGATCCATGGTGCTTATCAATTGGTAGTTACAAAGTAATAGGCTAACCCGGGGCTATGATGTTACCTATTACTTTGTAGTTATCTGGCGCTTTATCGGGCTGAATGGCGCAGAGCGGATACCATCGGTTACGCCATTAATAGTTTATCCTCTAACGTCGCAGTATTCATGGTTGAAATTGCAAAAGCAGGTTGTTATGTCGACCTACTTTATGTTTTTATGCGTGCGTATAAATTATGGTTTCACTGCCGAACTCGATCCGATTTTAACTTTCTCATGGATGCAAGTGGCAGCTTGTTCCTTGACAGAATCGGAAAGCGACACGAGTGTCACTGGAACGGAAAGGAAACCAAACCCTGCTCCTTGTGTGTGTGTGTAAGGCACAATTACATCCGCTCCGTACAACGCCTCCGGTGTGTATGACGCTAGTATCTCAAATGCTGGGGTGGATGGGGTCTGTGGGGCAATACAAATCATGCGATTGGTCACAAGGCACCCTTCTGATCCTTGAGTTTCCACGTGGTTCTGGTGTAGCGTGATACGGTATGTATGACATCGTACCTATCCATGTTCGCTTTGTGTACACTAACCGCTTACTAGGTGGTATTGATCTTATCTAATAATGGTATGGCCCCGACCGTACCCCAGAAAGAGGGGGTGGAAGGAAAGGTACAACGTTGTAGGCAAAAGAACGCAGATGACGATTGCATGTACTACTACTGGGAATGGCAAAGTTAATATAGAATAAGAACTGGATCGGAATGCTCGAAGGCCTCCTGACCCCATCCCAGTTGCCCCTGGGACCTCCCCGCCCCCTTGGAAAAGAAATACCCCGGACACAGAGGCGCTGCGATAACTTGCCAACATGAAGCCACCGCCAAGAACGCCGCCAGGCCGGACTGGTCGCTAAATCACGCACATTATCCCGCGTCCATGACCGCTCGATAGATAAACCACTCTGATAACAGTGCTGGATGGTTCTAGCATCTCGTCCCTCTATCTTTCGTCAACACCAGTCATGACTATTGCCAAATGCACAGTATTCTGCTCAGGTTGGGTTTCCATGCCTGCAGTGAAAGCAAAGCCATCCCACGCATCTCAACGCAACCTATGCGTGTTTCAGGTAGTACCGGCCGCAGAAGGCTCGTGGGAAAGCTAAGCCATGCCAATGGGCTGGCAACAAATCAGAGCGATGGTGTTCAACATCGACGCAACCGCACCTCACGACTCGTATCTTCCATATTACCCGATGGCCACCTGTTCCGCGCAAGCTTTCTCTGTCTCTCTTACACATCAATTCTCTGCACCGCTTATCTTCTCTTGTTCTTGTCACACCAAGGCTTGAATAGGAGAAGACATGGACAGACGGATTCTTAGCATGCCAAATGGCCCTTAAATGTATGAAGTAGGTCAATTATTCTTCGGATTTAAGAGTAACTGACGGAGTTTACGGCGGAAGGGGAGAACCACCGGGTATATCATAAGCCAGTGGATCCGGCCTCAAATGTCTCCCCCTCCTCTCTTCTGGTGTTAGATTGCATTGCACGGTGTAGGCTGGTATATTTGTGGAGGAACCTTAATATATGGGAACGGTGACGTAGTATAAAGAGCTGAGCCAGCTATGGGGGGGGCCACTTGAACTCGCTAGGTTCAAGATGAGAGAAAGGAGTAGAGTAGTAGTAGTGAGGGGGAACACAGACTGGGGGGCTGGTTCATCGGATGTCTCTTTTGGGAAGATGTGTGGGATGAGTTAAAAAATCTTGAAAACCGCTGTAAAAACTGGTGGGTGTTTCTTGGGTAAAGAAACCCAGGACTGAGGTTTACCAGCGTGGAGTGAGATCGAGAAGACGGCCGGCTGTTTCTTTGCAATCACCACCAGTTTTGCGGGGGAAGAAAACCAAAACATCTAGACTCGGATAACTCTGGGAATCTGCTCCCGTCCAAATGATGGCTCAAAGTCTCTCTCTTCCCCCGGTCTGTGACAGTAGCACCCGTCAAAGCCATCTTTCCCCTCCTCGAAGCGTTCTTCTCCAAAAGTCAAATCGGTTTTGCCCCCCCAACCGCTCGGGCCCGCGCACCCGCCCGTCATTACGGGAGAACCCCCATGTAATATTACCCAGGCAGATGTGAAAGGCTGTATTCAGTATCCACTCAAGAGTAACTGGTGTATCAAACTGTGTACTGTGTATGGCTCGAGGTTCCTGATTGGGGAATAATCCGGCTACCAACAACGTCGTTCCCCTACTCCCGCCTCTCCTCTCTCTGTCTCCCTCTACCTCTGCCTCTCACTCATTCTCTCTCTTTCTTCTCTTGTTCACCTTCTTCCTCTCCTTGTCCAGCCTTTCATTCTGCCTGCTCGTCTTCTTACACATCTCTTTGACCCCTGTTGCTTTCAATTCGTCTGTGCCTTATTCCCTCCGACCGCAGCGTTCTCCACCTTCGATTTCCGCCGCCCGTTCACGTTCCGCCCCATTCCTGGCTCACTCAACCACACCCACTCCCTCAAGCCCTTCCTCAAACGCTCGTCGGATCCGCGGATTTTGGAAACCCTATGCCGAGAATCTAGACGCTCTTCTTTTTATCCTTTGTCGCTGTCATTCGGTCGTCTCAAACCCCCCATCATATAGCCGACCGTTGCTCTCACAAACCCTCCTATCTCTACTCGACTTCGCTTACTGTACTTGCCGTCGCATACCGGCTGCCTCGCCTGCGCGCCGTCTTAACGCTTCACATCCACTCCCCTTCGGTTCCGGTGTCGGCTACTTTATTCGCGAAAGCTACCAGATGAAGTTGAATACTAAGGTCTTTGAGACTTTGCGATAAACATGGGGTCTTTTCTGAGGAGTTTCCGAAGAGATGTGGTAAGTCCTTCGATTTGCTGGCTTGGCCGCGCTTCTTTTGCCTTGAAGTATGCTGTGGCCTTCAACGTCCTTGGGGCATATAAACTCGCCAGGATATGTCGACAATCCTTGAGGGAAACCTCAAAGGACATGCGGCACGCCCTCAACATCGCTAGAGAGCCAACCTGTCGCGTCTTCATCACCATTTGCCACAACTACCACAATGCTGACTGCATCCTTTTCAGGGATCTTCCACTCCTTCGGTCGGGGCGACTCCCGCGAAGAAAGAACCCCTGGCGCTTCCGATTACCCCGCTGGAGAAGATGCTGCAGGAAATGGGTTCGGATTCGGTTCGACAAGACGGTAGTGACAAGTTTTTCGGCATGGAGAACGTGAGTTGGCCCATTTTGCAACCCATACCCCGGTTTATCGGGATTGCTAACAGTGGCTTCTCTTATTCAGTACGGAAATACTTGGTGAGTGGACCATCGGTACCAATCATTCAGTAGAGGGGAGAAACACCCACCCAGAGTCATGTCACTAATCGCCCTTTGCGCAGTTACTGTAACTCAATCTTGCAGTGTCTCTACTATTCAGTTCCCTTTCGCGAAGCCGTACTCAACTATCCGACACGAACGCCGATAGAAAGCCTAGAAGCTGCGTTGGCGAAAAACCTTCGCTACCAGAACTTCGCCGCGAATCAGGAAGCTGAGGCACAAGCGGAGAAACAGAGACTCGCCAACGCTCAGCGACCCGGCGCACCTCCCGCTCAGCCACCGAAACCCGAAGACAAGGACTCCTCGGAGTACAAAAAGAAAATCGCTCTGCAGTCGCTGCCGTTGTTAGAAACGAAGAATAATGCCGGCAGTTATGGGATGTCAGAGTCGCTCTTCACATCTCTCAAAGATATCTTCGAATCTGTCGTTGCGAGCCAGTCCAGGATAGGTATCGTACGACCGCAGCATTTCCTGGACGTTCTTCGCCGTGAGAATGAGATGTTCCGGTCGGCCATGCATCAAGATGCTCACGAATTTCTGAACCTTGTGCTTAACGAAGTAGTTGCCAATGTAGAAGCAGAAGCCATGAAGCAACCTATACCGAGCTTGCCGCCAGCAGACACCACCGATTCCTCCAGGCAGTCGATCAGTTCGGGCTCTAAAACTCCCAACACAACTCGATGGGTGCACGAGCTGTTCGAGGGAACCTTGACATCAGAGACACAGTGCTTGACGTGTGAGAATGTTTCCCAGCGTGACGAGATTTTTCTGGATTTGTCGGTAGATCTGGAGCAGCATTCATCAGTCACTTCGTGCCTAAGGAAATTCTCAGCAGAAGAGATGCTCTGCGAGCGAAACAAGTTTCACTGCGATAACTGCGGTGGGCTCCAGGAGGCTGAGAAACGCATGAAAATCAAGCGCCTCCCGCGAATTTTGGCACTGCACCTCAAGCGATTTAAATATACCGAGGATCTTCAGCGACTGCAAAAGCTCTTTCATCGGGTTGTGTACCCTTACCATCTTCGCCTCTTTAATACAACAGACGATGCGGAGGATCCTGATCGCCTATACGAGTTATACGCTGTGGTGGTTCACATTGGGGGCGGTCCTTACCATGGGCATTATGTGTCTATTATCAAGACGCAGGATCGTGGATGGCTGCTCTTTGATGACGAAATGGTGGAGCCTGTTGACAAGAATTACGTGCGCAACTTCTTTGGTGATAAGCCCGGCTTAGCATGTGCCTACGTCCTATTCTACCAGGAGACCACGTTAGAGGCTGTCTTGAAGGAGCAAGAAATGGAGAACATGAATGCCAGTGCGGCTGATGCGAACGAAGCTGCTGTGAAACCGAACGGCTTCCCCCAACCCGCGGGATTGGCTCATGTTCATAGTGCCTCGCAGATCCCCGTGCAAGACGAGCCTCAACGACACACGGGCCTCCGACGAGCCCCCACCGCACCTCAGCTACCCACACATACCGAGTATCCTGGTCCGGACATTGAGCCGTCAAGTCCCGCGGTAGCAACTCCACCCCCAGTCCCGCCAATACCTGAAACTGCCAACCGGCCTTTGAGCCCAAAGAAGAGTGACATCCAATCCAAGAAGGAGCGGGCCAAAGAAGAAAAAGAGCGCAAAGCGGCTGAAAAGGAGATGGAGAAGCAGCGTCGGAAAGAACAAGAAGCGAGGGTTAAGGAAAATCAGCGACGCGAGGAAGCCGAACTAAAGGCTGCCCTGGAGGCCAGCAAAGCGTCGAAAGCAGATGAGGATCGACGCAATCCTACGGAGAACGGAAAGGACGGCGATCCGAAGAGGTCCAGCAACGGTCTTAGCCGGTTGAAACGAGGCAGCAAGAGCTTCAGTCAGCGCTTAGGCAAAGACAAAGAAAGCCGTGCTTCGTCATCTGGTCTGCCGTCGGTTCCTAGTGCCGAACCTTTAACGCCGAATCCAGTGCCATTGGAGCCCGTCCAGCAGCTCTCACCGCGGAAGGCTTCCCCGCCAAAGGAATCACACGTCGTTCATAAGCCCTTAGGTCAAGACGACGAGCCAGACGCTCTTAAGAGTCCCAAGGGCGATCGGGCAGGGCATGGGAAATGGCGCAGTTTCAGCATCCGGAAGAAATCGTTCAGCATCCTTTCTTAAGGCCCGCTTTTCGCCGGTTGCACCAAGCATGCATCTATTGTTCGTTTTTGCACATAACATACGTGGACTTTCCGTACATACTTTCTTGATGTATCATCACATTTCTCTTCACTACCGGCTCCTTCATTTGGCGATATTGCTCAGGGTGCGGGCATGTTGCCAGTGGATGCAAGGTTTGAAATGGGTCCGGTCCCTGTCTTATTTTCTTCACCCACCATTTGGCTCTTGCCTGCATTGTGATGTCTTCGAACTTTGCTTCTGCATGTCGTTTTAGCCAACCATTACTTCACTTGTTATTGCTATATATCTTCTCGACTGCTATTCGATCATGTGATACCCGTGCCTGGGTCACACAGCTGGGCAAGTGAGGCGTTCGGCGACTGATGTTTTTTCGGATTTTGGATTTTACAAGTTATCTCAGGTTGTCGATTTTACTACCATTCAAAAATGGGTTATGGAGAAATGGGGTTCGTGACGGGTTTTCAGGAATGAAACAAACATCCTCCGCCGATGCCAGGAGCGAAAGAGGGGGACGCAGTTCTTCGTGTAGGAAGAGAGTGAAGTCGGGATCTGGACTTGTCATATCCTGTCTGGTCATGTTGAGCATTTCATCCTTCGGGTCCGTGGGATAGACCATATGTATCAACATTGCGTGGTATATAGACCGATGCAAGTACACGCATTAGATAGTAATCAAACTATCAACATTGAAGCAGAAGGGCTTATTATCACACCGGCTAGTAGCTACCTCAGACTTGAGGTACGGGGCAGACATACATGCGTCTCATCCTTAGCACTAGGAGCTAAGCACTCGCACATCCCCATATGACTACAGCAGGAAAGCAAGCGTCGATCCCTATTCTGTCCAACACATTCAATCCGTTTTCAATCGTACAATGAACAGAACAAGAGAAAGAAGAAAAAGTTGGAATACAAACACACCCTCTCTAGCCCGCCAGCGCCCCCCAGACCGGAGCAAGAATCCCAGCAGCAGTAGTAATCATGTATGCATTTATAACACAACTCCCATTCCTTCATATTATCCCCGGCTCAGCTTCATCCCAGTTTAACCCAGAATAAGCTCGTACACGATAATTATCGTATTGATCACAATAAGCGGTACTAAACAATTCCCCGCGGTCGGTTAGCTTGTGTTTCCCTTTCTTTCTTTCTTTCCTTTCATTCCACCATTTCGCAAGCGTAATCACAATTTGAGAAGAGGAATGACGTACTTCGCATAACAGTCCTTACACTCGCAATCAGATTAATAGTCTTCGCTTTGACGCTGGTAGTATCGTAGGTTGCGCCGAAAGCAGGGTCATTTTGTGTGCGGCCCCATCCGACTGTTTTCAATTTCATGAGTTAATCATTTATTCATTATTGCTTTCCTCGTGGCAGATGGGGGAATGGCGTACTTCTGGCTAGAAAGCGGTCTTCGGAGAGGACAGCGAGGGAGTTGATGAGGAGGATGATGACTGTGATTATGCGATTGAGTTAGTTACTTGTTGTCTCCTGTGAGCTGAGTCGTGGGAGGGGGAGGGGAGACGTGGGATATGCGCACCGTAGACGAGCTTCCCAAGACCGAAGAAGAACATCTTGGCTGGTTGGGGGAGGGGAAGGAGGAATGTAGATTGAAATGGTTCTTGAACGGTGGTGGTGAAACGGAGATACTGGATGGAGATGGCGGAGGAGAGGCGGAGAAGCCGCGGCGGCAGTATCGCGGCATACGTAATTTTACCCGCTGGGATGTTGTTGTCCTTTTGGATATACTCTTCTTTCTTGTCTTCTTGTTAGAAGTATTCTAGACATAAAAAGAAGGTGCTTAGGGTGTCATCATGGGGAGAGATGTCGGTAAGTAGTCATTCATCATTCTCAATATTGCACGGTATTTTGATCTACTCTCTAGTCTTCCTGTTGCTCCTCGCCGCAATCCCGGCCCTCGTTCTCCTCCATCTCGCCGCAGCGCCCTATACCAAGGTAGAGGAGTCGTTCCACATTCAGGCTATTCATGATATACTGTCCTCCGGGATCCCGACTCGCAATGTCTCCGAGATACTGCGCACAGAATACGATCACTTTACCTTCCCTGGCGCCGTCCCTAGGACGTTCGTTGGCGCCGTGATGCTGTCCGGCCTGTCGCAGCCATTCATCTGGTTGAAGGCCAACATTGACAGACAATTCCTCGGTATGTGCTTCTTTCTAGCATGGCTTGAGCAGCGCCTCTGACGATGGCGATCTACTTCAGCACGCGCCATTCTGGGCCTCTTTAATGCTGCCTCATTGCTTGCATTTGCTTCTGGTTTGCGCCGCACTGCCGGCAAGACCACCGCAATCTGGTACCTACTCTTCCAAACCAGCCAATTCCATATCTTCTACTACGCATCACGGACCCTGTCCAACATGTTCGCCTTTGGCCTCACCACCTTGGCCCTGCGATATACCCTTCCAGAGCCCGTGAGTCCCGCAGTGTACAAAAAACGGGCCCGTCTCTCCCTCTACCTCATGACCGTTGCCGGCATCATCTTCCGCTCTGAACTGGCCATCTTTCTCGCAACCAACACCGTCTTCCTCTTCGCGACCCGTCGCATCAGCATTCAGCGCGAGATTATCCCCGCCGGCATTCTTGGCCTGCTCGTCGGCCTCACCTCCGCCGTCCTCGTGGACTCCTTCTTCTGGCAACAATACCCCCTCTGGCCTGAACTCGCAGCCTTCAAATTTAACGTCATCTCCGGCCAAGCCTCCGCCTGGGGCACCCATCCCTGGCACTTCTACTTCACCAACGCCGTTCCCCGTCTCCTCCTCAACCCTCTAACCTACGCCGTGGGAATCCCATTCGCCCTCTTCCAGCCCTCCACCCGCGACCTCGCAGCCAACACCCTCATCCCTTCCCTGTTCTTCCTCGCCATCTACAGCGCCCAACCCCACAAGGAATGGCGCTTCATCATTTACACCATCCCCGCACTCACTGCCGCCGCCTCTCTCGGCGCATCATACATTTGGACCCATCGGACTAAATCCCTCCTCTACCGTCTCCTCTCCCTAGCTATGCTCGCATCCACCTTCGCCTCCTTCCTCCTCTCCACCTTCGTTCTCCTCCCCGCCTCGTCGGCAAACTACCCCGGTGCTCACGCCTTGAATACCCTCCACGCCTACGCCGAGAACACCAGCGCTTCCTCATCCCCCGACTCCATCTCCGTCTACCTAGGCAACCTTGCCTGCCAAACAGGCGTCACTCGCTTTCTCCAACACCCATCCTCCTCCTCTCCTCTTTCAGAGTCAATCAAACCCTCCTGGCACTACGACAAGACCGAAGATGAAACCACCAAGTCATCACCGACGTTCTGGTCACAGTTCGACTATGTCCTGGTCGAACCAGGTGAAGAGACGGAGAAGGTCCTCGGATCCTGGGAAGTCGTAGACACAGTTGATGGGTTCGCAGGGCTGAGGATCGTCCGGCCTGGTGATGAGGCTGTCGGGGCTGTGGAGGAGAAAGTGGTAGCGTATGTGTTTGGAGACGAGGGGGTGAGGCTCTTTGAGAAGGGGAGGGAATTTGTGAGGGATGTGGTTACGAGAGGGTGGTGGGTTGAGGTGAGGATGGAGCCGAAGATTAGGATTTTGAAGAGGGGGGTGGAGGTATGAGTTGAGTTGGTAGATTAGGTTTTGTATATATACCCTTAGTAGTACTACTACTATTTCTTAGGTTTTATGGTCATTGTTGTGACATATACTTTTATAGATGATAGTAGCATCTACAGTGACGTAAGGTAACAAAAACCATGTATCTATACTATTGAATTTCAACTGCTATAGCAATTGCTGATGGTATTCCGCTTGACAAATGATATATGGGTACTCAGTACTACTATCAACCAGCTACAGTTACAAGAAATTTAGTAGTTATATGTGCATACTAATCCACAATCTTCCAAATCATGCGCCCTGCCCCTCCAACCGACCCAGCCGCGCCTGCAGATCCCGAACCCAAGGTTCGACAAGCTCGATATTACTCTTCATCGCTGCTTCGCCCTGGCTCATCTTCTCCTCGACTACCTGCAGACCCTCGCGCCACTGCTCAATCTCCCTTGCCATATCCGCCTGTCTCTTCTCCAGCGTATCAAGTGACTCCGAAGCCTGTGCAGCACCCGCATGGATAGCGCGAAGGGAGCGAAGCCGCTCCAGCACGCTGGGAAGGATGGGATGGAGGGACTGAATGGTGGGGAGAGTAGCGTAGAGGGCCTGGATCTTGGTAGCTTGCTCATCGCGCTGGGTAGCAGCCGGGTCGACTTCCGTAGCGGAGGACGACGAGACGGACATGTCTGAGGGCTCGATAGCGGCGGATGCGATGCGCGCGTTCTGAGCTGCCTTGGCGGCGTCCACGGCACGTTTCCGCGCGGACGCCAGGGCTTCTGTGTCTGCGGTGAGTTTGCGGACTCGAGTGGAGAGGGTCTCGAGATGCGGGGTGGTGACTGTTGTGGAGGGGGGTGCGGAGCCCATTGTTGGCACGGCGGAGACGGGGTTCGGGCCGACAAGGATGTTCATGAGGGTGGTGAGGCGGGATGTGAGGTGGTCGACGGCTGGGAGGACGGGCTGGAGGGCAGGTTCGGAGATGCCGTCGCTGACGAAGGGGTTGGAGGAGCTGGAGATGCCCATGGCGGCTTCGATGAGGGCGAGGCGGCCGTCGAATGCTGCGGCGTGGGCAAGGACACCCGAGGATGACGGAGCTGTGGGTTCGGGTTGTTGTGTGGCGCCTGCGTTCTGGGTGCTGAGTGCAGCGGTTTCGGATGTGGATTTGGTTGCAATCTTTTGTGCTAGGATTGCAGCTGCGGAGTGTGGCCCCGTGTTGTCGCTGCGGGAGGTATAGAGGTTGTCCAGGGCGCGGCTCAATTCGAGGACGCCGTCGTCCGTGGGCTCCTTCCCTTCTGCGGCTTCCGGTTCGGTTTCGGTCTGTCGAGCGGCCATCTCGTCTTTCAGTTCCTCCACTTCCCTGCGAAGGCGGGCGAGCTTCCTCTCTAGGCTTTCCTCTTCGCTGTCGCTGATGTCTTCGGGCTCTTCTGAACCGTTCTCATTTCTGCGCCGGCGACGGTTCTTGTTCTTGTATGCCTTCCGCTTCATCGCGATACTGTCGGAGAAGTTGACATCGCGCGCGTCGACCGTGGCTCCTAAGAAGTGGGCGCGTGCCTCGTCTGCATTGATCCCCTGCCGGTCGATGTCGGAGTTGGAGCCGGCGTCATCGTCTACGTTGGATGCGGTGCGGATAGTTGTAGTCTATAGAGTGTAGTGTCAAGGATGAGCAGCTAGAAGCATTGGAAAAGGCAGACGCAGGCGTGAGGCGGGGTAGCTAACCGGAACGGTAGATGCTTCGTCGGTCAGATCGGGGGTCTCGTAGATATCCGGAGCGAGATCCTGGCCCAAACAAACGATGTTAGTAGTCGGTTGATTGAGATGGGGCAGGAGGGAGGTATGGTAGATGTAACGTACCAGGTCGGGAAGACCAGCATACTTCCTATTGAAAGACATGGCCAATTGCTTTTTCTAATAGCAAGATAATGGCCGACTGGAGACAAGGACAGGCTGGGTATATTTACAGAAGCATGATTGATTGATTGATGGGTTTGGGGCTCCTCCGCGGGCGGGCACGTGAAAGGGGCATCATCATTGGTGGCCTGAGGCAGATATAATGTGGGAGAGAACCAAACTATCAAAAAGACGGGTACCTGACCATGAATGAAGCGGTGTGTTTGCCTGTCATGGAACAAGGACATAGTTGCTGAATTGGCTTGAATAGTATAATCTATATATATATATATATATATATATATATAACTACTATAGGTATGACATTATTCTACAAGGAAGTTACTACGTGGAGTAATAGTACTAGGATGTGCTCGTCGGTCAGCAAATACTCCGGACCATTATTTACACTTTAGAAATAAATAGTCCGCAACCGAGTCGTCGATCCATGACACCATCTCAGCCAAATGGGAGCAACGTCTACCATCACGGTGAACTATTGCGCACCTCCTGCTACTAGTAGTACTACTCCAGAATGCCAGTCGCCAAATCAACATCAAATAGGCGGTGGCACGTGTCAGATGCCTCGGCGGAAGTCACAATCCCGCGATAGAAATGGAAGGAGCCCATCACATGAAGCCCCATCTAGTAACTCCTGCAGCATATAAGTAGTCAGATTGTCGGCGCTGCTCCACGTCCATTTCTCCTTCCACTCCCCCAACTCATTCTTGTACGACCATCGCCGATTTCTCATTAATCATCTTGCGACCAGACCAATTGTTGTCCTGGTCATCATCCCCATCACGCATTCTTACATATAACCGCCTACTTTCCAGTCTCGTATCTTATCAATCTCACCCCTCATTGTACCATCGCCATGGCTGCCCCCGCAGACAGCAACCTTAAGAACCTCAATGGAGAGTGGACAATGGTACTGATGCCCGTTCCTTTATTTCGTAAGATCTCTACTGACCCTATTCATTCCAGGACAAAACCCTCTCCAACCCCTCAGAGCCCATTCTCGAGTTGGTAAGTTCCACAGCCCATTTGTGGGCTCTACAAGTCAACCATGTATACGACTCAAGGCGGCAACTGTCTTGCTAACATACTGCCGTGGGTGTCATAGCAAGGAATGAGTTGGCTCATGCGTAAAGCTCTTAGCGTCGCAACAGTAACCCTCTCCATCCATGAGTATCCCGATGCCGCAGAGCCGTCTGTATGGCACATCGATATCGACCAGACTGTCACCGGTGGCATCAAGGGTACGACCGAGAGGCGTATTAGTGACAATAAGGTACGAGAGCACGATGACCACATCTTTGGTCACCTCAAAGGTCAGTCGCGGTTCTTCCGGGGCTCTAAGGGCGAGGACGGAAAGGTGCGCCCTTATACAGAATTCGAGACCAAGATCGACGAACCCCAGGTCTACAAATTCCTTAGAGGAGAAGTTCTAGCCGACGGAAGTCCGTCTGAGGGCTTTGTCGTCGATGAAACTGGTGAAGAATTTGGCGAGGGAGAGGGGCTCTGGTATTCCAGCTTTGTGGAGAACCTAGATAGCGGCTGGACTGCTGAACAGGTTCGTGGTTACTTCATATTACCCGCCTTTTGACAATTTTTGACGCAGAATAAACAGGTTTGGGGTTTCGAAATCATTGACGGCAAGCGCTATTACACTCGCCGTGTTGCTGTCGTCAAGGGCAAAACCTACAAGCTGGCCCGGCTAGTCTACAGCTTCGTCAAGCCGCGGGCTGAGTAAGGGCATCCTACGTGAGACGCTCTTGTTCGCAAGCTGGCATACATCATGGAGAGGATGCATGGCAGACAGGGTAGTTACTGCCCTAACACTAAAACCCTAGAGGCAGGGCTCCATTGCAAGATGTGACTGCAGAAATGCTGTCCGCACTAGTTTCGACTAGGGATGCCCGCAAATTGAAATATCATTATGTTCCCTAGAAAACTAGGTTTCAATACCTAAGACTCTTCGTAAAACTTCCACATATGTATGGTAGTCACGTAATGTAGAAGGCCGTACTGTATCACATGTCCACTTGTCCAGACCGAGGTACGATGATATCAGATTAGGAGATACCAATGACATCCGCGCGAGAAGCGTATAAGCGGACAAAAGCAGAGACAATTTGAGGTATGCAATTGAGTTAAAACAATCCCATACAATCAGAAACCCCGAAAACACGAACTAAATGGTATTTCATAATAAGAAACAATCATATCTGATGCAACTTGGAAAACAATCTCTCACGAATGAGTCGGCATAACCGTATGAGCCTTAGTGCTAACAGCATCCTCACTCCTCCACAAACTAGTCACCGTCTTCTGCTGCGTGTAAAATTGCAACCCGGGCTTACCATAGAAAGTATTAGCGCCACCGCCGGCAATACTCTTCTTGTTACCGGTGAAAGAGAACATGGGCAACGGCACAGGAATGGGCACGTTAACACCGACCTGGCCGGCCTCGATGTCCTTCTGGAAGCGAGAGGCCGTGGAACCGGAGCGAGTGAAGATGGCAGCTCCGTTTCCGTACTCGTTCTTGTTGATGAGCTCAATGGCGTCGTCTAGTGTGGGCACGGACAAGCAGACGAGGACGGGGCCGAAGATTTCTTCCTTGTAGCATTTCATTTCGGGGGTTACGTTGGTGATGATGGTGGGGCCAACCTGTGGTTTTGGTGCTGGTTAGATAAAAGATGTAGCTGGATAGGAGACGGGGAAAGGGGTTTGGGTGGAAGCTTACAAAGTTGCCGTTGGGGTACTTCTCTGGCTTGTAGCCTCTGCCGTCGAGGAGGATGGTCGCACCCTCTTCTTCGGCGCTGGCGATCAGGTCTTCGATGCGCTTCTTGCTTTCGGGGCTGATGACGGGGCCGAGGTCAGCGCCTTCTTCGAAGCCTCCGTTGACGTTCAGGGCCTTGGCCCGTTCGGCCATCTCGGGGAGCCAGTCCTGAGTCTCGCCGACCATGACGACCGTACTGAGGGCCATGCAGCGTTGGCCGGCAGCACCGAAGGCCGCTCCGACGAGGGCGTTCAGGGTCTGGTTCTTGTTGCAGTCTGGGACTACGGCGGCATGGTTCTTGGCGCCCAGGTTGGCCTGGACACGCTTGCCGTTGGCAGAGCCGCGGGTGTAGATGTACTCTCCGGCGCGGTTGCTGCCGACGAAGCTGATGGCCTTGATGGCGGGTTCGTCGAGGATGAAATCGACTGTCTTGGCGGAGCCGTGGACAATGTTGATGACACCGGGGGGGAAGCCTGCTTCCCGGGCCAGCTCGGCCAGGATCATTGCAGCTCCGGGGTCCCGCTCAGATGGCTTGAGGATGAGACAGTTGCCCGTCACGGTAGCGATGGGGATGCACCACAGGGGAATCATTGCGGGGAAGTCTGCCGAGAAGGCGAGGGGGTGCGGTTAGCGTCGGACAATGTCACCTAGCTTGCAGGACGGATGCAGGATCACTTACTGAAAGGACAAATGGCAGCAACCACACCCAAGGGCTCTCTGTAGCTCCTGGTCTCCATATCCTTGGCCACTTCGAGCACCTCGCCCGTTAGCTGGGTGGTAATACCACATGCTGTTTCGGCAACCTGAAGACCGCGGAGAACATCGCCCTTGGCATCGGCAAAGGTCTTGCCCTGCTCGAGAGTGATGGATGCAGCAAGTCGGTCCCAGTTGGCACGAATCAAGCTCACGAACTTGAACATGATCTGCTGCTTGGCAATAACGCTGGTTGCGCGCCAGGCTGGGAAGGCCTTCTCGGCCGACTCGACGGCGGCACGGAGTTCCTCATCGGTGCTTTGCGGCACCCGAGTAACGAGGTTGTTGGTAGCAGGATCGTGCAGATCGATCCAGGTAGTAGCCTTAGAAGCAACAAATTGGTTGTCCAGGAAATTGGCGGTGTCGATGGGGTTGGCGATGGGGCTATGGTCCGTCGGGTACTCGGTGGCGGTAGTAGCCGCGGAGGTAGTTGCGGGGGTGAACTGCTGGGCAGTAGCGTGGAGTCGACGTGTTGCTGACATGGTGGCAGGTGACGATGAGGAGAGCTTAGATGTTGCAGAAGAAGTTGTCGAAGAGGAAGAGGGCATTATAACAGTAGAAAGGCGCCTCGAGGCCGAAGCTGCAGCTACAGATCTGGAGGTGGCCACGGCCGTGCGGGGAGAGGCGGCGCGGAGAGCGGGGATGGAACGGACAATAGACCGACGGGCGGCCATGATTGAAAGATGGAAGATAAGAAACGTGAGAGATGGATGTTCGGGGTCAGGAGGACAATGATTTGAGAAGAAAGCCCGAATCACAAGGAAGAGCAAGGGAAATAATTCAAGGGGGAGGAGGTGTGGACAGCAGGAAGGGAGGCAAAGTAGATAAATACGTGGAGGCCGTTCAGGTACCAGGTTCATACTGGGTCTGGTACTTTCCCCGTATTGATGCGCTTTCCGCCGAGGTTCTGATAACGCTCGGCGTCTCCAACCAATCACATGGTCACCCGGAACTGCCTGCCCAATCCAGTCATTGTATGGGGTAATCTCGAAGCATACTTAGTGTTTAGCTCGCTGACCTGGAGAGAGCATCTACTACGATCTATCCATAGGTAGTCCCTGTATAGTAGCTAAATATGCTCTTGATGGGAACTGAGGGTTACATTCAACTCTTTGCGGAGATGGCCACTCCTGTGCGAATAACAGGCTGGTGTCGGCCCTTCTCCGATGACGGTGTACAGGAACCTCGGACTCCGCACCCCCAGACGATCGGTCACAAAAATGTGACACCGCTTGGAAAGTCACAAAACTATCAGATCATTCCGTGAACTAGAGAAACCAACAGTAGAATTCTGCAGCTTGGCTACTTTTACACATCTCACTTGCATTAACCTCCCAAAGAAACCCCCCAATTGAGGTCTGCTTGTCCTCTTCCTTGTATAGGCGGCAGCTGATACCCAGCTGGCCTTCTCACCATGGAATCAGAATGAAACATTGATTGAACGCTGCAACAGAGGTATAAAATAAAAACACAATGTAGTTAGGATATCCCTGGTTTGTTTGTTTGTTTGACCTTTTCGCCTTTTAAACTCTCCCCCTTTCTTCCCTGCGTGCTGTTCCACCGATAGCTGCACCACTTTACTCGGCAGAAGAGCGGGTAGTGCGCTTGGTAGCACCACCCTTGCCAGTGTCTGCGGAGGAGCTGGAGGCCGCACCAGTCTTCTCCTTGGTAGCACCAGCAGCCTCCTTGCCCTTCTTGGCGGGGGCAGGGGCCGGGGTGCTGGCACCAACGGCTCCGACGATGACAAGGATCATTGTGACGAGAACAGCGGCAAGACCACCGGCAACGTCAGGAACCTGCTTCACGGCGTTGATGGGGTCCTGCTTGGAGAGGCGGACAAAGTTGTCGACCTTCTCCTTGATGTGGCCCACGGGGTCTTCCTTGAAGCTAACGCTGGGTTCGGCGGCCTTCTCTTCAGGCTTGGGCTTGTTGGCCTCCTCCTCAGCCAGCTCAATGGGGTGCTTGACATCGAAGGTCTCCTGGCGCAGCTTCTCGGCATCCTCGGCGGAGTGACCAACGTAGATGTTGTCGAACAGGATGTCGTTCTGCATGGTCCAAATCTCGAAACCAATCTGCATCATCATTAGTCATCCAAAGCCTTAGCATTAGAATTAAGAGGTACACTTACAGCGCCCATGGGCTCAAAGTTGGAGGGAGTCTTGTCCTCGAAGTAGGCGGGGTTGGCAATCTTGCGGGGGGCCCAGGGTCCCTTGTAGGCCGGGTTGTCAATCAAGGGAGCAGACCACTTGCCCTTGTAGTCAGGGTTCTTCTTCATAGGGGGAGACCAAGGACCACATCCGGAGGCATCCTGGCACTTGGGGTTGGGAACAGTGGGAGGAACCCAGTCGCCATCCTCCTCATCATCCCAGTCCTCGGGCTTCTCGGCCTCAGGGTCAGGGATGCTAGTGGGCTCGTCCTCGAGCCAGTCCTCGGGAATGGTAGCCTCCTCGTCGACAATCTCGAAGGGAGCCTCCTCGTCCCAGTCCTCGGGCTTCGTAGCCTCAGGGTCGGGGATCTTGGCCTCATCAACCCAGTCGGCGGGCTTCTTGTCCTTGGGGTCGTCGATCTCCTTCTCGGGGTTGACAGGGGGGTTGAAGTCCTCAAGGAGGGAACCTTCCTTGACGGACTCGCCATCAATCAGGATCTGGAAGGTCTGATCGGGGTTGACGACCAGGGTGTAAACGGAGGTAACCTTGGAGGTACGGGCGGCGGGAGGTGCCTTAAGGTGCTTCTCCTCGTACTCGCCGGTCTTGGGGTTCTTGTGACGGAAGATGAAGTGAACCTAAAAAAGATAGAGCTGTTAGTCCCTGTTGCAGTCACCTGCACTAAGCAGCGTTTAGCAAGATCTTACCTTGTTGGTGGCACCACACTTGTCGGGACCGAACATGATCACGTAGGGAGACGCGTTCGAGAACTCGTCGAGGTGGAGCTGCTTGTTGTCCTGGAGGAGCTTCAGGTAGGCACCACCGCAGACAAGGGAGTCTGTGACTATCGTTAGTGTCCCAGCACCCAGCATGCGCAGCAATTGTCACACTTACTCTGCGGCTTCACCTCATACTGGACGACCAGAGTCTTGTCCTTGTTGTCGATCTTCTTGGGAAACTTAGCCGAGATGGCGTGGTGGGCAGCGACGTTCTTGACGACGAGACCCTTGTCACCCTCCATACCCTTGAGGACAGTGGGCTCCTCGACGGACCATTCACCAACATAGGCCCAGTCTTCCTCGGACTTGGAGTCCTCCTTCTTAGCGTGAGAGGGAGTCCACCGGGAGTCCCAGTCATCGGTGAACTGCTCCAAGAAAGGAGCCTCGATGGAGGTGGGCTGGAAGCACGCAGTTAGCAGGGCGCGGGCAGCACCTCATATCATTCTGCAGAATTACTCACGGTGAAGGTAGGCTTCTCGGCCAAGGAGGTGGTCTCGGGCTTCTTCTCGGTCTCCTCAGCATGGGCATAGCCCATGATGGAAGCCGAGGAGACCAGGGCAGAAGTCAAAGCAGCGTTGAAACGCATGGTGGATAGCGACCGGCGCTCTTAAAACCAGAACGTCCGAGAGAGGAAGGGAAGGAAAACAAACAAAGGCGAACAGAGCGCACCAGCAATTGAACCTCCGGAGAGGGTAAGGGTGGATCAAAGAGGGAGAGGAAGGCAAGCTCAACAGTCAAGTAGCTGCACGGGGAAGGTAAAGGGAGAGGGAGAAGAGGAAGAAGGGAACCGTTGGAGCAGTGGTTATATAAGAAGACGCAAGGCGATGCATGAAGCTGGGAAGTTCAAGGTGGCCTCTTCCGCTGCCGCTGCTCCTTGTGGAAAGGTCCCGCCTGCCCGATCTGGCTAGTCGCGCTTCTCCAATGTTCTGCGGGTGCAAATCGGCTGCTGGTATTTGTCCGTTCCTCGGGATGTATTTAATTTAGTCAGTAGACCCAAAGTCTAGAAGAATTGCAGTTCATGGAATTGAATTCCAGTGAACATATGTAATCTCTTTCTCAGCAGCTCATAATCTCTGCAGTAGGCATGAGTAACTCAAGTAAGGACCTTGTGGCCCATTGCAAATGACCACATAAAAGATCCGGTCATTCCTTTCCCTGGGGATTGTGATTTACACAGATTCACGCTGTTTAGATAGATTACTTCCTCTTCCGTTGCTTGTCCACCAATGGTCGGCGATGGCGCGAACACACTCCCCCCGCTACCTTAATCCACCCAAAGGCGTTAGTGAGGTGATTTGCTTCTGCTTTCCCCTCCCCGCCGCCTGACAGTTTTTTATTTTTTTTTGTCAAACCTCCTCTTGCCTCACCTGTACGACGTCCAAGGCACTGTCGCTGTATTTTCAATATATAGATCTATTTCTCCTATCTTCAGATTTAGGGAAGATCTACTGCAGGATTAGTGCTTGAGAATACGTGACAATCACCCTAAAGCCGATCGCCCCGAGCTGTCTGTGCCTATCTAATCGATCTTCCAACCACGCGCAATATCCATCGCCATGGCCCAGGAAATCCAAAAAGAGAACAATGACCATTTGGTCCAGTCGTCTGACCCCGAGCATCCCGCCAACTTGATCCCTGATCTCTGTCGCCGGTTCTACAATTGGGGCTGGGTCACCGGTACTGGTGGCGGGGTAAGCACTGTTGCACCTCCAGGACGATCATGAGTAATCGCTAATCGATCACTATTTATTTCTGCATTAGACTTCCATTCGTCGCGATAATCATATATTCATTGCTCCTTCTGGCGTGCAGAAGGAGATGATGAAATCCGACAACATCTTTGTCTTGGAATTCCCTACGCCCAAGTATCCTCCGTCCGATCGCAAATATATTCGCAAGCCGCTCGACCTGAAGCCCTCGGCATGCACGCCACTGTTCCTTGCCGCTTTTGAGCGCGGGGCTGGCTGCTGCATCCACACTCATTCTCAGTGGGCGGTCCTGGTGACCCTCCTGGTTGAGCGCGAGAAGGGCCCGAACGCCTACTTCGAAATTAGCAACATTGAACAGATTAAGGGTATTCCCCGTGGAAAGGGCAAGGGCATGATGGGTTTCTACGATACTCTTCGTATCCCGATTATTGATAACACCGCGTTTGAGGAAGATCTCACGGGAAGCTTGGAGAAGGCGATGGAGGAGTACCCTGACACCTATGCTGTCCTTGTGCGGAGACACGGAATGTAAGTTTCATTTTTTTAACCCTTAACTTTCGAGTGACGGCGGGCTCATGTGTGTGTATAGTTATGTGTGGGGAGACGACGTCGTCAAAGCCAAGACTCAGTGCGAGAGTCTAGACTACCTGTTCCAGCTTGCTGTTGAGATGCACAAGCTTGGCCTTCCGTGGGTGAAAGAAACGTAGTTTGAAGGAATTGTTCGCTGAAACGCTCAATTCTTTGGAGTCCGGCAGTTGGAGGTCTTCTGTCTTGGGCCGCACGGCTATGATGACGATACATATGAAATAAACAACTGATTCACGTGAAATACTATAGTCTAGTACTTTTTTGTAAGAAATGGGGACGGGGAATTTGAGTGCCTAGTATATATCTTGGGGAATGTACTGGCTTGGGATTGGTATTCATCCACCAGGCCAGTGTGTTCTTCGCCAAGTGCTCAAGTCACCGGACTGTAAGCATTGAACAGAATCTCAGATGTGTTTGTATAGGCAGGAAGGACGTCTTTTTAGTTAAACAATGGGAAGAGTTGCAAGTTCGAATGGAGGTCAGCCTGAAGGTCCTCCATCGAGCTTGGCGGGGGAACCCTAATCCGTAGTTGGACAACGGCGCGGATCATCGGACTACGGCAACCTGGTCGCTCCCTCCAACTCCCCCGACTGCGGCCACTCCCCAACCCCTCACGCTGTCTTTCAATTTCTCCTGCTAATTTCTATCCTTAATTGATACCTCTTGATTTCCAACCTATCCCAGTTTGATACCAACGTCTGTCATGGATCTCGACGCTGGCGACTCCCCGTGGGGCGGTAAGCAACCAGGCAGTCACGGATACAATCGCATCGTGCTTCGTCTAACGCAGGTATGCAGACGTGCCTTCACAATCGACCACCACCCATCAAGCATCCCGATCCGAAGTAGAAGAAACGTGTATGTTCCTAAATGAGCATCTTGCATCCCTGTACCTCTTATCCGAGCTTTCTAACCCGATGACGACACTCCTCAGCTCCCGATCAATCGACACAACAAGCTAGCCCCAGTGCCCCCCGTTCCCCTGTACGACGAGGCCCACGAGGCACCCGAAGGATCAATGCGCAAGCGACGAAGCTAGAGGCGGTGGATGACTCGTTTGATCCTCTTGGTCCGCTCGGAGACAAGGCGGAAACTAGTCCACTTGAGCAGGCACCTGCCCCGCCGCAGAAGGAGGTCTTCTCAGGGCGCAATGTTCGTCCCACATCATCTGCCTCCCAAGCGTCCACAGGAACTGGCTTGGCGGATTCCGTGAATCTGGAAGAGGATGGTGCAGGGTTCCGAGGGCCTCCGCCGGTACAACCCCCGAGTGACGCAGAAGGGGCGAAACGGCAATCCGAACCCAGTATTAGCGTGGAGAAAGCTGCGAACCCGACCTTCGATATCACTGTCGGCGATCCGCACAAGGTCGGAGATCTCACCAGCAGTCATATTGTGTACCAAGTGAGAACCAAGGTATGTCATTTCGGTGGGATGCCGTAGGACTCCGCTCATGCTATATATAGACGACCTCCAAAGCCTACCGACAACCGGAGTTTACTGTCAGCCGCAGATACCGTGATTTCCTTTGGCTCTATAATTCGATGCACAACAATAACCCCGGTGTTGTTGTCCCCCCTCCTCCAGAGAAGCAAGCGGTGGGCCGTTTCGATACGAACTTCGTCGAGTCTAGGAGGGCTGCCCTTGAGCGGATGCTGAACAAGATTGCGGCGCACCCTATTCTCCAGCATGACGGCGATCTTAAAATCTTCCTCGAGAGCGAAACCTTTACCATGGACGTGAAGAACAAGGAAAACAGGGAACCGGACCTTGGCCAGAACAAGGGCATGTTCAGTTCCTTTGGCATTAGCGTCGGTGGCGGTGGAAAGTTCGTCGAGCATGATGATGTAAGTTTGTCTACAAGTGCAAGCGGGTAGCAGTGCTGACAACTCCAGTGGTTTCATGACCGCAAGATCTACCTGGACGCCCTAGAGAATCAACTCAAGGCATTGATGAAGTCGGTTGACACAGTGGTGGCGCAGCGCAAGGGGCTGGCCGAGGCTGCTGGCGACTTTTCGGCTTCCCTCCATGCATTGGCAGCTGTCGAGCTGTCTCCTGCACTTTCTACCCCTCTGGACGGTCTTTCCGACCTACAACTACGGATAAGGGAGCTATACGAACGCCAAGCTCAACAGGATGTTCTCACCCTGGGAATCACAATCGACGAGTATCTTCGTTTGATTGGAAGTGTGAAGACGGCCTTCTCTCAGCGCCAGAAGGCTTTCCACAGCTGGCACGCGGCGGAAGCGGAAATGCAGAAGCGCAAACATACCCAAGAGAAGCTTCTCAGACAGGGTAAGACGCAGCAGGATCGTCTGACCCAAGTCAATGCCGATGTGGCCGATGCCGAGAGGAAGGTTCATCAGGCACGACTCCTCTTCGAGGATATGGGTCGACTTATGCGAAATGAGCTCCAACGATTCGAGAAGGAGAAGGTGGAGGACTTCAAATCTGGCGTTGAGACCTTCTTGGAGAGTGCAGTGGAAGCGCAAAAGGAGGTGAGCAGCTACATGCCAGGTATTCCAATCGTCACAAATGTTTGCTAATAGAGATCTCGCAGTTGATTGAGCTTTGGGAAACATTCCTCTTGCAGCTGGATGCGGGTGAAGAAGGAAACCCTCTCTACGGCACCGCGGGAGTGAGCGATGCTTCTGCACCCCCTGCGGTCGAGGACACCGCCGAAGCTACTCCAGCAGAGGAGGCATAGGCGGTTCTTTTACCAGTCTGACTGTACAAAAGAAAAGCGACGACTTGTTGATGTCCCCTCCACCCTCCGCTTTGCGGTATTACCCAACGTTAATTATCACTTTGCCTGCTTACTGAGAGGAGCGGCGCACGTTTGTTCATTTTCTTAGGGCGAGTCGTTCATACGTATTCAATGGGATGGATCACTATAGCAGCGCCCTGATATCAATGGCTCCTCCAATGTAGTATAGTAATCGCTTCAACCTCGTTTATCCACAACAACTTATAGACACCGCAATGGCTACACTCAGACAAAGAGAAGTCTTGAACCACCGATGCTGAAACTCCATTCAAATGGTATGATGTACTGTACATAAAGCCGAACAAGATCTGTATCGTATAACAACAACATCGAAAATAAAAACGGGAAATAGTCCATAAATCGCCCTCACTACCCATCATACATACACCCTAGCACGATCCAATCCCACCAATCAATCCTTCTTCTTCTTCTGAGAAGCCTCCTGCTCCTCCTGACCAAACGAACTGATCAAATCCAGCAGGTTGTCGTCCTCTTCTTCAGCAGCGGCAGCGGCCTCCGCAGCAGCTGCCTCCTTACTTTGTGCCGACTTGTCCGTCGTCTTCGAAGAGTCCTCCAGAGGCGTGTTCACATCCCAGCTGCGACCGAACTTAGCTCTGAAAGCCGCCAATCGACCAGCCTCATCATCCTCGACGCTCTTGAGCTTGCTTGAAGTCGGGTTCCAGAGCAGAGTGTTGCGCGTGTCACGAGTCGAGCGGTAAACGGGAAGAGGAGAAGAGGTACGGTGGGTGAAGGTGCTGCCGTCGGTCAGGGTAATCAGCTGGGTGAATTGGTAAGGGCGTCTAGGACGACGAAGGAGAGTAGCATGTCGGCATTGCGAGCAGATGAAGGTGGTGGAGGTCTGGACACGGGAGGTGGTGGCCGCGGTGCGGCGGAGGGGAGTGCTGAGGGACATGGTTTTTTTCCGCGGCCGGGAGAGAAATTAGGAAGTGAGAGGACGTCCGCGAAGTGATTTAATATACCGGCCTGGGTGGGAGAATTGGACTGGAGACTGCGACGCTGCGGTGATCTTCCAGTCTGTCTCTGGCCAAAGACAAATTATTCGGGGCGGAACGACGGGGATTATGTCAGCATCCCGTGGGTTGCTCTTTTTCTTGTCGCGGTGTTTCAACTCGACTCTATTTGAACCACCGATTAACGTGCTACGGTCTGGTGGCTAGCATGGTTGCCTATTGAACCGCTGAGGGATTTCTGTCTGCGTCTTCATGATGACTTTGGAGGGCTCCGAGAGTCTTTCTGTTGCTTTCCTCTCCTCTGTTCTTCTGCCCGTCTTTCCGTGAGCTGCGAGCTCCGTCCGCCGCGGGATAATAATGCTTCCTTATACTAGATCTATACTTGCGGCCTGTCGGACGGTGGGCCAATTCACAGGTTAGCTGCGCTGCTTTCCATGCCTGCAAATTGCATTCGCTAATCAATTGTTTTCATGTAAAGGGCAATATGTACCATCTATCGGACCAGCTCTCCGGTTCGGTCAACTGCAATCCCGAACGGTCACGAAAGTCGCCGCAGCCGCTAGAAACCCTCAATCTGACTTGAAAGGGGCTCGGCATGCAAATACTGATGTCGCCTCTTTATCCGATCAAGTCCGTCTCTTGATGAGACGAGTCCCCTACCCTGTCGCCATCATCACGGCCACTGATCCCAATGGCCCGGCAGATAAGGCCTTCCGCGGAATGACCGTCTCCTCCTTCAACACCGTTACACTCAGTCCGGAACCCGTCATATCGTTTAACGTGCGCCGGCCCTCCGAGACGCTTAGCGCACTCCAATTGTCCAAGCGCTTCCTTGTGCACCTCCTGGCTCCTCGACAGGCAACCGCTACCCTTGCGCGGGACTTTTCCAAGGGCAACCACAATTTGTCCCTCTTGGAGGGGAAGAGTGAATATGAGTTCGTTGCGCATGAACATTCCCTTTCTGGTAATGAAACTTCCGGCAGGCCTCTTCCGCTGTTGCGGAGGAAGCAGGATGCTACGTCTACAGGATCGGAGGACTTTCCGTTCGTATTGGAGTGTCAGCTCCATCCACAGAGTATACAGGTCCAAGACCATACGATCGTCGTGGGAACTGTTGTTCGGGCACTTTCAGGGGAGTTGTTGAGCCTTGACTTGGAGACTAAGGCTGGAGACCTTTGCCTCACGTACGCCAATACCCACTTCTGGGAAATGGGCCACGAGATATGAAAGACGGCATGTGGAATTCGTGAGACTCAAGCATCTCTCCCCATAAATCACCCAATGCTCTAGAGACGGGCCATACACACCATACTGTTAGAGTGAAGGAAGCTTCTCGAGGAGTTACCTCTGTATATTATCCATACCTGATATCCTGGGTTTCGTCGGAATCTCGCAAGCAATATCTCCATTATATGTACATAGATTTATTTCACCATTGATCTCAGTCTTACCATATGCATGTGAGCATCATACATAAGACTACCTCTTTGGTATCGGGTAAAGACAGTCGCGTAGCCTCACAGAAGGTCTCGGAGCACCTGAGATGTTCACTTTGCGTAGATATAGATAGACATGTTAAGCAATATGACCGATTTTGTGTATATATTTTGTATAGTTTATGATAATCACCATTACTCCTCTACGAGTTCGTATTGGCGCATGAGGGAGGCTCCATATGTTGATTGAGTGGCAGCGCGTAGGCTATCGGATTGCCCTACTATTCACTTCGTATTTACACCTCTCTAGGGTTGTCTTACGCTTCCCATTAACTCACAAGCCAAACGACTGTTTTTTTCAAGTCCTACCATCCTATCCACTAATCCCATTGAGCCACCTTGTGTATTGCAATGCTCCTTGCGTTGGAAAACAGCTTTTGCCAGGGCCTCCAACAATCCTTGACGAACAATACTGTTCACCATGAGCTTTAGAAGATCGTCTCATGTGGTCAACAATAGCCTTGGCGAGAGCAATGGCGAGGAGCTTATTCGCCAATACCAGATTGGAAGCAAACAAGAGTACGGAGACAACAAGGTTGGAGCCGATTATTATTATGAGACATCGGGCTGGATGGCTTTTGAAGGAAACGCAAACTACGACAACAACGATGACGACAATGACGGCAGCACGACCGATGAGAATCTCATGGATGGACCCAATCAAGCCGGCAATGATATAGAGGCTAGCGTCAAATTCAATAGGGAAGTAGCGTTTACAGGTATCACCGTCAATATGAACGCCGCGAAGATACCAGACGGCAGCCACCAGGTTGACAAGATTGGATCATCAGTCCTGAATGAGTCTGTTAGAGAAACGGTACGCCATATCCATGAAATCCTGGAGCGCCGGCCGATAGTGACAGTCAGGGTCATCAAAGGCCAACTCCAGCTTCGTCTTCAGAGCGACCTTCAAGAAGCTCTGCCGTTTTGCGGTTACATGTTCACCAATGGTCCATGGAAGAAGGCATTGATCAAGTTCGGCGTTGACCCAAGGATCCGACCTGATTTCCGCTTTTACCAAACAGTATCCTTCCGCATGGAGTTCGATCCTGTTGTGGAGCCCGGCAAGCATGACTGGATTAAGAAAGGCGTGCTCGCTTTCCCACAGCTACTCGAGGGAAACGACAATGTTTCCTACATTTTCAACGGCAAGAAAATTGTGGCCGACGGTGATACTTGGCAGATCTGTGACATAACCGATTTGCTTCTTCAAAGCATACTATCAACCGAACAACTTCGCACAAAAATTTCATCGCAAGACGGGTTCTTCTGCAATGGAACAATGGCTAAGTTGGAAACAATCATGCAGGATAAGATTGTGTGTATCAGAGATGGCACCGACTGTGACGATAATGAATATAACTGTCTTTTGGCTTTCCCCGATAAGTATGAACCTTTATGTGGGCGGGATTATATCAGTTACGGGTTGGATTTTGGGCAGAGATATACAAGAAAACAAGCTTTCCTAAGAGGCAGACTAATTAACAGAGCGAGAAAATCTCATCAATAGGTTTAGCTACAGCTACGAGCCTATCTATATCTTTTCAAGCATTGATCAAGAATAGAATATGTAATTCATCAGGAAGAGCTTAGTAATCTATTGAATGGTGATAAGGGTTATGCGCCAGGCGCTGCATCTAAGCCTTGAAAGCTGATGAACGGAGATTAAGGCAGATGTCTGACTACCAAGCAAGTGATCGACGCTCTAAGCAGATGTCATAGTCATAGAAGGGGTTTGTGGCCTTCCCTTCACTGCGTGGGCCAGTCACATGACTATTGTGTTTTCATTGCGTGTTTTGGTGTTATGGTGTTATCCTTCAGAGCCTATAAACTATCTGTTTAATGATTCATTATCAGGGAAGTGCAGGATCACTTTATCTCATCATGTCTGACTTCCAAGCACCACAAGCACCACAAGCACCACAAGCACCACAAGCACCACAAGCACCACAAGCACCACAAGCACCACAAGCACCACAAGCACCACAAGCACCACAAGCACCACAAGCACCACAAGCACCACAAGCACCACAAGCACCAGGCTTGATAGGAACCTCTGATTGTAAACAGGAGAGTGATTCTGTTCTTTGGAAACCACTTGATGACTCCCAGCGGTCTCTGCTTGAGAGTGTAGGAAACAAAAGGCTGGCACGTCGTCTTTACAAACGGACTTTTAAGATATACTCGAGAGAAGACAGACTGCATGCGATCGAGTTCTGTCAAACACGGAAACACATTGATCCCATTACTGGTCAGGAAAGGCCAATCTCAATATCTACCGCATCAGAAATCCTCCACATTTCTAGAGGCACACTGCAGAGATGGATTACGGAGACGCAGAAAATTACAAACATGAAACATGGATCATCAAGAGCAGAAAGGCACAGGGCCCCACCCTCGATACTATCAGATCAATATGGAACAGATAATTATGCCTTCCTTAGGCTGTTGCCACAACAGCTCTTTCAACATCATTTCATACAGCGAAGCGAATTTTATAGGGTACGTATCCTTGTCACTCGACTTGTCGAACTATTACTTATCATCTTAGTTACACCCTCACGAGCATCCAGTTCCCTTTATTGGGATAGAAGGGGGACGCCTTGGCCGGCTCAAGAGCTTCGCAGAGGCTTACCATTTTCTCGGCCTAGGGGAAGAAGGATCACACCCAGGTCATCCAAGTGTACCAGCCACGGTTGACAGCATGAAACAACCATCACAGGTTTCAGGTGCTGGCGGTGGTGTTACCCATATCATTACGTCACAAATGCACCATCCGACTATAGAAAATCCAAGGGTGCAATACATTAACTCAAGGTTGTATAAACTTGCTCCTAGTTATGACAGCAGAAGACTCGGCTCACCATCGCATGATCCATGTTATGCTGGAATAGGGTCTTGTGTCACATTCATATGTCAGCAGATGATCAATCAAGACGGTAGAGTAAGTATCAAGAGCTTTTATACTAAAGTCCTCACTTATACTCATGCTTTTGACTCAGATTGAATCCGCAATTCCAGTTCGGGTCGGATTTGATTACAACGAACCATTTCGAGGCGCACCACAACATTGGGCCATCTGGCTTGTTTTCGAAGATGGTATCACAATATTACTGCCGTTGTCAATTTCTCTAAAGGGTGCAGTAGTAAATGAGATGGCCCCTGACACCCTGTACCTCCAAGGCTGGACAATAGATCACGAATTGTTAAAGTGCAAAGGACGAAAGAGGAAGCGCGTTGACAGCAGAGAGCAGGTGGTTGAGTATATGCAAAAGTTTTACAGAGACTCACAGCCTATATACTCGAAATTTAGGTTGAGTCCGGTCCTTCACATAACAGACGTTGAGATGCTCTTCTTACAGACATCTTCCTGGAGGCCGCGCCGTTTTGCTCCAACCTGGACGTTATACAGCACAATCTTACATTCCAGCTACCGATTTGGATTGCCACTAAGCCCAATGTATGGCAGGTATACAAATGTCAGGTTCATGATAAATGCAATTTTAGAGAAGGCACCTCGAGTGTCCTGCTCTGAGATGCCAGTGCAACCTTTCCAGCTGATCAAGCTCAGCCATTTCATACTCGAAAATAGAGTCACTGATGAGCAAATCCTAGCTCGATCCTCACACCATCTTGACGCTTCTGGTATTCATTTACCACCGAAACTGGGACTTGAAGATATTGAAAAGTCATTCAAACATGAAGATATCACTGCCACCTCTGGACGGAACTTTCGCAGCAAAATCATGCATGCACTGAAGCTGAGCCTGGAGGAATCAATGGAGTTCGTTGATGAGGAGCGAAGATGCAAGTTCTATACCTGTCCAGAGTCTCAGGCTTCTGTTGCTTCATATTACTGTCTTTATCACTCCAGAGCGCTCATCAGACATGCTTACAATCTGTCTGGCTCAACGTCTGGTGGCAATCTACTTGCAGATAGCGCCTTTAAGCGAGAGGTATCTATTACAGACGATACGCGGGGAGCTTTGCTACAGCTCAAAAGATTTTATTCGCGTCCCGAGAGAACCTGGATAATTGACTTCGAGTTTATCTCGATGCCAGCTAAATACTCACCAATTCCGCTGCAACTTGCAGTTAGACAGCTTAATGGAAAACTACTTTATGCGGGAAACGTGGATTACAACATGTCTATGAGAGAACTCCTGGAAGCCGTCTCTCCCCACGTCTCTAATAAGCATAAGATGATGGGGACGCTCTTTTTGAGGTGTTATGGCGGTCTGACAACGAATGGCGAACCCCCTTCCAGAATAAGCGAATTTATCAAAAACGTCCGTGGCTATAGTCAAAGTGATGTACAGCTACTATCCTGGTTTTCCGCTCAAGACATGCAATGTTTCCTCAGGATACTTACAGGGAAAGATGAGTTAATCCACGGCAAGATCTCTCATCTGACATCTAGGAATTTCCAAGCAATCAACATTGGTGATCTATGTAGAAAGCTCTTGCCCAACCTTCCCTCAAGGCGACTCGAGTCAGTCAAGGAGTACCTCGTAAGAGGCAAAGAAAACATGGCTTCCCGAAATTATCACAACGCATCGTATGATACTCGTGCAATGGCAGAGATCGTGGAGGCTCTTGTGCGTTTAGTATGAGTTCCAAGGAAGTCTTTTTGGTCGAGTGTCATCAGGTTATCCAATTGCTGTCTCCAGTTTGTCTTCTTATAGCTCTCTCTAACATGCCAGGCATCAAGTAGTACGAACACTTGGCTCATAAACTGTTATTCTGGACCTAGATACTTGAAGATTTAACACTCGCATCACCGTCGTTCAATAAAGCTCTTTACCTGAAGATTAGCAATACTTCATTTCCCTTAGCGTAGTTTCAAAGCACGAGGAGATCATTGACCTCCGAAATCGGGTTGCTACAATTAATACCTGGCTGGTCCTTCGAGGCCTTTCATATATAACCAAATGCCCCAAGAGCAAAAGATCAGCAGGCATTCAATGACAGATCAACGCCAAAGGCTAAAAAAAAGATATGAGATGCGACACCTCTGGGACTCGAACCCAGGCGGGCGAACCCACAGGCTAAACAGCTAGTACGGTAAGGTAGTAGCAGGCCTGCGCCTTAAACCACTCGGCCAAAGTGTCTGGTTGGATGGTGGCGAGGCCGTCAGTAGTGACTCTCTATCCTGAAGGTAAATAAGTGCATGGCGTGAGCGATAGTGGGAATGGGACTAATTTTGCACTCACTGGAAGGGAGTAGCTAGTTACTCTTGGCTTATATTAACCTCTTACATATACCTACATGTGTTGGAGCTAACTGCACATATATGTACGTGATGACCCTAGCAGCGATGATTGAGTGTATGCGGGATGCATGTGCCATGGTACTCTACTCCGGAAGTACAAACAAGCCCACATAAATAGGCAGTTATCGGCCTACCAGGTGGAATTATCGACCCAATTAGTCAGTGCTCTTCTCCCACAATCTGCAAGAGAGATGGATATATAGAACGTGTCATTCAAATAATCTGAAAACTACGAGATAAAGGTCACTTACATGAACGTCCCAGGGGAAGATCAATTAAAGTTTACCCCCAACTAGTTTGAACTCCCATGCTACTGCTCGCTCCGCCCGTACAGCTCCAAATCGCTTCAAGACACCAAATTATCAGATCTGGACACTTTGGCCGAGTGGTTTAAGGCGCAGGCCTGCTACTACCTTACCGTACTAGCTGTTTAGCCTGTGGGTTCGCCCGCCTGGGTTCGAGTCCCAGAGGTGTCGATTTTCTTTTTGTGTGGCAAATGTGTACCTTTGCGCATGTATGCTATGTGCTAACTTTTTTCGTTCCTCTTGTAGAAGAGGTAGTTCTTGAGGTACCTACGAAGGAGCTACTGCCTGCTTTCAGGGCTTGTCAAACCCCCAACACCCCCCTCCCCAGCTATTCTACTACTATAGGTTTCTCATAATAGATGAAGACTCGACATTGTACATCGCTTACAGCGTCTAGGATGCCTTTTCCCAAATAAGGGTTTTTAGATAGGCATCCATGGAAGTTGCCTTCACATCTAATATGTCATAGAGTTAACGCCTCGGAAAAGTAAGGAAAATACCTTGTGTGTGATATAGCTATAGAAGGACAAAATCTGCCAATCAGACACTTTGGCCGAGTGGTTTAAGGCGCAGGCCTGCTACTACATACCTGTACTAGTTGATTAGCCTGTGGGTTCGCCCGCCTGGGTTCGAGTCCCAGAGGTGTCGTTTAATTTTTTTTGTGTAGAAAGTGTCTGCTTTGGTAACACGTGCCATAAGTTTTATCTTTTTGTCTTTGTCAATAATCTAGAAGGGAGCTGGAAAGTGTTGTTTGTATAATTATTGGGCATAGCACGGAGTAGTTAATGCCTGCTTTTGGAGCCTACCAAACTCCCACAACCGTTGAACTGATGACATCTACTGTGGTTTTGTCAGAATGTATGAAGGCTTGAAACGGCATATCTCTTCCAGCATCTTTGATGCTCTAAGGACGAGCTTTTCATAACTATACCTGTATAAATATACGTCCAGATTTATATACTATAGATTTAATACCTGAATGTAGGGTGACAATGTCTTTCTATCCATAATACAAACTCCTAGAACGGAATCTACCAATCAGACACTTTGGCCGAGTGGTTTAAGGCGCAGGCCTGCTACTACATACCTGTACTAGCTGTTTAGCCTGTGGGTTCGCCCGCCTGGGTTCGAGTCCCAGAGGTGTCGCGTATCTTCTTTTTGCTGATAGACGTCTATCGTCTACTGCCTTTTTTTGCGGTTTTAATGATTCGGTGGTGTCCTGCTTGCTTGGAGGGTTTCTTTCTCCTTATCCTGTCTGTCGTTTCTGAGCAGTCGGCGACGGGCTTGATTGAAGGTGCGCTGCGGGACTGTGGGATTTGGCCGGGTCGTTGTCTACCATTCATGTACAATGATACCTATCATATGACACTTATTGAGTCAAGGACTACGTTGACGCTCAGACATATATATACGGAGCATTCAGAGTGTCTACCGGTGACAACACAACTTAGGCGCTTTTAGATACTAGTTACGAGTAACTGGTGAGTTATGTTATCTACGAATCCATATAAGGAACATCTACACTGGAACCACGACATGTGCAGAAACAGGCTTTTCGGCAAATTATGAATAGGCTCTACATATGACACAAGATTTCTTTGTTCACAGGCGATGGAATACCAAGACGAAAGACGCACGGTGACCGTGGAATTGTCTGGGCCAAGGAACCCCGAAGCAGGTAAACCACCATGCAACCTTGAGCATCACGTCTGAAGATGAATACGACCAAGCAGGAATTGGAACCATAACGCAACCGGGAACAAGCCAAATGGAGCTCGTGGGGAGAACCCACAGACTTGTCCCTTCACCTCGCCTAGTTGCCCTTACCACCCGTCGAGCTGGGACTGCCACTTCCACTACCGCTTGCACCGCTACTTCCGCTTCCACTTCCGCTACCACGACTATCGGCCCGCTGAAAAGGGGTGGAAATGGGTCTCATGATCGGGTTTGGAGTCACTCCCTCGGAGCCCGAATCCATCCGCTTCTCAATGACCGTATCGGACAGGTCAAGTTGGAAGGGACCCCGACGATTAGAGTCCAAGAAATCAGCACCGTAGAGACTGCTGTGCGCAGATCGGTTGGAAAAAGACCGGTCACGGTAGGTAAAATCCATATCGAAGTAGTTGCCGGTATTACCAAGCGGAGAAGTCGGGAAGTGTTGCAAGTAAGACGGTGGCTGTGTCGGACTAGTCGGATGAGACGAAGCAGCACCAACAGGGGACGAGGCATGCTGCAGCGGACTAGACTTCAGCGACGGGAAGCTAAGTCCCAGGAGAGATCGAGTGTTGGGCGCAGTCGTTGTCAATGCTCCCAAAGACATGCCAGGTGCCTCAGTCAGAGGGTTTGTGCCAGGCAGGTTACCTTCGGGAGTAAGCGGGGCAGAATCCAAAAGCATCTGCTGTTGCTGCTGCTGGATGGCTTGCTCAATAGCAGCAGCTTGCTGCCACAATTGGTTGGTGCGCACCTGGTATTCCTGTACGGACTGGCTGATGCTCGCAAACTGCTCGTGGAAATTGGCCTCCAACTTCGCCTGGTCCTGCTCCCGAGCGAACTGTTCCGCAGCACGACGCTCTCGCTCATTCAAGCCCTGGGCGTTGGCAGAGACAATCCGCTCGTATTGCTCATTGACCCTGGTACGGCGGCCTTGAAGACGTTCCTTTCTCTGGATGGCCGAGTTCAGCTCCGACTCCAACGACGACACTTCGCGAGCAACAGCGGCCCGAGCAGAAACGAGCTCTTCCTTAGCCAAATTGAGTTGTTCCAACTCCTGTTCGTACTTGGATTTCTGGGTCGACCATTCTTCGAGTTCTTCCTCAGGAATGTTCTCCAAATTGTCGAGTTGGCTTTCAAGAGCGGCGGTGATTTCCTCGGTTTGCTTAATGTTTCTCTCAAGTTGTAACGAGCGCTGCTTCTGTCGGTTCTCATCGGTACCACTCTGCAGACGATGGTTGTAGTTATCCAGTTCCTTCCTGATCTTGGAGATGACAAGTTTGTGGTCGTTTTTGGCTTTCCTTAACCGGGCGCGTTTCTCATTTAGTTTGACCTCGGCGTTAACGATCGAGTTCTTGAGCGTAGTGGTTGGTGATGACGGACGATAAGACGGTTGCGGAGGAGTTGGGATCGAAGAGACTGCTGGTGGCCAATGTGAGCCAACTGTTTCGAATGTACCGAAGGCCAAACGAGGTATTCCCTTACCTTGTTCCGCGTCAGTTGCAGCAGGTGTCTTGACGCTCATGACACAGATCTCTTCATCAGTATCGCTCCGCACGAAGGAGCAAGTGTAGGCACAGTTAGGAGCAAGCCCCGAGACCTCGCCCCGCCAGTGTACCGTGTTGGACCCCTTCGGGGCATCCTGCACCTTGGTAATCGTTGCCGTTGCCCACAAGGCGCCGTTAACACAGACGTAGAAAGGTTCCGTTTCGTCATTTCCCAGACGAGCAGTTTCACAGACTCCGGCAAGCGCGGGATCATCGACGGAGGAAAAGTCACCCGCGGCAAACTTGATAGTAGAGCTATCGACTTCGGTTATCCAAACAAGTCCATCATCCAACGAAATGCCCTGAAGATCCTCCTCTGTCATCATAAGCCCCCTGCCGGTTTTGTTGAGGGCCCTAGAATGCTCGTATTCCCTCATCACCGTCACCTTCGTGCTCGCGAGTGCAGCCCAGAACGGTTGACGGCTCCGGACCTGATTGGCTTGCCTTCTGCGTTTCTTTGCCGACATGAGTCTATCTCTGCCATCCTTATGAGTTGCTGGCGTAACGAGTTGACCGTCGGCACCGATGTAGGAAGATACGCTAGCCCCGGACTCGAACGCAGAATCAATTTGTGTCTGCGACCCGGCAGAGGCTTCGGTATCAACGCGCTTGCCGTTGCGAGGGGGAGCCGGTGACCGGTTTTTCGCCATCGATCTTCTTGCCATAGCGGTGCCTGCTTGAGCCAAGATGTGAACGGCAAGGAGACTGCGCATCCAACTTGGGGAGCTTTGCGGTTCCGTGCGGCGAAACTCGGGGGGCATGAGATGCGAATATTGCGATAAGAAATCAGGCGAGACGATTTTGGCGGAGAGCAGATGACCTATAACAAAATCCTGTATACCTTTACTGCGGATAAGATGTAATACGAGAACAATGCCAACGCAGAGGGCATTGACCCCTCCATTCTTTCCCGACCCTCCTCCACCTAGCGTGATGGCAACTTGAACGTGAGCTAGATCGAGCGCAAAGTTCTGCGCCCATGTCCACATGAAAAGGCCCCAGAAGAGTAAGCAGAATCCATCCATGGCGATCATTGTGCCAAGAGAAGGCGTTCCTGCGGGACCCTGAAAGATGTCGAAGTTGGAGGTCAAGGAGCCAGACGATGCACCGCTAGGAGGCATGAACGTCAGGGAAGCAAAGAGGAACTGAACCAGAGTGAGAACCATAGGCGGCAGCTGCAAAAGGAAGATCAGAATGGCGATCGTGTCGTACATCGGGCAGGACTTAAGGATCGTCGATGCGAGCTGGAGGGGATTGATAGAGCCCGACTTCTTGGAACCGGTCGCCGGCTTCTCCGTTCGCCGCGACGCCTGCCCGGCAAGTCCGCCATTCTGGGGCACGGCGCCATTCGTCTGGCCATAAGACATGTCCGCGTTACCCTTAGCATACCCATTCAGCAAGCCGCGCCCGTTGCCATCCGCCTTCGAGGTGTCCGCCGAGCCGTTGACCTTGCTTGCCGTGGTTGCCGATGAGGTTAAGGCTGAATCGCTGGAAGAGCGAGATGCGGGCCAGTCGACTTGAGTGGAGGGACCAGAATTCGGGGCAGAGGCGCCGTTGGTGTTCCCATTCAAATTTCCATTGGACTTTTGCTTGTTCACTTTCTTTCCGGGGCCGACGAGACCATTCTCATGCCGATTGCTATGACTCTTCCTAGCCGTGGCCGATGAACGTGGCATGGATGAGGGAGCCTAACACCCAGGTCCGAGTCAGCTTGGCAGGGAGGAGCCAAGGACTTGGACCAGGCGATAATTGAGGACGAAGACAGCGTCGGGGAAATAGAAGAGTTGGGGGGGGAGGAGAGGGGAGAAGAAGGGGTGGTGAGAGTGGGAAAGGAAAGGGAGGGGAGGTAGCACCCAGGAAGCGAACGGGAAAAGGAATGACAAGAGGGGATAGAAAGTCGGTAGAGGTAAGGACTAGGTTGAGAAAAGGAAAGTCAGAATGAATCGGATTGGATATGGGAGAGGGTGAGTAAGAGAGGGTGGCGGGGAGGGGAGTGGGAGGAAAGAGAAGGGAAAAATGAATGAGGTTTGGTAGACTTTTGGGTCTGGATAGACGAGGCGGGAAAAAGACGAAACGACGAAAGGTTGGAAACGGATCGTCGAGAGGGAATCCCGCTAAGGCAGCAAGGCGGCCAACCTCCAGCCAATCCGGCCGTGTATGCCTTAGGCATTCTATAAAATACCCCTTTCCTGTCACGGTACCATACATACCATGTCAGATACAGACGGTTCCTTACTGACATTTATCATACGGTACATGACGTACCCTTCACTGCGCTGTCTTCCGGTTGGCTGGTTGGCTACCCAGATACCCTTTCGCTCGACCGATTTTTGGGGCGATCTGGAGGTTGAGACCAGCCACGGAGATCGTGGATGCTAAAGGGACCAATTGGACCTCTTCTCTAGGTGGAAAGGTTGAAGTTGCTTGGATTCTCAAACCACCGTGTCCATAAAAACAGGACTATTACGGGCATAAATTGACACCTGGCTCTTCAGCCACATCATTCAAGAGTAAGCTTGCTTCCTGGCACCGACACCGGCTCGAGGCATCGATATGGGGGCCAATATCAGCCACTAGTTGCTTCGAACAGCTAGTATTCCTTTCTTCGACGACCTGACACAGGCTGCTGGGATCTAAGCCTCCTGTCAGCGTAAGGCAACTTACGCCCGTTTTCATGTAGTTAGTGCTGCTCTTTCCCTTAGCACGCTCGCAAGCAACAAAAGCAAATCTTCACTTGACTTTCCCAACAGAACAATGGAATAAACTATGTCAACCAATCTGCCCATGTAGGCTAGCTGTAATACCCCATCGCCTAGCAACAATCCGATCATCTACAATACAGCCCTTAAGTTTCCGGCTCTAAAGCACTTATGGACTGATGGTTGCTGAACGCCGGCCTCGTAAGCCGGGGGTGGACTACGTGTTCATTTTGACCTTACCCTCCTAATGCAGCCATCATTCATAGGCTCGCAGAAATCAGCGCCATTTAATGTCCGTTTACCCCTCCTTCTCACGCACTCACCCTACATATCACGTCTTACCCGCTAACCACTGACAAGACCCGGGGTTGTGCTTTATCGGGTAATCCAGGACTTTAGGGCCCAAACTAGACAGGACGATCTGGCGATCCCATCCTTCATGGGATGGCTTTTTGTTGTCCGCGTGGGTGATTCCCTGGACAGAGCTGTGCAAACTCACCATGGTCAACATCATCATCATCATCATCAACAACAACTCATTGGCAGCTACTAGGCTGTAGATAGTCATATGTGCCGTCTATATTGCATAATTCGGGGTGGTTATCTTCTTTCTGTCAGGTGGATTGCGTAGATTTCAAAGTGAGCATATGAAGAAGCCCATATGTCTTCTGGCTCGTGACTTGCAAGTCAAGATAAGCATATCCTGCCCAGCTCTCTAGTCATATGGGGTGCCCGTTGGACTTGTCAGTTGACACTTGCGTGGGAGCTTGTACAGCCGATAGATGATGCTCGTAATGCTTATACCTGCCAAGTCCGAAACAGCACGCTGTAAGGAGACCCATTGTCATACCAGTGGTTCCCTGCTCAAAGGAGAATAAAGGGATCGAAATTCCAATTCACGAGACCTGAAGAAAGAAGCAAGTTGACACCGACAATCTGGGGGATTGCCCATCTCCATCGGAATATTGTCGAAGACTGACGACGACATCATCTTGTGGTTAAGGCAGTGAGTATGAGATTAGATAAGCTCCAATACGTAGCTGTTGCCCAACTATATATGGGAAATACTGTATCATACCAAACAGCGGTAATTCACCGAAAGATCTCCACACTAGCAAAATCATCACTCTTCTCTCCTACTCTGTCCCGTAGGGACGTTTGATGTTCTCAAGTGCCACTGCTCAGGCAATTTGTCTAGAATCACAGGCTAATTGGAATGTTCGTCATATGCTGGTTATCAGGCTGGCTGCAGCTTGATAGGCAAGTATCCTAACCTGAATGCCGTTTTCACGGACAGAGATCGACTAGCCTTGGAATCGGATGGATGATCGACCGTTTCTACCCTAAAGTGGACAGACGCGTTGACTAAATTGAAGGGTTTGCCGGTCGAGCCCCGCAAGCCTTGTCAGATGATTACCAGGGATATCCCGTCCATTTGTCGTGTCGTTGTGGCTGTAACACAGGGTATTGGACCCTTGATTGCTAGTAGTATTACAGTGTGACACAAGATGTAGATACACTTGTGTCTTTTCGTAGGTGAGTGTTTTTGCCTGTCGTGAGCCTCATCATCCAAGACCGGCGTCAAAGCTTGGAAAACCAAGCAATTAGCTGGGACACTGGAACTGATACCGATCCGGGAAAGCTTCCGATCAGAGGCACTAGGCGGGAGGGTCTAGAAGAGACTCTGTGGCGCAAATGGAGCGGGTCAAGCCGTGACGAACCAACAAATTGTAATCGGATTCCACGGCAACCATGATCCTGTATCACTGCACCAACTATGTGTGTAACTTCTCGAGATGGCTAGAGAAGCTATTTATTCATTCGTATGCTTGTAGCCCGAGGATTTAGAGCATTCAAGCGTTGTGCCTGCGTACCAGTTTTCATTGTAAAAAGAGCTCGGCCAAGCATCACATGGCGGTTGTGGACCTGAGCTTCGGCCTCAAGTGCAAAGTAGTTTTCAGCTGCCGACAACCGAGCCGAGTCAACCGGGCTCTTCAATCGACAGACCAATTCTTGAAACATCAATGCTACACCTTCATAGAAAATCTGGGATTGACCGATTTGTAGACAAGTGTAAAACTTTCTCGCAGTCAACGTAAGTTGCGCTAGGGCTGTTCCCTATGGTTGATGAAGCTAAATAGGATGGCCAATGCACGAGCTGAGAGGTGTACCGGCAGATATCCTCTCCAGGCAAATTAACAGCAGCATGAAGAGATTTGGCGTCAGTATTATTGCTTCATGAGTCGCAAGCAGGCTTGGGTCAACCCGAATGGCCATGTTCTCGCTGTGCTCTATCGTCTTGCAGAGACCATGTTGAATATAGGCCTCTCAAGACGTGTTCTTCTGTCTTGGCTACTTGAGCCGAGGTCTATGCCACTATTGACCATACTGAAGTATAATGAGCAATTGACGGCGTCGCCTTGATTCAGCCTAAAATCTGACATGAGGCTGGACGATGCAGTTGGAGGGGATGTTATAGCAAGAATAATGATTAGCGAAATCATGAGGACAGCACGTCCGCCGTGCTCAGAATAACCTAGACTATTTGCATTGTGTTTGGATCTTGATCGTCATAGTTTTCTCCTGGGTCAGGTAGTGGCGTTAATTGACCTCATTCCAGATGTCTAGAGAGACAAATTGCCAGTTTAAAGAGTGTGGGGGGAGACGGGAAGTGATGAGGAGGTCTCAAGTTATATCGGATCAAAAATATAAAAGTAAGGATATACAAAGAGCATTATGTCCAATATGCGATACAAAAGCTCCTCATCAGCACTTTACTCAAAGTTTGAAGTGATGGATTACAGCTAGTATCATTACACATACAGTATGCCGTTTAGACCAGGTATATTACCAGTAAGCTTCCATACGTTACAGCAGCCCTGTGCTTACAGTACACACTTGGTAGCAGAATCTATGCCAGTGCCCTACGCTCGATCCTCCTCATTTACTATGTACATTGTCGATCTTAGATCTGTCGGTCTGCAAAGTTGCCCCAAAGCGGGAAACCAGCCTGCTCCATCACTGCTTCGCAGATCCGGTATCCTCGACCGCATCTTCCCGGTCCCAGCTCTCTGTTTCCAATGTGCGGACCCTTGTTTCTATATCAAGGATGCGCTCCTGCCAGTATTTCTTGGCTTGCTCTTGGAGATCCCAGGTGGATTTGAACTGTTCCATGACAAACGGCGGAAGCTCCGCCTTCTTGATTGCCTTGTAGTCATACATGACCAGATCCTCGGAAACACGGGCAGCGGGCCGTTGGCGAGCCTCGGAGACTATCATCGCATGTAGATAGAACCCATGACGAGGTGCATCAGGGGATGTCGGATCGTGAACCAGCTTATGATATACCGTAACTTTATCGGGGTAAGTCATAGGCTGCAAAGAGAGATGGGGTATTAGCGATCAGTCCTATATCTCAGCTGAGATGACCGTACAAATTTGTAGTCGATTGTGATACTTCGAAGAATAAGTCCGATGCCCTTAGAGCTGACAAGGTTCAACCACTCTGTCTTATGGGCCGGGTCTATATGCATGGCAAAGTTGCGGGTATAGTACACGCGCGCCGTCTCTGCATATCGGGGGTATGTGACGTTGTTCACATGTCCTAATTAGACGTTCATGAATGTTAGACCCCTTGCAACAATCCAGTGCTCTGATGCTGCTTGGAAAGAGATATACACACCCTAGACTCATGAGTTAATCGACATCACTTGTTGCTTGAAGTTCCTGACTTACCATGCTGTCCTGTTTGATGCAAGCGCCTACATTAGCATCTATGCATCATGCTATATGTAAGCTGCCATGCACCAGGTGACTATTTATCATACCATCTCTCCCCACGCGACGCTTTGTTGAAATAGCCCCCTTCGGGTCTCATCTGTCAAATAGCCTTCGCTGCCAGCGATCAATTCTCGCCAGTCCCTTGCAATTTGCTGTAGTATTTCCCCTGCCTCTTTAATCTGCGGGGGTTTCAAGCCGAACATCATACATCTACCGATTCTTCGCTTGGTCAGGGTCAGCCATCGCGGATCAATGGTGTGAGGCTTCCTTGGTGTTGTTCCGGGGGCGGAAACGGGGCCATTTCGGAAAGCGGTTGAGACGGAGAAGAGTCGAGTGGTAAGTGGTGGATATTGAGCGGCAACCCCAGCCAGTGGTCGCCTTCCAAGTCTCTGAAGCGACAACATCATTCTTCGGAAATAGGTGAAGATAGTGATTGTCAATTGTCAGGATGTGTTGATTCCCGCCGAGGAGCTTCTCACTTCGGCTAGTTGTCCGGGGCGGTTGGAGCTTCGGCTAGCCCCGCGCATTGCTTCCCTCTCTCCGCGCGCTGACATGGCCGGTTGCTTGCTTATTTATTACCCCTAATGCCTGCCTTGTACGACGAGCCCTATGGTGAAACGGATACTTTATCTGTGATAGTCTATCTAGATGCTTAGTCTGTATTATTATAAGGCATTACTGTTTACCATCTACGCTAGCTGTTTCAGCTCCGGGCCATGGATGGAATGAAGCTAGTAGAACGAGTTCGTCTGACTTCCATCAATATGACCGCTCAGCAACTTATGATTTCACAGTTGAATGAATATCATTTAGTAATTCATGCGCCTTCCTGGTAGCCAACATAACTAAAAAGTTGCAGTTGATTTCGATATGTTATACTACAACGTCATCATCTTATAACATGAGTTCTCGGGTAATCTAAGACACTCGGATATATCTCCACCCGTTACAATCATCAGAGGTAACCACAAAGGGTTCAAAAGACATCTTGAAACTTCAATTCTCTTTTAAAAATCATCCAATGAAATTCATACATACAATCCTGGCATCATAAAGCCCTGGACTATACACCAGCTAGCACAGAAGTGTTTACCTGGACGGTTACCCCTCCGAGGCAACAAGTAAGGATTCCGCCCGTGCGACGTCACCGGTAGTTGTGTTCCGGCTAACTTCTTCCTCGAGCTGAGAGACAAACAACTTACTTCCTCCACATTCCCACCTCCTCTGGAGAGTCCTGGCCACTATCTCATTGCCTAGCAACACCATCCAATATGACGAATCCAGAACTTCGCGCGCAGGTCATACATATATACAAGGGTATGTGCATCACCAGGACTTCACAATTCCCCCAGTCATTCCTTTGCAGTGTCGAGTGTCCCCCACCAAAAAGCTGACTTCTGTCATCGGTAGAGTTGCTTTTCCTTGGTCGCAACTATCCACTAGGTTATGAATATTACCGGAACAGGTTACATAAAGCGTTTTCGAGCCAGGCACATCTGGATAATGAGGAACAGATCCGGAAAGGTATTGCTAGGGCGGAATTTGTTAAGAAGGGTATGTTTGACGATACTCTCCATTTAATTGTCAAAAAGTCAGATTGATCTGATAATCAGCTGCATTCTACAGAAATCGAAGCATTGTGAGTTCCCTTGCGCCTTCTCTCCCTTACCCAAATCACGCCGGCACCAGACAAGTCCTTGTCTACAGACGGCGAAGCATGCGAAAGTCCAAGGCCTAGGCCTGCAAGGCTTGATACTGGTTCATCTATATTAATCCTGCCTATCAACCATGTACATCCGAATATTCATCGTCTCATAATTATCGAGATAATGCATGCTCGACAATGTCAGCGCCAATGCTGACCGAAAGCGCCCAGGTACTATCTGAAGCGATATCGCACCTTGAAACAGCGCTATGAAAATTAAATGATCCCGGCCGTTCAGAATACCATGGAACCTTAATAACACGTTCTCAAGAATATTACACCAAGGAATATATATATGCGAAAACTGAAAGGAGAAAAGTGGGGTATCACCAATATATGAGAGAGAGAGCAATGGTCACGACTCTTTCCGTGTCTTTTTTTCTTTTCTTTCCCGCGTTCACCAGATTACCGGCAATCGAGCTTGTATCCTCTTCGCCGAAAGACCGTTCATTTCTTTCGTCCCCACCAAGCGCTTACTTCCAAGCACTCCCCATTCGCGAGGCTTCCCTTTTGGAACAGATCGGCAATCATGGCAGCCCACCACCTGTCCCATTCATCTCTGGTCTTACCGCTAGCTTCCATGAGGATATGCTCCATGCCCTCAATCATCTGAACTACGGTCAAAAGGGCCGTGCGCCGAATAGACAATTGATCTGCGGTCAACTGTCTGCGTGACGCGCCGACCGGATCCTTCCCATGACCTTCACGCTCCCACCGTAGTTCGCCTAGCGGGATAGCAATGCGGCGACTATCGACGTTCTCTAGTACGTCGACCTCTGAGTTGAAAGACAAACCAATGGTCGCACACGGCAACGCTGTCAATTTGCGTCGGTCAAAGGCCTTTTCGACCCAGGAGTTATAGTCTTGCAGAAACTTGTTCTGGACTCGTGTGAAGGGGGTTGCGGAGGAAAAGGTGTAAGTCGCGGTCGCATCGGCCGTCTCTTGTTCCCTTGAAGCCAATTTGCGAGCGGGTGCAGGGTTGGGAAGCAAGGACCGAAATACCCAATCCGAGTCCCAAATTTCCAGAATCCCGCCGGATTTGAGCACCCTCAGTGGCTCGCTTAAGCCGGACGCTTGCAGCGCCGGGCTAGCTGGACACATTCCTGCGTCCTTAATGAAGACAAAGTCGAAATAGTCGTCGGGGAAAGGTAGGCGGGGCTTCCGAAGGTCGTGCCTGCGATATTGCCAATGGACACCTTTCTTGCGCAGATCGGGGGCGACAGAGACGATGTCAATACCGTGGAAAGACACGTTACGGTGACCGCGACGAGCGAAATATTCATGGCTCATACTGGACCAAAGGCCTGAACCACATGCGATCTCCAGAACCCGCTTTGGGGGCCGGTCAGTGAGGTGGGGATTGCAGAACGGACCTCCGAACACGCGCATGAGCATGAGCGAGCGCAGGGTTTGACGATGAATCTCCTGAAGATCGCTGGGGAGAGGGTAGTTATTCTCGGGGTCTCTAAGATATGTGCGATCGCCCTGGCGAATCAGGGGAAAGTTGGAGTAGTCATTGAGGGAGGTTAGGGAAGAGGTAGATGTCGCAGCGAGGGTTGGGCCGGTCGAGCTGGTAGTCGAATGAAGATCGGAGCCTGAAGTTGCGGCAGGCGCAAAAGTCGCAGGCCCGTTTGACATCATATCCATTTTGGCAGCGAAGATTGGGTTGTCATCGATCTGGTACAGCTAGCAACAACGATTTGCATGCTTGCATACGACAATGGCGACGCAGATCGATCACGGACGGGGAAGAGACGCGATTATTATGGACATGGTAATGTAATCGAGAGGGAAAGAGCGTAGGAGGCGACGTGAAACAAGCGCTAGTCGGAGGGGGCGGGGAGGAGGAAAGCGAAAGTGAGGCAATCCGGATACAGTTCCAGGTGGCCTCGACCCATGGGAAGCGAGAACGGGGAGGAGAAGAAGAAGAGGAGGAAGAGGAAGGGGAATAATAATTATGAGTGAGAGGAGAGACGGAGAGGACGATGGAGGGGGGGCAAAAACCACATCGTGACCGAAAACGAAATCGCCCCGGCTCGATTAAATGAACCCCCCTTAGGGCCACTCCACTATGACTGCGAAATCCATCTGGCGGGATTCCGGACGGCGACCCCCCCGAACTAAGTGATTTCACATCCTTCGTTTTGGGTAGTTTTGCTCCGTAGATACAACAATACCTACAACGACTAAATAGTTACTTCTAATTACGATCTTGGATTTGATTTTTGCTGTACCAAAATCTTCGGTGCTCGGTACAAATTGTCTCTACCGAAAGACTCCGGACGATGGAGCTGAACGAATGCGCCCACTTGGTGGTGGCGGAAAAGCTCCCACCACCAGAGCAGCAAAGCATACATAACGGAGTACTCCTCAAACCAAACACAAATACTAACCAACCCGCCTGCATAAGCCCTGCTGATCTGATACCAATGACTGCTGATTTCTCCTGCAGCTGCATCCAAGATCAACAGCCCGAGCTACGGGTTATTGGCTCGATTATTTGCGTTCGTTGCGACGCCCGGGTGCCATCTGATCTCTCTTATGCAGAATCAGAATCAGTACATTTGAAGAGGCTACCGAGCGAAGGTTGAGCTGAATCCGTATTCCAGATCCGTTTTCGAGTGGTCTCGGCTATCTGTGAACCGCCCAAAACTGGGCCCCTTGTCTGGAACTGAAAAAGTTCAATGGTCCAAACAAGAATCAAGGTTGCAGCGAAAGAAGTGCCATCCGTGGTTCTCGTTGCAATCCAAATTCCGGCCGGCTGGAGCTGCTAACAAAAAGAAAGGACTGATAACGATAATCGGAGTAATATGATGAAACTGGGCACGTCCACTGCGAGAGTACCCTGCTTCATCCCTTACCCAAGTTCACGGGTCACCCACTCAAGTTCTGACGCCCGAATCCACAGGCCAGCCCACATAGAGCCCTGTCCGGACATGCCGACAACCCACGGAAGAACCGCGGCAGATGCTGATGAGCTTCCTAGATGGGTCATTGCAAGTCTCCTGATGACACAAGGCAGAAAAATTGCCTTTTTGACGGAATCCGTCCGTTAGACTAAGGGGCGGGAGAAGGAAGCAGTTGTTGATCAAGAAAAGTCAAAACCGATATTAACATATTGGTTTATTAATCTGAAGGAAATGTTTCTTTTTCTTTTTCCCCCCCTCTCCTTAGGGAGACGGAAAGAAAGATTCTACGTCCCGTCTAGCCTAATCCCAGGCTTTCTCTTACAGTAGACTAGTGACTGACTCCTTGACATCATGATTGTTTTGGCGTTAGCGAATAAATAATTATAACAATATTAGTTAACGAACAAATTTGGATAGCCGTGTGGGACTGAAGAATCCTAGCAATGATTTGGTGTAACGATGGCGCTGCAGACGCGACCACTCAATCGTTGACTTCCCATCCAGACCAACCCAATCTACTCTAATCCGATGGATCTCGGAGTAAGAACAATAAACGGGTAAATTACATCGTAACAGATTTGTTAACGAAGGCCAGATCCTGTTCCATCAAACCAGGATTAAATCCCTTGACCAAGCAAGTATCTGTTGGCTGGAATAATTCTACCCTTCCACACTTGACAGGCAGGGAGGAAGGGGAATTGCATACGTGAACCACCAACCAGGAGACTTAGGACAGATAACTGTTTACTTAGTTACTGCCTACAATGGAGAATGAATAATAATCCAATTGTTGGTTGGATTCTGGCCGCCGCCGCAACGCTCCGCCGCCCACCCAGGATGATTATGCATGCCGGGGCCACTTTCGGCCTGAAAAGACACGTGCAGGCACGGGTCACTTGTTGCCCTGTCAGGGATTTGCTTCTTAATACTATCCATCTTACTAGTAGTACTCCGTAGTAGTAAGTGGACTAGTTAGGCATTCTTCCCGAGTTCAGGTCTGTCTGGGCTTTTTCGGTGGTCCTTCTGGTGGTTTTCTTTCTAGGCGCCAATTTCTCCTCCCTCCCCCCCTTTTCTTTCCCCTTTTGTCGATGACTGTTACGGATTAATTTCTATGTTGTTGTGGTGCTGTCAGCTTATGGATTGTCATATCTGCAACTATTAGGGTGTCAGATTCTGTAACATCGGTTTTTCATTCCTCCAGTCGGAGGTTTCTGATGTTGAGCTGTTTCGGGGTGTTGTTGGGTTTGAGACTGCCTATGGCTGTCAGCAATGGTAGTGATGATGATGATGATGTGATTTTCTCTGGAAGTCTATCCCCTGCTGCCTTGTACACATGCTTCAGTATTCGTCCATACTGTCGTACTACCTTCGGGAAACTTAACAATGTGTGACAGTTTCAACCTAGTGCATGTTGTTTCTCACCACTGCATTCATACCTCGTAAGCGTAGTTATCCAATGAATGGAAAATGATGTTAGAAACCCCCGACTTACCATAACTAGTCCCTTTGTAAGCAATTAAGTTCTACCAACTATGTGACTACTACTTTGCTAAAACCCTCACATGATCCCATGACCGAAGGTGACGATCAGATGTTAGCTCGCATAGCAGCGCAACTAAATCGACTTAAATACGATTATACGAATTAGTAAAATAGGCTAGACGAGGCTACTATTCAAGTATATCAAATCAATGCTATGTCTATAGATACTAGTTATCGTAACCTCCCGAGCTAACGTTGATCACAAACCAAGCTGCTCTGCTTTTAGCGAATATCTAGCAGAGGTGCTGGGTAAAAATTGTAGAGTCTAGTTCTTGGCATGCGGAGGCCAAGCAATGATGATTTGACTGAGATCTTACTATCATTATTCTGCTCGGGCTCAATCGCTTGCTTACGGTGAGTGAGACTGTATAATATTGTGATATTACGGGAGATCGACCTGCTCTGGACATACTTCCTATGCATTCGAAACATAGCAAGGGGTGAGTAGGTATCCATTGGCCCCCAGATTGATGCCATAGGCATTCGCCCGGAGAACGAGTCCGGTGTGCAGGTATGTGGCAGGTGTATGTGGCATGTTTCTATGCATTCCTGCACCTGGGGTCCGGCAAGGGGAGGGTTTGTTTGCAACGGTTAGATACTCCTGTCATTATTGACAGATAGGCCCTGCACAACAGTCGAATATGATGGTAGTCGAACGCGGGACTATTTTCCCTTACAAGTCGTGTCTGAGATGAGTTCTGCATTACCCCCAAGTAGGGGATTTGCTGAAACTGTGATGGCTGGCTATAAAATGTAGAAGTGGCAAGTTGTGTATGAAATAACTTCCAGTGACACATATCTACCCGTTCTTCGATGCCAAGCGTCCATTGGCAGAAAGCAGGCAACGTTGGATTTTCTTAGGTAGTAAATGCTCAGAGCACGTCCTGATTGCTGAGACACTGCTTGGCCGGGGCTATACGAGGATCATTACCCACCAAGACACCTTAATTATCCCACGACCTCGTATTTTTCACGTGAGACATTTACATTTGGCATCATTTTGGGTTTGCAAGGGGATGGGTGCTCGTCTACCAGGGGTTCTGTGCTACAAAGGAGTAAAAAGAACGCTTTAGACAGTTCTGGAAACATGGGCCCCTTTCGCGCCAAACCAAAGGTTAGCTGAAATGTGTCCAGAGTTAGTTGGTACCTTGCTCGATTAAGTGCCAAGTGGTCAGTGACCGAAAACAATAAAGGGGTGGTATATAGCATAATAGTAACATATAGCCCTCCTGACTACTCCGTAATATTTCTTGCATTGCGTATCGGAACCAACCGAGCGAGTGAGCCACTGTGGTGTCAGTGCAAGGAATTGTGGCCTTGATATGGGCTCCGTCATAGGGTAACGGGAGTGTGTTGGCACAGGCGATATGGGCAGTTTAATATAGATAAGATAGTGAGCCAGGTCCCTCCATGGCCAGTGGAAGCCTTTGTAGTATGAAATGGCAGGGAAAATCGTGATTTTAAAAGTAAAGAGCAAATGCTTTCTTAATCGGATATTCTTCATGCAAAAGGCAAGATGTAGCATATCTTCGATACTTCTGAATGCGTGTGGGCTGTGACTGCTGAGGGACCTCCTTACTTGTGCAGTGACCCCCGCGGATCGCCTAGTCCCCTCAATAATTGGGAATATGGGGCAGTGAAGGACTGATGCTGAGATCTTGTCCGGTTGCCGTTCTGCTGGGAGATGTTAAGAAGGTAGCGATATTCAAGTGACGAATAAATGTTGGATAGATAATCTGAAGTGTCTCTGCGCCTATTGACTTCCAAAGCATCCTCTGCTCGCTGGGAGATATCCTTGTTAAGGGAAGAAGACCCAAGTCTGGAGGTGTGCTTGTCAAGGCTGGTCTTGGCTTTGCCATTGGCGGCGAATCACGCCCGCCGGATGTGACATCACGTGACACCGGCGACCTCCCGCCTTCGATGCAAACCACTTCGCAGCGTCAAGGCGACTGTGTCTCATCCCAACAAGCTGCCGGCGCCTTTGCTACGTCTTCAGACCTATTTTCAAGTGCGCATTGTCCACTCTCCTTCAGCGAGCTTGTCTCTGGGAGTTCAACCTGACCTTGACCCCAGGATTCTCAACAGACTTTCGTCGTCCGTCCTCTTGTGTCTCGGTCGCCCGACGCCCGCCGTATCGTTCGACTCTCGATCGCTCTCCCGATCTCCACCTCCCCAGGAGTGCATCTCGAAACCGTGAGCAACCAGTATTGGCGAAATTGCTGCGGTTGTGATTCCAGCGTATCCTTAGATTGGGGTGGTTCCGCTTCAGGACCCCATGTTGAAGAGAAGGAGAGAACGCATCCGATCCCCGACTCCTCTCTCTCCTGCCACCGCCGCCTCCCCGAGCCCAACCCTGCCAGCCTCAACCTACCCTAGGAACATTCAACCAATCGACCTACGGTCTCGTCTGCCACGTTAAATGGCAGATGGTACCTACAGGTTCCAGCAGCCTGGGGCCGGGCAGTTCTTCTTCCAAACACAAACGCAACAGCACTCTCACCAACGTCATCTCGTACGCAACGGGACCAACTCCCCCACTGGAAGACTAAAATTTAGTCACGACACTCCTTCTCCCTCACGCTCACCTCCGATCAGCCAAGCTGCTGCCTTGAATCCCTTCACAATGTACACACAAACCCACCAAGGGCAGCATGTCATGATGAATGGCGGCCAGGCCCACCAGCGATTTGGCATGCAGATCCCCAAGTTCCAATCGCAGAGCCATCACCCCCACCCCGCACAGCAGGCCCATCACCATGCCCATCATAACCAAGCTTCTCATAGCATCAATCATCAGCACAACTTCTCCAGTGGGGCATTGGCTGCCGCCACTCCGCACTTCACTCCCGGCCCCCTCCAAAATGGCGCTCATGTTAATGTGGACGAAGATATCGACGAGACCATGAACGAACATTGGCAGCAGCAACTCCAGTTGGCTGCAGAGTCACGGCAAGCGAGCTCCCCGCATTATTACGCCCGTACCGTCGCACAGCAAACCAAGGGCATCCAGATTGCGCCCAGCCAGCCTGAGTCACAAGAGAACGGGAGCGGCGATCGCAATGGCCTGGTGAAGTCCAAGCCTGCTCCTCGGCAAGGCTGGCATGCTCTTGATTTCGGCGGACAGGGTCTCCGCGCGCTTGCGACATCTTTGTTCCACTATACCTTCCTAGAGAAATTGTACCTCAACCACAACAAGTTGAAGACGCTTCCTCCGGCAATTGGTCAACTGCGGAAGCTAACCCACTTGGATTTGTCGAGCAATGATATTTCGGAGCTCCCTGAAGAGATCGGTATGCTCACAAGCTTGAAGCAGCTGCTTCTCTTCGATAACAACATTCGCACGCTTCCGTTCGAAATGGGTTATCTTTATAGATTAGAGATGCTGGGAATTGAAGGGAATCCTTTGAACGATGTTTTGAAGTCTCAGATCATTAAGGAAGGAACCAAGGCCCTGGTCCGGTATTTGAGGGAAGAAATGCCAGGTTTGTGCTCACGACTTAAAGCTCTCACTATGCACCTCAGACTAACTTCGTCTCCAAAAAGTTCATCTTCCTCCCCCGGATAGAGATTGGATCATCCTGGACGAGACCGCTAGCTCCTCAAACAGTCCCACCGAGAAGATTACCGTCCTTTCCCACAATGCCCTCTGCGACTCTTCCGCAACCCCGAGTCACTTCGGTTATACCCCGTCCCGTGTTCTTTCTTGGGAATTCAGACGCGAGCTTATCCTGAGCGAGCTGAGGTCGCACGACTCGGACATTATATGTCTCCAGGAGATCGACCAAGGCAGTTACAATGGATTCTTCCGGGAGCAGCTGGCTTATAACGATTACAAGGGTGTATACTGGCCCAGAGGCAGAGCCATGGGTATGCAGGAGGAGGAAGCGAAGTCGGTCGATGGCTGTGCCACCTTCTTCAAGGGAAGCAAGTTCATCCTCCTCGATAAGCAGATGATCAACTTCGGTCAAACAGCAGTGCGGCGACCGGATGCCAAGGGTCAAGATGACATCTACAACAGACTCTGGCAGAAGGATCATATTGCGGTGGTTATCTTCCTGGAGAACAGGCTGACAGGCTCCCGCTTTATCGTCGTGAACGCGCATCTCTACTGGGATCCCGCTTTCAAGGACGTGAAGTTGATTCAGACCGCCATTTTGATGGAGGAAATCACCAAACTCTCCGAGAAGTACGCGAAATTCCCGCCGTGTACCGACAAGACTGCCTTCCGCTTCTCGGAAGCAGAAGGTGAGTCGGACACTCCTCCACCTGAACCTGCGCCATCAGTGGAGTATGCCAGTGGTGATCAGATTCCGCTTTTCATGTGCGGAGATTTCAACTCAGCGCCTGGGTCGGCAGCGTACAACCTGGTCGCACACGGCCGGCTCACGGAGTCCCATCCGGACCTGGAGAAGAGGCTCTACGGCAACCTTAGTCGGGTCGGTATGACGCACCCGTTCAAGCTGAAGTCGGCATACAACTCGATTGGCGAGCTGAGCTTCACGAACTACACTCCGGACTTCAAAGATATTCTTGACTATATTTGGTATACTTCCAACACACTTCATGTCTCGGCGTTACTTGGGGAGGTGGACAAGGAGTATCTGCAGAAGGTGCCCGGGTTCCCCAATTTTCATTTTCCAAGTGATCATGTCGCATTATTTGCGGAGTTTACAGTTAAAGGGAAAAAGGGAAAGGTTGTGGAAGCGGATTTTGGGCCGCAACGGAATTGAAGGGACGGTGCATGTTGAATCTTACGAGACTGGTGTTTGTGTAGCCGGTTCATCTTGTTATCTCGGAATCTTTGGGGGCCTTTCGCGTGTCTGTGGTGTTAACTTTTTTTTACTCTTTTTTTCTTCCTTCTTACGCTATCATGCTCTTGTTGCATCTTGTTTCCTTTTCTTCTTTTCCTTCCATTCTTGTGAGTTTACTTCCTGCTTACTGCTGCCGCCCAGCGGACTCTCGTTCAAATGGAACCTGCGTATCCATGCATCATCTTTGGAATGTAGTCACACCGGCGCAGCAGCTTTGCTTTTTTTCTCTCACGCACACACTCTCTCACGCTCTCTTTCTACTACGTCGTTCCTCTCAGCTTTGGTATGTGTTAGGATCTGATTATGCCTTTTCTTCTTAACGACGATACTTTTTCTTCACTTTTCCAACGTTTCTCCTTTCACCGAAGTCTCATCTGCTTCCTCCATCTGTTGTAGATTGAATCTCAGGGACGGGATTCTCTCTCCTTTCCTACCGTCTTCATCTCATCTCATTTTTGCACTTAGGCGGGCGAATCGGTCTTACGTGTACGTGTGTGTGTGTGTGTGGTGTATGTGCTCGTTGTATCCTTAGGCGACTACTACTGGTCGGCGGTTCTCTCTACATACGTGCCTGTTGGTTTGGCTTCGTTGATTGGAATCGCTTGACGTCTATAAGCTGAGCTTGTTGTTGTTGTTGATTTTTCTTTGATGTAGAAAGAGAGAGCGGGTGGTTGCTTGACTTCTATTTGGTATGGGGAAAGCGGAATGGTGCAGTGCGTTTAGTATATTTCAATAAGCCCTGTTCTTATCTGGTTCGTTAATTTTTCTCTTATCTTTTTTTTACTTGAGGGCCTTTTTACCTCCTATACCACTTATTTAAGTTGTAAATCGTATTCTGGTAAATGCATATGCGTGCTTTGATTGATAGAGCGTGTTGTCTGATCTCATTGTATTTGGGTGGATGGTTATAGAACAGTAAAAGAATGTTGGTAGTAGTACATTAGGTCTTTCTTCTATGATATGCATGTTATGGTACAAATGGGTATCCAAGAATACGGTAGGTAGGTAGAAAAATCGCGTGACCGAACAAAGCTCAGCTCAGCTCAGCTTCTCCGCGCATCCTCTTCTATCTTTCTCCAGATTCCAACAAAGCCACCGCCCACAATCCGCGAGCCAACCTTTGGCCGGCACACAAGCACACTGTCTTCCTCCTTGGGCGTCTTCTCTTCAGCGACGTCCAGGGACTCAGTCTCAACGGCACTCGTCTCGACGGACTCTTCCAAACCCTCCTCGGTGGACGAGGAAGCCACCGACACACTGTCACGGGACTTCTTCACCGCGTGCCGGATATCCCACAACCGACCACTGCTGATACCGTTTCCGAGCTCAACAACCTTATCCTGAACAAGAGGAAGTCTCTGTCGACGAATAAGCTCCACACAGTCGCCGATCTGCGTCACGCTCGGCATGAATACAGCCAGAATGCCGTCCCGCTTCAGTATCGAGGCGACGTGAGGGATCCGTAGATGCGCGGAGGGCATATCCAGGATCGCGTAGGAGAGGAACGGCTCAACATCATCTTTTTTGAGCGAAGAAAGGAGGCCCGTCGGTGCGCGTTGTCTCTTCTGCTCTGCGATCCAGTCCTCCACGTGTCCGGCATAGAAGTCCACATTGCCTGCGTAGATGCCGCGACGGAAACCCCGAACGATGCCTTCGGCGTGGACGGAGGATTTAGGTGTCACGTCGACGCTGTGGATGATTGCTTTGCGTTGGGAGCGCCAGGCGTCCCAGTTCTCCTGGTCTGGGTCGACCGTCGGTGTTGGGGCGCCATCTGCGGGTGTCTGTAACTTGCGGGTCGAGACCTCGCCGGGTTTTGTGGGCAGGTATGTGACTTGGGAGCTTGGTGGGAGGGGTGGAGGAGTAGAGTTGGCGCCTTGGATGGCGCGCGCTAGGTGAAGGGTCAGGGAGCCGTGGCCGGTGCCGGATTCGAGGATTTCAAGGGGCGGTGTGTCTGTTCCTTCGGCTGGGGGTGCGATGTGAATGTCAAGGAGGGAGACGATTAGGTTGGCGTCTGCTGAGTAGATCTATTGGCATGCGTTAATGAGGGTGGTGGTGCTCGTTGACGGTGTGGTTAGGTCCGTACCGGCGTGACGAGACGGGGGGTCATGGCAACATATTCTTCGAGCGTAGGGAGGGAGAGTCGGTATTCAGGGCCTGTAGTTACCGGAGATGATTAGAGCGCGACCGGCTGGGTTAATTGAAGAATGATTTGAAGATGCTGACCTTTCCGCGCCTGAACCAGATCCCGTACCCTCCGGCCGATGATGTTGTCGTGCTCCAATTGTCCGCGACGAGTATCGGATTTATGACCCTTCCGCAAAGGCTTGCTTAGGAGCGGCGACTTGCCATGGACCACAACTCTATCTCCCTCTGAGTGGTGGATTTAATCTGTTAGTGTGCGATGGCGCGCAACTGTGAACGAGCGAACAGCGTTCAGTCGAATTAAGGTGTGTGACATACCCCGAAAGACGGAGAAATTGGTGTCGATTGAGCGGGCATAGCGAGGGACCGGAGTCGAAGAGGTTAAACCTAGGGCTCGACGCAATGATTGCAGTAGACGAGCCATGGCGTGTGAAGATTCGAGGGAGTGATGCCTTCAAGTGTCCGAGAAAGTATCGGCGCCGAAAAGATCGAGCATCAAAAATTCGGGACTTGGTTTGGAGACCTCCGGGAAGATACTCGGTTCGGCTAGACCCAGAATAGTCAGAAAATTAGCATTAGACAAGATTAGACAAGGGAAATGCTAGACTGGCTCCACAAGAGAAAGGACAATTCACCTTTTAGTGTCGCGCTGGAAATTATGGGGAACTCCGCATGGATCCATCATTGCTGGTGATTGTCCCTCTTTGCACTTGATCGAGTCTAGTCTCTGCTTTCTCACCGCGGGGTTCTTCTCTTCTCTCTTTGCTTCTCTAGTTTGAGTCGCTCCGTCTCTCTCTTTCTTCCTTAGTCCTCCAAGTCCGTCAAGCACATCTTTCTATTTCTTTTTTTCCGTTACCCAGTTGTCCGACTGGTTTACTTCTATCGGTCCCGCGCATCTTCATCTGCTGTCCTTGATTTAGGTTTGTTCCCCCTGTTCCATCTCCCAAAGACGGAGTTGTTGCCGTCGTTTACTTTTCGAGTATCACCCAAATTCTCGCGATCAGAGGCGCTATATGTCAGCTGGTGCTGGGACTGACACCGAAACTGCAGAACTATTTCCGCGAAACAATAGCAACCAGACCTTCACCATGACTGTTACTACGCTACCGTACATGAAAACGAACCCCAAGCTCATATTCTTCACGGATTTCGATGGAACGATCACCCTCGAAGACAGTAGGTACAGACGAAATTCGCACAGCAAGTCCACTAGCTAAGTACTCTATGCAGGCAATGATGCTATGGTATCTACCCTTTATAACCTACAAGCACCCAGTGAACCTGCATGCCACTGACACTTAGTCGCAAGATTGATAACCTTGGCTACGGGCGCATAAAGCGCCGTCAAGGAAACGAGGCCGTTCTCGAGGGCACCATGAGCTTCCGGTATGTGGGTACAGGCAGCATGTGTACGCACCTTACTAACCTTCCTTGCGAAGTGACGCTTTTCGCGACATGTTGGACAGCATCAAGACCCCCTACAACGAGTGCATCGAGTACCTCAAGAAGAACATGAAGCTGGATCCCTACTTTGTGGAATTCTACAAATGGTCCAGAGAGAACAATGTCCCGATCGTGGTGTTGTCTTCCGGGATGGTTCCAGTCATCAGCGCCCTCTTCGAGACGCTTCTAGGCGGCGAACCAGACGACCACCTTTACATCGTTGCCAACCAGGTCGAGAGCCGTGATGGCAAGGATATCAACTCTGAGGGAGGCTGGCAGATCAAGTACCATGACGACAGGTAAGGAAAACTTCTTGAACCGGTCGCTGGGCCAGAACTGACGTCATACTGCTAGCCACTTCGGCCACGACAAGTCGCTGGAAATCAAGCCGTATGCCGCACTGCCGGACAGTGTGCGCCCGACCTTGTTGTACGCAGGAGATGGCGTGTCTGATTTGTCAGCCGCTGCAGAGACTGATCTTCTGTTTGCCAAAAAGGGCAAGGGTGCGTTTACCAAGTTCCGACATTGAGATTTGCATTCTGTAGTTACTGACTCTTCCAGATTTGGTGACATTCTGCGAGCGCGAGAAGATTCCGTTCACGCTTTTCGAGAGTTGGGAGTCTATTCTCGCTACAACTAAGGATATCTTGAGTGGCAACGTTTCGGTTAAGGACGTTGCTCAAGATGGACTGGAGGCGGTCCACAAGGGGGCCAACAAGAACTGATGCGTTGCAGCTAAGTCAAGATTTCATCTTTTCATGCTGTTAGATATAGATCACTTCAGCATATACGCACCAGAGGGCATAGTTCTAGTTTAGATATCATTTTGCTTAGACGGATTAGTTAATAGAAGGGATGATTTACATATCAGTAGGTACTATATGTTCATCTAAACGGACTAGGGTAGGGTTCTAGGTGGTCTTATCTGAAAGGCTACTTTAGTCTTCCCTAAACATGGTGTTTCGCCGACGCTTTGTTATATATCTCTACGTATCTCTCTACCCTGTCAAGTACCAGATCCTCCCCCACCATCCCTGCACCTACACCCTCCAGCTTTGGGTTACATACCATCTTTAGTTCGTACTGGGTACCATGTGGAGTTCATTTTTAGTTTCAATTGAAGTTAAAATTGCAATCTGAGAAAAGTATAGTTCAAGTAAATCGGGCATAAAGTCATGATATCTGTTCACTTCAGAGGATAAGGGGCATAATGTGATAGTAGTAGGCCAAGAAGTGCAAATGCTGTGACAGCGCAGCCGCTAAGAAAATGTTCTGACCCCTCGCGGGCCACCGAGGAGAACAAAAAAAAGCACGATGCACAAAGGTACATAAGCAGGGGTATCCTCGCAGGGCTAAATTGGCCCCTTCTGGCAAATGCAACAGCAGCAAAGCAGTAGATAGTAAATGACAATTCATACAAATGCAAGCCCCACCCTTTCTTTTCTTTTCTTTGCGTTTTCCCTCACTACGGCCCCAAATCCTGGCGTTTTTTCTCTTTCTTGGCCCAACGTACTGTTCACATTTCACTGTTAATACTGATACAGAATTTATATAGTCAGATGATCAAGGAGGGGAAGAACTCACATCCACAAGCGTTACACAGGGTCTTCGGCCCTTCCGGGCCTTTCCTCCACTCGGGTGAATCCGACGTCCCGCAATCCGTGCACATATACTCCCCTTTCATCCTTTTCTTCCTGTCCACGGCCTCTGCAGGATTCTTGGGCTGTGATTGCGGTTGCACCTGCGACGGTTGCTGCTGCTGCTGCTGTTGTTGGTCGCTCGGAGCAGCGGCAGTAGCAGCAGAACCGGCAGCAACGGCATTCGGCTGCTCCGTATTACAACGAATCAGACGGCCATGACGGACTCCCGTACTCAAACCCTGTGATCGTTCTCCTTCTCCGTAGTACAAACCCGTCATGACCTCAATCCCGTCAATATGAGACATGTCTTCAGTCTGCGGCAACCGATCCCCAACCTGCTCCAGAAACGATCGTGAATCGGCGTCGTCCGTATTGGTGACTGTATCGGATGATTCATTCTCCTCTCCAGATACTGATGTATCTCGTTGCGCAAACGACGTCTGTGTCGTTGAGACATACGTCTGGCGCGTTGTCGTCGTGGTAGTGGTGCTGGTCGTCGTTGTCGTTGACGTCTGCCCTGGTCTCGAATTCAACTCCTCTTCTTCCTCTTCCTTTAGTTGGGCTATGCGCTGGTTCAGCCGGATGTTCTCAATTTTGTGTTCCAAAAACGAATCGAGCAACTGTGACCCTCGTGTTGGGTATGGCCGACAGACGAGAAATATCCCTTTACAGACTGTCTTCCGTTGCGGTTGTTGGGATGAATCTGCGGTCGCAGAAGGAGCAGTTCCGGTCGTCATCAGGTGTGGATGTCCATGTGCTTCTAATAAACAGGAGCTACTGTCAGGCCTACAGAGCCGGAAGTGACATCGTATTTCGCGTCCAGTCTTGATGCACTCGTCCAATTCGTGGCCGAGGATAGGCTTGTCGTCTTCATGGACGAAACGGGAGAAATCGCTTTGTTCTAGCATGTGCGATTCAATCCCTGTCACCTCAGAGCATGATGGTGACGCGTATAGAACCTGCCCATCGTGACTGAGAAGAAGGAGCAGGTCCTTTAGTTCGTCTAGTACCCGTGCAGACCAGCCGTCATTGTTGGTGCCGGCAAGGCCTATGTCGGGGGTGGGGTGCTGGAGGTTGTTGGTCCCTGCTGGCGCTGTAGTAGTTGTAGGTATGGAAGCAAGAGCAGGGACTGTGGTTGTGATAGTGGCAGGAGTTGTTGAAGTGGTAGCAGCAGTAGCAGTGGAAGAAGAGATGGTAGCAGAAGCGGAGAGTTGGAGCAGATTAGCGGCACCGCGGCTCATCGAGCGAGGAATACTCCGCGCGTCCATGCTATACTGGGGCCCCGGTGGTTTTGAGTTCGACACTGGGGCTCGGAGACCGTATGCCTGGGACGGAATTTGGTTCTGCGCCACTCTTCGTCCTCGATGGAATTCGAGTTCCATCGCTGGGCTGCGCGGGGATCAAATCGATCGATCGCCGGGGTGGTGGGGACGCCTCTTCCCGGGATAAGAATCTCCTTTAGGTGCCCTATATAGGATATGATACAGAAAGAAATTGGGAGGGGATAGAGGTAGAAGGAAGAGAGGGTAAGTGAGCAGTGTTTCTTGGACTTTTTCTGGACATGACCGCGGTGGTGAATCCAGTAGAGCTGTCAATTCTTGTACTTTTGGCCGGCCACATCGTCATTGGTATCGCACCGACACGCGGGATCCACTGCGGCTGCCAATCAAATCCGCCGATGGGGCTTCCCGGGGATTTCCACACATTTCAGGATGCTGATTGGTGGGTTGTTGCGGCCTCGGGAAACCCTCAGGTACGGTTGTACGATACAGGTCGGTATGTCTGTATGATTGCTGCAGGGGGCATCCCAGTCGATGCTTCATTGCTTCAAGGTTGGGTATTCTTGCTGCTTCGCTTGGATTACACTTGCGATGCCCCCATGGGTTATCCTTGATTATATCCCCCTTGACTGGCTCTCTACTCCTACTCCTTTCCTGTCACGATCACCTCATCCCTGAAGCATACATCATCCTGCGTGGTATGGTGTGGGATTATCTTGTCAACCACGGGTTGAACTATCTGGCTTCCGTTAGATCCGCTAGGGACGTGCATTGCGTAGCGCCGCCATCTGCTAATTTTATTTTCGTGGGCTGATATCAGGCATCAATAATATATGTAATTATCGACCATCGACTGTTTTAGCTATCGTCCCTCGAGGAGCCTGCAATCCACGTTTGCCTTCTCTTATCACTCCGTGGGATATTCACACCGAACACCCGTTACGATATCTGCCATTCCACCCTGAACAAGCATGCGCAGCTGGGAAGCTGCAGCTGCTAACGGTCACCCGTCTGTGCAATTGCAGATGTCAGACCACACCGCATCCACGCGAACGGGTATGTTGGACTTTCTTAGGCGCCGGTGGAGATGGCCCAGAGTAATAAGCGAGCCCAGGCGCAGACCAAACCCGGAATGTCCTACCGGCGGGATGATCCCCTATCTTGGGGAGTCTAATACTATGCTCGTGCGATATTCATCCTTCCAGCCTTACGAAGGATGAATGCATTTCCCACTCAGGCTACTACTGATGACGAGGTACGCAGAGCCATGAGATGGTCAGAAATGGCTGACTACAATAGCTCTCTCTATATATCTCAAATGAACTCATGTGCTACAGTATCTCAAGGTTCATTAGCAAGGTTCATCTGCTTCGTTTGAAAAAGAGCTATTATTTTGGCAAGTAAAATTCAGTGTGAAGGTCCTCCCAAGGAAATTGAGAACCACAATTACTGCCATCACTATTCCAGGATCCTTCCCCATTTTCTGAGACCGAGGCCTTGACTGGCCAAGCCCCACCGTCTACCTTGTCCGACACGTCAGAAGCAAACTACAGCATGCACATAAGGTAACGGAAGCTTGGCAGCCGCTATTTTCCAAAGAGAACATCAGCTTTGATGATGCACCACTCGGCTGGAATATCTTACTTACTGTTGATTCACAACTAGTATTTGCACCTGCACCTCAGTCCATGGTAGTGACAACTACAGCTATGATAATCTTCATCGTTGCAATTGCACAAATTCAAGACGCTGCACCTGCTTTCGCAGAAACGATCGTTCTGAGAATCTCGGTTAGCGCTGGCTGCACCAGTCAATCAGGATGGCACTTGCAGGGTTCAACTCTTTCTCGACATCCGTGGAAGCTGCGGACATGCCGTTACCGTCGACATCGTCGAAGGCCTCATTAGGGTTGTTGACGGTTGCAGTGCCAATGTTCTCAGCAACTACATCATCGGCGTTGGCAACGTCGGTTGGTTTGGCAAAAGGAGTGGCCAGGCTAGCCTTGAAGAAGAGACAGGACAGGAATAAGTGGGTGATGATCTTCTTGAAGTAAAACATCCTGACTGGAGGTCAATGGGCACAGTATCTGAATGTGAGCTGAGTAGGGTAAGGGTGGTTCGATGAGAAGATTGGGTTTGAGAGAGAATTGAACGTGAGAAGGCTGGGAGGGAAGGTGAGCATTTTATATGTGACACCTAGTGTTCGCAACATCAATCCTAGGTGCACTTGAGTAACCGCTCTAGCCAAAATCTACAGTCAATATCATCATATCTGTCATGCTCATTGCTTACTCCTGAGACACAGCCTTTTGAACCTAAGAGTACGTGCAACACGGGACACAGCGAAGATATAGGAATATCAATCTACAAATCCACTAGTCATTGCATTGGGCGATTTGATGTTGTCTAATAAGACGAAACCCCCCGGAGAGAAATGCCAGTGATTACCTGTTGCAGTCCGATATCAAACAGCTTAACGCAGGCATCCTGCGCAGGAATCTCATCTGCTTACTTGTATACAGACGAACCAGCAGGATATCTCCCGTAGCTCATGTAGTCAACTTACCACCCGTCGCTCTTCCAAGAATGGGCCGTTCATCCCCATAGTTTCACGAAGTACAGAGTGCCTCCAAGGAAGGGAAAGCATGCCCCGAAAGAAAACATTAGCAAACCACAAACTTTCCTACTATTTCACAAAAGCGTCTGCCCAACAACATACCCCCCCATTCCATCCTATCCCAGTGGTGATACCTAGAAAGCATCTATACTAAACCAATATCCAATACCTCCAGCTGACCGCCCATACACGTGACCTCGCGCAGTCTCCCCGCGTCGTCCGACGCGCCGATCCCAAGCCCAGCTGCTCGCTATCAATCCGGCACGCTTTGTCTATCCCGAGTGGAGAATCACGGGGAAGGTGTGATTTGCAGGCCTGCTACCTACCCTTACGCATCCGTGGAAACGGACCGGGCCTTTTTTTTCTTTCTTTCCCCCCTTCCATAGTGAAGTGACGTCTTCCAAAATGTGAGCTTTTGTTCTGCATCCGGCCACAAACATTCTTTACTAATCAGCCCGTCCGCAGGTGTAAGTTCCGCGGAGGGTCGTGTGAAAGATCGAATGGATGAACGCTGAGGTTACTGACTATCTGGGGTTTGCTTGTCGCAGCGAAGATAGATAAGTTGTCGATATTGGGGTGAGTGATTTCCTTAGATATTATTCGGATGAGAATAATTATGAGAGTGAGTTGCTGACTGGGTTGCTGGCGATGGGTTCTAGTGTTCGGTCGTTCGATAATACGCGCAGCGAGACGATTCAGTTTCACACTCCTCTTACGTTGATTGTTGGGTATAATGGATCTGGAAAGACGGTATGATGAATGGAGTATGATGGTACTATGGAAGTCGTCGGGCTAATGGAGTTGGGGGCAGACTATCATCGAGTGTCTTAAATATGCGACTACCGGCGATTTACCACCCAATAGCAAGGGTGGCGCGTTCATCCACGACCCGAAAGTAAGCGACTTATAACATATGGTATTGAGTAGGATGGACAGACATGTTGATATATAATGGCAGCTATGTGGCGAGAAGGAAGTCCTGGCCCAGGTGAAACTGTCCTTTAAGGGCACGTCGGGTGCAAAGATGGTCGCTACGAGGAGTCTACAACTCACGGTGAAGAAAACAACACGACAGCAGAAGACGCTAGAGGGCCAGTTGTTGATGGTTAAGGACGGTGAGCGGACATCTATCTCCTCCCGGGTGGCGGAGTTGGATCAGATTATGCCTCAGTATCTCGGCGTGTCGAAGGCCATCCTGGACTCCGTTATATTCTGCCATCAGGACGAGAGCTTGTGGCCGATGAGTGAACCGTCAGTCCTGAAAAAGAAATTTGATGAGATCTTTGAAGCCATGAAGTACACGAAGGCGATCGACAATATCAAAGCATTGCGGAAGAAGCAGAATGAGGAGCTTGCTAAGTACAAGATAATGGAGCAACACGCCAAGGAGGATAAGGAGAAGGCCGACCGTGCAGAGAAAAGATCGATCAAACTCCAGGATGAAATTGAAGCTCTGCGCGAAGAGACGCACCAGCTCTCCCAGGAAATGCGCCGAGTGGCCGAGCTTGCTGATAAAGCTTGGAAGGAATCGGAAAGTTACTCTCAGGTTCTGGGTGCGCTTGAAGGAAAGCGCATTGAGGCAAAGAGTATTCAGACGACTATTGATAACCTCAAGAGACACCTGGTTGAGCTAGACGACTCCGATGAGTGGCTTCAGTCGAACTTGGAGCAATTTGAGTCAAGGCAACTTCAGTACCAGCAGCAAGAAGAAGCCAAAAAGGAGAACTATATGGAGCTCAAGGAGCAGATCGAGCAAACTCGCCAAAGGCTGGGTGTCAAACAAGCTGAGTACGGCAAGTTTGAGAACGACAAAGCCAACTTCGAGCGCCAGGTTGAGCGGCGACAAAGGATGACGAAAGAGGTCGCTCGAGCGCACAATATTCGTGGGTTTGACAATGTCGAGGATCAGGCGGACGTTGATGAGTTTATGCGGAGAGTGCGAAAGATCCTGAAAGATCAGAATCAGGTATTGGAACGAGTGAAGAAAGAGGCCCAAAGTGAACTACGCGACGTCCAGGCAACCCTTAACCAGATCGGACAACAGAAGTCGGCGCTACAGGAAAGTAAAAACGCAGCCAAGCGACAGATTGCCTCGAACGATCGAGAAGCAGCTACCTACCAAGGAAAGCTCAACGAGATCAACGTGGACGAAGGAGTCCAGGCTGCACTGGAGTCGAACATTGAAGACATCGGATCTCGTTTAGACCAAGCCAAACAGCGCGCACGATCCGCATCGTGGGACAAGGAGATCCAGAATGTGAACTCACAGATCCGCGACCTTGAGGATGAGAGCTCGCGCTTGAATTCCGAGCTCATTGAGGCGACAAAGAAGGCTGGTGATTTGGCTCGACTAGACCACCTCAAGAAGGAGTTGAAGGAACGGGAGCGCAGTTTGGAGACGATGAAAGGAGCCCATGGTGAACGACTAATGAAATTTGTGAACGCCAACTGGAGCCCCGAATCTTTAGAGCAGGATTACCAGCACGTCATAGAGGAGGAATCCAGACATGTCTCAAGGGCAGAGCGCGAGCGTGATGGAGTCAGCAGAGAACTCGAGCAGGTGGAGTTCAAAATGAAGGGCGTCAGGAAGACACTAAGTCAGCGACAGAAGGAGCTCAAGGAGTGCATTAAAGAGATCCGCGATGCCGTCGATGACGAACCGGAAGAATACCCCGAGATCCTAAAAGAGCGTCAAGCTCAGCTTGACCTAGCCAGGAAGGACGCTGAACAATATGCTGGAGTCAGCAAGTACATGGCTGACTGTCTCGAAACAGTGAAGTCAGCAAACATGTGCAGATTGTGCATGCGGACATTTCGAACCGAAAACGAGCTACAGACCTTCAGGAACAAATTAGAGGGGTTAGTGAAAAGAGCGAAAAGGGTGATGGAGGATGACGATATACCCCGTCTTGAAGAGGACCTTAATACTGCCCGCGAGGCCAGCACAGCCTACGATGCCTGGTGTCGGCTGAAGCAGACAGAAATCCCAGATCTGGAGAAAGAGGAAGAAGAGTATATTGCTCAACAAGACAAGCTCTTGAGCCAATTGGAAGAGAACGACAAGATAGTCAGCGAAAAGGCCGATAAAAAGAAAGACGTCGAGTCGTTGTCAAAGACGGTCAACACTATTGTCAGATACGACAGTGAAATCAAGGCCATACGCTCTCAAGTCCAGGAATTGTCTACGAAACAGCAAGATACAAACGCCTCTCGCACACTGGAAGATATCCAGGACGAAATTGCGGGAATTGGCGAAAAGTCCCGGGCCTTGAAGAAGACTTTGTCGAAACTCACTCATGAGAAGGAGCAAACATTGTCTGAGATGAACAAACTGGAGCTACAGCTCAGGGACGTCAAGAGTAACCTCGACAACGTGAAATTCAAGCTTGAGCGGAAGGCAGACCTCCTGGCTCGCATTGAGGAGTACAAAAACCTTAACAACCAACAACGCGAAGCAATTGCAAAGGCGGACAAGGAGATTGAAGATCTAACGCCTGAACTCCTCAAGGTTCAAGCCAAGTACGACGATATCAGCCAGCGTGCTGAAGCGCGTGAAAGGGACATGCAGCAGGAGATCTCACACCTCTACGAGAATATACACCAACTTGAACTGGCTAACGAGGAGATCGACGCCTACAACGAGCGAGGCGGCCCTCATCAACTAGAGCGCAGCAAGCGTGAACTGCAAAGCATCGAGAACGAGATCAGCAATCTCGAAGTCGAGCAGGCCAATATTACTAAAGACATTAACAAGATTTCCGCCCAACTCAAGGACAGCGAAAACACCAAGCGTCAATACGCAGATAACCTGACATACCGCCAGGCGACCCGCTCACTTGACGAAGTGACCGAAGAGATCGAACAGCTGGCGGCCCAAAACGCTGAAGTTGACCGAAGCCGCTTTAAAGAAGAATCCGAGCGCAGGGCACGAGAGCACAACGCGCTCGCCGCCAAACAAGCCAGCAAAATGGGCGAGATGAAATCCAAAGACGACCAACTGATGCAGCTCCTCGCAGACTGGAACACCGACTATAAAGACGCAGCAAGCAAGTACAAAGAAGCTCACATCAAAGTGGAAACAACCAAAGCCGCAGTGGACGACCTAGCGCGGTATGGCGGCGCCCTCGACAAAGCCATCATGAAATACCACGGGCTCAAAATGGAAGAAATCAATGCCATCATCAGCGAGCTCTGGCAAAAGACCTACCGAGGCACAGACGTCGACACGATTCTCATCCGCTCCGACAACGAAAACGCCAAGGGTAATCGTTCTTACAACTACCGCGTCTGCATGGTCAAACAAGGCGCAGAAATGGATATGCGCGGCCGCTGCAGTGCCGGTCAAAAGGTGCTAGCAAGTATCATCATCCGGCTCGCTCTTGCGGAGTGCTTCGGTGTTAACTGCGGTCTGATTGCTCTTGATGAACCTACGACGAATCTTGACCGCGATAACATTCGCTCGCTTGCGGAATCGCTTCATGATATTATCAGGACTAGACAGCAGCAGGCGAACTTCCAGCTTATTGTCATTACCCATGACGAGGAATTCTTGCGGCATATGCAGTGCGGTGACTTTAGTGACTACTATTACCGGGTTTCGAGGAATGAGAAGCAGAAGTCGATTATTGAGAGGCAGTCTATTGCTGAGGTATCTTTGCTCCCTTCTCTGCTATCCCTCAGTGTGATATATATCTAGGATTGAGTGAAAGTCAAAGACTAACGTTTTCTTGTTCAGGTTATGTGATGTGGTCACTCTTCGAGTTTCCGAACATGCTATGAACTGCAAGTCTCCCCCTATGGAAGAAAGGGCGGTTTTATCAGCAATCTTATGGTTACGTTCTATGTAAAATTACCTGGTATTTGATATGGTTACCGAGCATGAGGCGGCGTTGGGGAATCAGAAAACAAGACTTTATTGCTTTTTGACATACACCATGATGTCCCACTATTTTCAAACCCAATCCGTATGATATCATGTACGACTTACTCCAGATCATCACCATCCTCATCATTCAGTAACGGCACAAACCGGAAATCCACAAACGTCACAACAGGTGGCGGACCCCCCTTCAGAGGCCGTACACCACCAGCTCCATTAACATCAAACTCAATCATGAACTGGAGACTCAAGACACCCTGCCGATCTCCACGAATGCTCACCTTATTAGCCACCGCCATAGCACGCGCCGCCTTCTGGATCAGCGCAAACTTGTAATTCTGCTTGAGGCGAGACCCCATCGACGACGGCGGACTGACAAGAAACGTCTCCGTGACAGTCGGTGCAAGTTTGGCTTTCTTCGCACGGGAACCTTCATCAATTGAGCCTCTTGCATCGCCTCCCTGCCCATTAGCCCCGCCATTCTCGACGGAGAATTCTACAGACGACTCGCTGAACGAGCCTCCCGTGCCGGAGAGAGCGAAGAACGGTTCGTGGGTCGCGGACGCGGAGATCTTCAACACCGATGGACTTGTAGCGGCTAATTCTGCGACGGCGTTATGGAGCCAGGCAGAGCGCATGATAATCTTCATGATGATGGCATCTCGTTGAAGGGGGATGTCGACTTCGCTGCCTTCTGTTTCGTAGGTTGTTAATTCGCAGGTGGTTTTGACCCCCGTCTCCGATAGCGTGATGCTGAGGGGCGAGCCTTCGCTGGTGTAGCGGATTGTGCAGGAGCGGTCTAGGAGTAAACTGGGGGCGGAGAAGGCGCCGGGTCCAGATGGGTGGGTTGGTTGGACGCTGGATGCTCGACCGGCGTTGGGGTTGGTGGAGGAGTCGTTGGTGCCGAAGATCTTTAGGGTTTCTAGGAGAGCGGACAAGGAGACGACGAAGCATGGGTAATAGGTGGAGGGGTCGGAAGTTGAGTCGTCGTCGTTGTCGTCCGTTGTCGTCCCTTGGTTTGGCGCGGCTGGTGGGTTGAAGGTGTAGCTGGTGAAGAGGGCTTTGTCGAGGAAGGCGAGCCCTTGGATGACTCGCATCTCTTCTGCGGAGAAGCGGATTCCATCCGGGGTTATTTGCACGGTGGCTCTGGGTGCGAAGCCGATGCACTGAAGGAGGGTGTAGAGGTGGTGGGCATTGCTGGAGACAGCAGTGAAAATGGGTTCCGTGTCCGTCATGATGATTTGGAGTGGGATTGGCTTAAACACGACAGGGTATAGAGTCGAGAGCTATGTTAAGATAGAGAGCTGGAGTGCGAAGAGAACTTTGGTGATTATAAAGGTAACGATTTGCTTCGTTTCAAACTCTCCAGTGTATGGTACATGGGTATCTGGGAAACAACTGGAATTTTTAAACGTAGACCCCAACGGCACAGATCATGAATACGGCTCCGAAGCTAAAGGTGGCATTTGTTAGCGATGGTTGATAGAGTGGCTGCTATTAGGGTCTGCGGCTTACCCAAACGCCAAAGATGCCGGGACTCCGAAGGAAGCGATGCTGAGGAAGGAACGATCTGCTCAAGTTGTAAGTATGCGTTTGTGATCTTAGTGCGAGACATTTCAGAAGTTGAAAAGATCTCTGGTGCGGTGTACTGACTCAACCCGAAAAGTCCAGTAAGGATGAAAGCTGTTGTAAGTTAGTTGATTGTTTGGAGTGTGAGAGGTCGGATCCGGCTCACCAGCAAGTAGTAGACTGAAGCCGACAAGGAACTGGCTGTCCTTAGAGACCGGAGGAGTATACGGGCTTGCAGAAGCTGCCTGCCAGACTTCGTTCAGAGACATGAGGGCTTGTGAGGTGCGCTTAATTTCAATGGCTTGTGTATAAAGGAGAGAAGACAGTTAAAGAGAGGAAATGAGGAGAAGAAGGAGAGGGAGCTTCCCTCAAGCTGTCGTCGTAATGCCATGGAGCCCGAACTAGTAATTGGTTATCTGGCTTGACGGCCGCGGATCAACATCCTCCCGTTCCGCTCCCCGTATCGCGGCCGCAGCTCGTGTGGAGAGAGAGGCTGAGGTTCAAGACGCATTCGTCTAGAAGTCATCAATAATCATCGCGCAACATGCCATCAATCACGGATAGTAAGTGTCTGATGCTGGATCACGCGTCTTCGCGACTGTCCTGGTCTATTTGCTCATGTCAGGTTCAGGTGCCAAGCGGAAAGCATCGGAGGAGGCGCTCTCCCCAGATTCCCATAAGAAGGCGCGCACTGACTCTCCCGAGAGGGAACCCAAGGTATGTTGCATCATATCTTTGTATGAAGTATGACACTAATGTACCTTGTTCTGCATTAGACCGAAGATGACCTCCTGGATAAGCCACCGAGAATCGTTCCCTTCCCGGAGAAGGTAAGCCCTCAGACAGCCCGCAGACCCGCCCGAGCTCCGATGACGCTGACTCCATGGTAGCCTGCAGTACTGGAGGAACGTCGCGGCGATATCGAGTTTCGTGTAGTCAACAACGATGGTTCGCGCGACAGTTTTGTTGTCCTTACAGGTCTCAAATGTATCTTTCAAAAACAGCTCCCGAAGATGCCCAAAGATTATATCGCGCGATTGGTTTACGACAGGTCGCATCTTTCCTTGGCCATCGTCAAACACCCTTTAGAAGTTGTGGGAGGGATCACATACCGGCCGTTCAACAGCCGCAGGTTCGCCGAGATCGTTTTCTGTGCCATTTCGTCCGACCAGCAGGTTAAAGGATACGGTGCGCACTTGATGTCCCATCTCAAGGATTATGTGAAAGCCACATCGGACATCATGCATTTCCTGACCTACGCCGACAATTACGCCATTGGTTACTTCAAAAAACAAGGGTTCACCAAAGAGATTACTCTCGACAAGTCCGTGTGGATGGGATACATCAAAGATTACGAGGGTGGTACAATCATGCAGTGCACCATGCTCCCTAAGATACGGTACCTCGAGGTTGGCCGCATGCTTTTAAAGCAAAAAGAAGCTGTACACGCGAAAATCCGGGCCTTCAGTCGCTCACATATAATTCACGTGCCCCCAAAGGAATGGAAGAATGGTCCGTGCAAGATCGACCCATTAAGTATACCAGCTATCAAAGAGTCGGGATGGTCGCCGGACATGGATGAACTAGCACGTCAACCACGCCACGGACCCAACTACAATCAGCTGCTGCATCTACTCAACGACATGCAGAACCACAGCGCGGCATGGCCCTTTACTCAGCCAGTCAATCGCGACGAGGTTCCTGACTATTACGAAGTCATTAAGGAGCCCATGGACTTGTCCACCATGGAAGAGAAGCATGAGAAGGACATGTACCCTACGCCGCAAGATTTTATTAAAGACGCTATGTTGATATTTGATAACTGCCGGAGGTACAACAACGAGAACACGCCCTATGCAAAGAGTGCCAATAAATTAGAGAAATTCATGTGGCAACAGATACGAAATATTCCGGAGTGGTCGGTGAGTATTAGGACTTGATTCTCCTTCTTGAAATGCCTATACCCGATCGCTAACATGACGCAGCACTTGGCCGATGGTCACTGATAATGGCGTACTCTCTGTGTGTTGTTGGAGTTCTTGAAAGGCGTTTCCGTGGCATGAACAAATACCCAGGTGTGGAGAACATGGCGCATCTTAGCTTTTAGCCTGTCTCTTCTGTTGATTTCGTGTTTGATAATTTCCGACAATATTAGACACATTGATCGGTTGCAGCCTTGTTCAGAAACGTTTGTTTGTTCGTTTGCTCCATTGCGCGCTATTTCACCAACCAAGGGTCCATTGTTCGTCAGCGACGAACGTCCCATTCAGTTTCTCCGGGTCTCCTTCGGTGGCAGCGCGCACAATGACCCTGGCCCCGTCGCTTGCTTCCTTGACCCCTTGGCCTCCGTTGATACTGGTGCGGCAGTAGCCCGGAGCAGCCGCAATGACGGTGATTTTCTCCTCAGCCAGCTTTACCGCATGAGCGACGGTGATCATATTGACCGCTGCTTTGCTACTGCGGTAGTCAGGTATGAAATAGGTCTTTGCGTTAGCCGGGTGATCCTTGTGGCCGGCTCTGCTGATCAGACCCTGTCCGGACGTGACATTGACAATGCGGCGATCGGAAAACGTCGACGCACGCAGCAATGGGAGGAATGTATCCATGACAACCACGATGCCAAACACGTTGACATCGAAAACTTGCCGGTATTGCTCGCGCAGGGTAGTAGCAGGTGTCTGCGCAATGCCCGCATTGTTGATCAGGATGTCCAGACGTCCGAATGATTCCGATACGGTCTGGGCAGCTGCAGCGATAGATGCGTCATCTGTCACATCGATGGTGATGGGTGTGAGAGCTGATTTGTCCACTGCATCCGATGACAGCTCCTTAATTGCAGCTTCGGCCTTGGGTGTCGTGCGCGCGCCGACTAGCACATGGAACTTGCTTGAGCTAGCTAGTTGCCGTGCCGCGGCGAAGCCGATGCCTTTGTTGGCGCCGGTGATGAGAACGAGGACTTTGGAGGTCGTCATTTCGCATGAAACAGCTGAGATGATATCTGCGAGAGCAGATTATATCTGAATCCAATGGGGTTTGGGGCCCTTGATATAGTTATTATACTCCGTAGAAGTCCGAACCCCGAATCCGTTAACTCCGTTACGTCCTTCTTAAGACCTCTACAATAAGCACTAATTGCCCGATTGTCCTTCTTATCGCCGCTGCATTCTACTGTTACTGTCTGGTTAGAAGAAGAAACGCTGATTCGTTAGATGATATTGTGAAGCCTATTTTGTATCACTCCATTCCTTGATGGTTGGATGTATAGTGGCAGTACTAGTATAATCCTTCTATTGGGTTTCTCAAGTGACTCAGTCGCTGGATGCGCCATAATCGGCTTGGACACAGGAGCTGCATTTCTCTTCTAATGGATTCAGTCGAGGATGCATCAGAGATAAGACTGGTCGAGTTAAGCCTCCGTAAATAGGAGGTCAAGTCCAGCGACTGCAGAGAATTGTTGGAAACCGGATTCAGCTGACCATGACAAAGTTCCCTTTCAAACAATGGAGGTCTGACATGTTAGAGAGTTGGAACTGAAACCTTAGCCTTGGCGTTAGCTTAAAGGTGTCGAAGAAGCCATCTAGCATATCTCCTGAAGTTAAGCAGGATACAGGAGATGGCGGTGAAAGGTAGGTGGGTGTTTTCGATATCTTCTGATTATTTTGTCCTACTCAACAGACTTGCTGTTCTGTGCTATCTAGATAGTTCGGTGTACACTAGAAAATGCACCATAAACAATGATATCATTGAGTAACCTTAAAACGAAGTTAAAAACGGGGGGGTCACTGGCTTATCATCGGCACGATTTTCATTATTTGCCGTCCCGTTTTAATCTAATTATTTGCCCAGTGCACAAAGCAAAACACTCGTTTTTGGGGTGGCTTGCAGAAAAACGGTCCAGTCCATGACCCGCCCCCGGCAAATGGTTAATGTTCGAGATTATAATTATTATTAAAAATAGGGCACAGATGCAGAATCGAAGGTACGAAAATTCTGTCTCGTCTTTGCCAGCCACGGCCCTGCAATAATCACTTATTATTATGGACCGACCGAGAACCAACGGTGCGGATCCGCCGTGGGTTGCTTTTTTTGGGTGGGATGAATGGATGGAGCCTGTCGGTTGGACAGATGCAGTTAGTAACTATTAGATGAGGACCAACATAAGGGCTGCATAGAGGATGTACCGTAATTGGGGTGACTGGGGCGGAGTTCTTTTCCTACGTTGCAGATGAGAAATACTGAAAAGGAATAATGTAACCTTGCTCTTATAGTTACGAGAATCAAGACCAGGAGGAATTCATCCGCGCTTTACACAAAAGCAATCATCATCATCATCGGCTCGCAAAGAAAAAGGTTTACCCCTTGGCGAGTGTCAAAAGATCGGCCGCGAGTGGAGCGAAGTCATTTCGGGGAAACATTAATGCGAAGAACCATTGCTGGAAAAGAGTGGGGACTCAGGCACCTCCCTCAGGCATCACGAATCACGAACTGGTTGGCCTCCAAACTAGTCTTTTCGCCCGTCGCTGCGTGTCTGCGGGCTGGCCATCCACACCCTTTCCCTCGCTTTTACCCTTGGCTTCGTCAATCTCTTTTCCCCTCCTTCTCTTCTTCTTCTTCTGGCTCTTGCTCTTGCTGCTGCCTGTGAATCCACTTCCCGAGCCTCTCCTGGATGGCTTGTGTCGCAACTTCCTGACCTCTCCTGCAGTCGGTCGGCTGTTTTGTTTACTGCCTCGGATTACCTTACGACCCTCTGCAGGGCCTCCTGGCTTGCACATAAGCCTCAATTCGTCCCCGTATCGCTGCAATCTCATGCCCGAGTGCTGAACTCCAACTGTTTGACCGTCGTTCTTTTTTTATCGTCGTGTCTCGCCAGCCTTTTCCTCGATCAGCTACAGACAAAACACGCGCCGGATCCCTTCCCAATTGCTCTTTCGACTCCTTTGTCCACCCCCGTCCCTAACTCAAATCCGACGTTCGCTCGTTCCCCTTTTTGGCCCCTCATCGCGGCGCAGCTCCTTCGAGCTTGACTCAGAAAGAGAGAGAAAAAAAATATACATCCAACATTTACCCTTCAGCAAGAGAGATTCCCAACACTCGTTCCACCATGGCGTCGCCGTCTCTTTCCAGCTTGGAGCAGCGCAATCGCCTCCCCACGCTCTTCGAAGTCCTCAGTCGCCGGACCCTCGCTCCCGTCGACCTGTTTTCCTTCTATATCTATATGCGGGACCAGCAGCGCTCGGTGGATTATCTGGACTTCTGGTATGCTTGGGAAACAATGTGTTACTTGCTGTTGGGCTATTAATAACCCATGTCTCTTAGGCTCGATGTCTCGCAACACATGTCCCTCTGTCGTCATTACGTTCGGGAACTACGTCGGTCCGTTTTGGTAGCTACGCCTGATCTTGAGAAGGCCGACAGCAAAGGCTCTTCCGGCGCATTGGATAATATCGAGCATTACAATGACATCCCGCTTGTGGAAGCAGGACCGTCCAACTCGCGCCATGGATTAAACGATGTGGGCGACCGGAATGCTGACCAGAGACTGTCGGCGTTTCTCCGCTCTGAAGGTCAAACATCCGGACACTCGCCTCAAAGCAGTCTTGGTTCGCAGAATGTTGCTCGCGTCACCTCGAATGAGCAGCCGCCTCGGGACAGTTCTGGAACACGGAATGACTCACCTTCTCCAGGCCACACGGTGGCACGTGCCGATATTCGCGCCAGCGCAGAGAAGATTCTGTATACGTACCTGCTTCCGGGGGCAGAGAGAGAAATCGTTCTGCCCGAGGAGATGGTATCCGGCATCATCAATCTGATCGAGGACGACGGCAGAGATGATCCTGAAGTATTTGATCCGGCGAAAGACTATGTTTTTCAGGCAATGGAGCGCGACGCTTTTCCAGGGTTCTTGCAGGCCAAAGCTTTGGGAAATCTAGTCCCCTTGACGATCCTCGCACGACTGGCGTTTGCCCTTATCAGCTTCGGTGGAGGCTTCTGGGGCGCATTCTACGTGGTTCTCCGGGACAAACCCCGGCATATCCGTTGCTGGGTAAGGAGCCAATCCTCGTTCGCAGGCCTGATATTTTACTAACATCTGACCAGTTGATCTTGCCTTTTGCCATTGCCTCTTACTTCATCGTCTCGTACCAGTACAAGATTGACCCGGTCATGGCTTTCCTCGGCTACAGCGAGTACACGTTCATGAATTGGTCGCCGATTCGCGAGCCATACGTGCGCAAACTACTGAACAAGCGGGCCACTGCCACTGCCATGATCGCCTTCTTTGTCGCCGCAGCGTTGAGTATACTGTTCATCTTTGTGCCCGGTACTATGCTCTAATCTCCGTAATATTGCGTATACCCCTGCCGATTTCAATTCGAAATCTGTTTCAATTTCTACGGCCGCGTGATACCGCTTTTGGGCAGCATATATGTGCATCTTGATTCTTTCTGAGCGTTAGCCAGCGTATCTTGCTTCTTGGGTCCAATTCAGCGCATGGATATAAAGAGAGCTTTTGCCTCCCCGAATGGCCTCGGGATTCTCTTAATGTGAGAAGGGGCAGATACCCAGTGCTTGGAGCTCCAGAGATGGCTGCTGTAGAGCATCCATGCCCCTGGTCCCATAGCAAGTGGGATTTACATCTGCCAACCAACTATCCATGGACTGGCGTGACACACCAGGTCCGTCGGGTCACGACGTTCATTTCACACACCCTACACCTTGTGTATATTGGGTTCCTTTCATTGTTTATTTACCTTTCTTACATAATACCCCTCATCTGCTGGATTTGCATGTACGTTAAACGATTTCTCTGAGGCTTTGGTGTTGTGGATAGTCCACGGTAATTAGATTCTATTATGATATACTGATGCCATATATGTGTCTGACCTGTGAGCATTAGCTCGATAGTAACTTCCATTCCCAGCTTCCCATTACTCGTACCATTCATAGGAGAACCTATCGAAGACTCGAAACGCTACCATCATGATGCTATTCGCTATAATGGGACTCAGGTCCATAGTAGTAAAATCTAGTACTAGTTTAACTGTTTACTACCGAAGGTAACTATGACTTCTTCCCCAACACCCGCTTAGGATGTCTAGCCGGCCCCGACGAAGCACCACCCAACCTCGCTCCAGCCCCATCATCAATATCCATCCTAGAGCCCCCGCCCCCCATCCCATCCCCTCCTTCAAGCCCATACTCCCAATACCCATCATCATCAAGTTCATCCGCAGCGAACTCCCTCTTATTCCCACCAATCACCCCACCACCCCTACCACCCTGCTGCCACCCACCACCACCTCCCACCTTCTTCTCATCCATCTTAGCCCCCCACCCGGCAAGCGCCTTCTCAAACAACACCTCCTTCTCCCGCTCCTCTGCCCTCCGTCTCGCCGACTCCGTCTTGATCCGAATAATCTCGGCCTCAATATCCCCAATCACGTCCCCGCAGCGCGTCTCCCACGCCGTCAGGATGTCGATCATCTTGCCCAGCGACTCGGGCTTCACATCCCGAAGGGGCGCCACGGAGGTGACATTCACGGTTGGCGGGTTGGAAGCGGGCGATAGACGGGCTGTAATGAGCGAAGCGTAGATGGCTTTTGTGACGAGGGATTCGAGCTCCGAGGGTTGCGTGATGGATAGGGCGGTCATGAGTGTGTTGTAGGTTAGGGGGTTGGTTGTTGTGGAGAGAGAGAGGAGGGAGAGGAGGCGGAGTTTGAGCGTTTGGGCGTCGTTGAGGGGGGGAAGGTTGGGTGTTGCTGTTTTTAGTTAGCTATGTTTCTTGGGTGTACTGGGTGAGGGGGTTGTACATTGATAGTCTTGCCATGTTCCCCAGGCGAAGATCTCAAGGAGAGTCAGGTAGCTTGCATACTCAGCGGGTGTGTTGGGGTCGCGGAGGGATTGGATGGCTGGGGTGGTGAGGAGTTCGGCGAATACGTAGGTGTTCGGGTTGGAGGTTGCGTTTGTGATTAAGTTTGTGATGAAGCGCGGGGATGTCGCGCTGTTCGAGGTGGCGAGGTGGATGAATGGTTGGAGGGCTTCGAGGGCCCGGGTGTGTATTTGGTCCATTTTGTGGTTGTTGTTGTGAGGATGAGGGGGTGAGTGGTGAGTGGTGAGTTTAGGGTGCTTGGATTGGTAGGGTGGATTGAGGTGGTAGGTAGGTAAATGTATCACTGTGTGGGTTGCGGTGATGCGTGCTCCATCGATTGTAATACTGTGGAGGGATGAAAGTGGTGCTGATGTTGATGTTATTGATAGTGATGATGATGGTATGAGAGGCAGCGATGATGTCCCTCGTGGTGTTTGCACCTGATGCAAACAATGGGATGCATGTCCGGACGGTGATCTCGTCTTCTGAAGTCAATGACATTGTCAACTTCCGTTTCTGATAATTAGTCCGCTCATGATAGCTACGATGAACTAATTGTCTCGCTGCTAACTAGTTGTATTACAGCTGATATTCTACAGACAAATCCGGCTTTCCAAGTCACTTATTCGGCTACTCTCCATATAGTCGAAACGAAGCCGGTTCGGTGCCAAGTGTTTCACCTCCAGACCCTTCAGTCCTTGTCTGAGTTTGATGTCCCATGACAGCTGCTACTAGGATGGAGCATATAATAAGCATGATGCTTCTCGTGTCGCAGCATCAGACGTGGTCATTTCCCTCTCAGTCTGGGCTAGGGGTCTGAGTTGATCCCTCCATCGGGAGGTCATACCGGAGACCGTGTGCAGGCAGATAAGCACCGTTAGATGGGTAGTAGTTACAGGCCAGATAAGTGCTAGCGCATTCGTGGGTGGCTTATTGAGCTGGATCGGACAGTTCAGCTGATCCCTATGCGATCTTATTGACAATATTACTGCATAGCTGGCCTTACACCTACCGAAAAATGCATCCGAAGATGAACCATGAACCCGGTACTGGAGTTCAATACCTTACCTATGTATACTACAGTACTACTTTGTATACTAGCAGTGGTCCCCCGAGAGCAACCAAGTGGTCCCAGCCTTCCAAATGCCCTGAAGCGGCAATGTTGCCCGATTTGGGGAAGAAAAACTCACGTAAGTCCGCGGGGCGGCGGAGACAGCCTGACGCCATGCACTGCGTATTTTTCTGTTAGCGCCATCGTCTCGGTGGGTTGGGATGCGCCTGGCATCATTCCTCCCGACTCGATCTAATCTTAGTCCGTTGCTGAATGGGATTCCCTCGGCCTGGAATGTCTTGGTTTTACTGCTGTTTACCATTCTTTCCATCCCACGCTCTTTGTGTGCGAGTGTGTCTGGTCTAAGATTAGGTTTCTTCCCGTGCAATAACCCATTCAGCTCCCGTACCATCCGTAGTAATAGTTCTTCTTGTCTTAGTGTCTTGATGTAATTAATTGCTGCATGTTTAAAAAGGCTCGGCGTATCCTTCCGTCGCATCCGGTCCGAATGTCTCTTAATCGAACGACCCTTGCGTGTTACTAGCATTTTCTTGCTTATCCTTTCCCCTCCCTTCCTTTATTATCTCCCCGACCTCCTCGTCCCCCTCTTCCTCCCAGACGAACGCATGCATTAACACACACCGCGCGTCCCGACCGTCCTTGTCCGGCTTCTGCAGCAAATCGGCGCAACATGGCGGCCTCATCCTCCGCTCTGCTAGGCGCCGGCAACCATGGCGCTTCTTCCGACCGATCAGCAGCCCATATGGCGACCACAACAGTCAACGTCGAGGGAATGACGTGCGGTGCTTGCACCTCCGCCGTCGAGGGCGCCTTCAAGGGGGTGGAGGGTGCTGGCGAGGTGACCGTCAGCTTGATGATGGGCCGGGCTGTGGTCCATCATGACCCAACCCTGCTTCCTGCGGAAAAAGTCGCCGAAATTATTGACGATTGTGGCTTCGATGCGACGGTTGTCTCTACGGATAGTGCTTCTACGCCGGCGGATGGTTCCCGCGGGGCCAGGGATAAAGTGTTTCAGCTGTCAACCACGACGTTGGCGGTTGAGGGCATGACATGCGGTGCTTGCACCTCCGCGGTGGAGGGAGGATTGAAGGATACACCTGGTGTGCATTCAGTTAATGTGTCTTTGCTTTCCGAACGAGCAGTCGTGGAGCATGATCCGTCTCTCGTTGCGCCCGACCAGATTGCAGAGATTATCGAGGACCGCGGGTTTGGCGCAAAGGTGCTGGAAACCTCAACGGAGGAGAGCGCTGTCCGCACCTCGGAGGACTTGCCAGGCTCTACATCGGGGCTGATGGTCACGACTGTGTCTATAGATGGTATGACATGTGGTGCCTGTACGTCGAGTATACAGAATGCCTTCAGCGGGGTGGACGGTGTAGTGCAATTCAACATCAGCTTGCTAGCCGAGCGTGCGATTATCACCCACGACCCTACTACACTCACCTCGAAACAAATAGTCAGCATAATCGACGATGCCGGGTTCGATACTACCGTCCTTTCATCGGAAGCACAGGCGCCCATGTCCAGAGGCCTCAGCCGTGTCACTCTCAGCCTCCACGGCTTGCGCGACGCAGCCTCGGCCTCGGCCTTGGAAGACACTCTGCTGCAGAATCCCGGGATTTCATCGGCGTCTGTAAAAATGGCCAACTCTCAAATCACATTGTCGTACGAATCCTCGAAGATTGGTATTCGTTCGATCGTCGAACTGATCGAAAAGGCCGGATACAATGCCCTCTTGTCGCAGTCCGATGATACCAACGCACAGCTGGAGTCGCTGTCCAAAACTAAGGAGGTCCGGGAATGGAAGCGCTCATTCCTATTTTCTGCTTCATTTGCAGTCCCCGTCTTCTTGATCAATATGTTACTGCCGATGTATCTTCCGGTTCTTGATTTTGGCCGTGTTCGACTATGTTCCGGTCTCTACCTTGGCGATGTCGCCTGTCTTCTGCTCACTATCCCGGTACAATTTGGCATTGGAAAGAGGTTCTACGTAGCCAGTTACAAGTCTTTGAAACATCGCTCACCAACCATGGATGTCCTCGTTATGCTTGGTACCTCTGCTGCATTTTTCTACAGCGTGTTTACCATGGTTGTTTCTCTTTTGTCGGATAATGATATCCGGCCAAGTACAGTCTTCGATACAAGCACGATGCTTATAACCTTTATTACTCTCGGAAGATGGCTGGAGAACCGGGCCAAGGGCCAAACCTCTGCTGCTCTCTCCCGGCTCATGTCTCTTGCACCGTCCATGACCACCATTTACGACGATCCGATAGCGGCGGAGAAGCTCGCCGAAGAATGGGGAAATCCTAACGAAAAGCCAAAGGAGCACTCATCCTCGACCACCGAGGAGCGCGCAGGGCCAGGGCACAAACTCATCCCAACGGAGCTCATTGAAGTAGGGGATGTTGTGCTCCTTCACCCCGGTGATAAGGTTTCGGCTGATGGCATTATCATTCGTGGCGAGAGCTATGTCGATGAGAGTATGATCACTGGTGAAGCTATGCCGATCCACAAGGCCAAGGGTAGTGTTGTCATCGCTGGTACGGTCAACGGCACTAGTTCTATGGACTTCAAGGTTACTCGAGCTGGCAAGGACACTCAGCTGAGCCAGATTGTCAAATTGGTTCAAGATGCTCAAACTAGCCGGGCTCCGATCCAACGGATGGCCGATGTTGTTGCAGGCTACTTTGTTCCAGCTATCATCAGTCTTGGTCTTGTCACATTCTTCGGCTGGATGTTCATGAGTCATATCCTACCTCACCCTCCGAAGATCTTCTTGTCTGAAAACAACGGAGGCAAATTCATGGTCTGTCTCAAACTTTGCATCTCGGTCATTGTCTTCGCCTGTCCATGTGCTCTCGGTCTTAGCACCCCTACAGCTGTCATGGTCGGCACCGGCGTGGGTGCCCAACAGGGTATTCTTGTCAAGGGTGGCGCTGTCCTCGAAGCTGCTACAAAGATCAACCACGTCGTGTTTGATAAGACCGGAACCTTGACCACGGGTAAAATGAGCGTTGCTGAAGCTAAAATTGAACCACATTGGACGTCAAACGACTGGCGCCGCAGACTCTGGTGGCTGATCGTTGGTCTTGCAGAAATGAGCAGCGAACACCCCATCGGCAGAGCCATTTTCTCGGCTGCTCAGTCCGAATCCGGCCATCCAGGAGAGGGCGGGTTGCCCGGCAGCTTGGGTGACCTTGAAGCTTGCGTCGGCAAGGGTATCTCCGCCTTAGTCGAGCCCACGTCCAGTGCAGAGCGCATCCGGTACCGTGTCCTGGTTGGAAACCTTGCTTTCCTGCGATCAAGGGACGTCCTCGTCCCTGAAACAGCTGAATCAGACGACTCCGACATCGCCCCCAAGTCTAAGGTCCCTGCCGGCATAACCCAAATTCACGTCGCCATCGATGGCCAATACGCAGGATCCATCTTGCTTCGGGACACCGTGAAGGTGACCGCACCAGCAGCCGTCGCCGCCCTACACCGTATGGGGATCACAACCTCCCTTATCACAGGAGATGCCCATGCCACCGCTGTATCCATCGCCTCTGCAGTGGGGATCCCAACAGAGGCAGTCCACGCCTCTGTCTCCCCCTCCGACAAACAATCCATCGTCGCCTCAATGCAAGACTCCGGCGACCGAGTCGCCATGGTCGGCGACGGCATCAACGACTCTCCCGCCCTCGCCACTGCATCCGTAGGTATCGCCCTAGCCTCAGGCACCGACGTGGCCGTCGAAGCAGCAGACATCGTTCTGATGCGGCCCGACGACCTCCTCTCCGTACCCGCAAGTCTGTCTCTCTCCCGCTCGGTCTTCAACCGCATCAAGCTCAACCTCATGTGGGCCTGTCTATACAATGTCATCGGTCTCCCTTTCGCAATGGGTCTCTTCCTCCCATTCGGTTTCATGCTACCCCCGATGGCCGCCGGCGCCGCAATGGCTCTATCCAGCGTCTCCGTCGTCGTGAGCAGCCTGCTCCTCAAATTTTGGCAGAGACCGGGCTGGATGGATGCCGAGAAGCTACAAAAGGATATCGAGTTGTCATCCGACGGCAGCTTCAATGCCTCCAAGAAGAGCTGGTGGGAGGCCACGCTATCAGTAACTGGATCTAGTTCTCACAGACGCTCGTCCTCGTCCTCCTGGGTCCGGGAATTCGTCTCTGATACTTGGTCGTTCATGACGGGTAGGAAGAGAAGAGGCTCGAATGCCGATGAGGGGCTCTATGTTCCTCTTCAGACGGTGGAGCCGCCTGTATGATCTATACTGTCTATTTCATTTATCTTTCGGTTTTTATAATGGTTGATCTATCTATTGGAGTTACTATATATCTGTCTATATTGGCATGATTGGTGTTTGGATGTTATGACCCCCTAATGACGACTATATGCGTTCTATCTAAATCTGTTGACTGGGTTTTGTTGACGATGGATTGTGATGTGCCGTGTTTATAATTGCGCTGCACAGTATATGAAAATCAACTGGATCAAGTTCGGATGATGAATCACAGTCGCGCACTTGAGTATTTATGCATGCTTGCTCACTGTTAGTTGTAGTAAGTAGTAATTGATAGATAACGCCAAGGGAACACGGTTCATGACAACGATAGTCAAAGTCAAGTCATCAATCATGATTTAACAATGTAAGCTAGCTGGCAGGCAGACAGAGAGAGAGAGTCCAAGAAGAAACGTAATGCGCGACAAGACAAAGCACGACACGCTAATAGATTATGAATATCATATCATGCGACGTCCCAAAAGCTACGCTTGCTGCTGATCTTTATTCGCCGTTTCAGTTACGGAAGCGTTCTCCTCCGGAGCTTTGACATCATCTAGAGAAATATCTCCATCTCCATCTGCTGTCGACTTAGCACCTTGTTCTCCATCCTGGCCAGTAGCCTGCTGCTGCTGGTTCCCTTGCTCTTGCTCCTGCTGCGGCTGAGAATTCTCCTGTCCAGAAGCCTGCAGTTCCGGCGCCCCCTCCCCTCCACTCGAGAGATCCATCTCCACACCCCTACCGTCTTGTAACCCTAGATCCTCCACCCCGACTACAGAGGGACCTCTTGCATGCGGAATATCCTCCAGTGCTTCAGCCGGCGGAGCTTCACCCGTGCCTTCGTTTCCATTTGTGTCTGATGTCACCACCGTCATCGTCTCCGCAGTAGGAACAGATCCCATCTGTTGATCTCCTTGCTCAGCGCCAGTATGCTCCACCCCCTGGGTAGGGAACCCAGTATCCCCCATAAGTGTACCGCTTTCCCCTTCGTGTTCTGGCGATGAGGGATCATTACTCAACCACGGTATCGGAGTGAGAAGAGCTCCGCCTAGAGACTCATCGCTACCGAGCGCATGGTCCGGGAACAAGAGGCCGGTATCGGCGCCGTTGATGACCGCGCCGTTGGGCTGGGGAGCAGCGCCATGATGTGTCGAGTGGAGGGGGAAGATTTCCGCGCTGCTGGTGACGCAGACGACGCGGTCGACGGCGCGAAGATATGCGGGAAGAGTGCGGTAGTGGGCAGTGGGGCGGACGATTAGTTCTGCGAGACGTTGGATAGTGTGTGGGGGTTTTGAGGCGAAGAGGGATCGCAAGGTGGATTTGATGGAGTTTAGGTGGTGTTGGAGGGGTTCGGGAAGAGAGGAGCCTTGCGAGGACGGGGCTTGGGTGTCGATACGCTCAGTTGCGGAGGATTGCTGAGATGATGGCTCGGGCTGTGTGGAGGTCTGGAGAGTCGTGGATGGTGTGGTTGTGGGGACGGTGGGATTAGCAGACTGTTCATGAAGGTCGGGAGGAATCCGCGGCATTGGGAAGACGTTGTATATGATCTGGACGCGAGGTGCATTAGTCGGTGATTGGTTTCGTGGGTGGTACGGGATTTGCGCACATATTCCAATCGTCCTAGCAGGGGTTCGACCATGCTGGGCCATTTCTCACTGGAGGAAACGGAGAATGTCAGCTCAGATTGTACTGCAGGTGCTTGGTTGGGGCGCGAGTTGACATACTAGTCCATCGTGCCGCCATTGGCGACTGTCTGGAGGCTTTCTTCGTCTACGATCGCATGATGGGTTAGCTGAATGGAGCTTGAAGTTGTGCCTGACAAGCTCATTATGAATCAAAGCAAAGAGCGCAGGTCACAAGATGGACGAAAGCAACATTGCAGTTAGGTTCCGGCATTGGCTATAGATTCAAACATACCCAGCGACATGATCCAGCACTTCTGCGCCCAGCGAAGTGAGATGCGACAAGGCCACAGGGGATAAATGCAGAGGGAGAGCAGCAAATGACGGGCGGAATTGACATGGCTCGATCTGGACACGCGGGGACGGCGGCTCCCCCGGCAACCGCAGGCTCTGATTGGGCCCGCCAGCCGCTTATCACTGGCGCACGTGATGGTTATCGGGCGGATTTTTTGCTCCGCCGTGGAGGGGCTGCTTTTCTCTTCCCCAGATCTTTCCCCCTCTGCTTGGTGCGAGCTGGTGCCTGTCCATCTCTGTTTTTCCTCCCTCTTTTCCTATATTCCCTTAAATCAATATGTGGAACTCCCGCAAGGTGGGAATCCTCGGTGGAGGCCAATTGGGCCGTATGCTGGTCGAATCGGCCAACCGCCTCAACATCCAGTGCAACGTCCTTGATGCGGAGAACTCCCCGGCTAAGCAGATTAGCTCCCACGATGACCATGTCACCGGCTCCTTCAAGGAGCGCGAAGCCGTCCGCGAATTGGCGAAGAACTGCGACGTCGTGACCGCCGAGATTGAGCACGTCGATACCTATGCCCTGGAGGAGATCGCCTCCCAGGTCCGCATCGAGCCCAGTTGGCAGGCCATCCGCACCATCCAGAACAAGTACAACCAGAAGGAACATCTCCGCAAATATGGCATCCCCATGGCTGAGCACCGCGAGCTCGCTGAGAATACCCCCGAGGCATTGGCCAAGGTTGGCGAGGAGCTTGGCTACCCCTTGATGCTGAAGTCGAAGACCATGGCCTACGATGGACGTGGTGAGTCACCGGTGTTGCGCCAATTGCTGTTCTTTACTATCCACCAGCAACCACCACTAACTTAGTCCCTCAATCACCAGGAAACTTCCATGTGCGCGGTGCTCACGATATTCCCGAAGCCCTTGAGTTCCTCAAGGGTCGTCCTCTGTATGCCGAGAAATGGGCCTACTTCAAGATGGTATATACCCCTCCACCCTCCACGCCAAATGACCCACATCACCATCTAACACCCATACCCCAGGAACTCGCCGTGATGGTCGTGAAGACCAAGGACGAAGTCCTCTCCTACCCCACCGTTGAAACCGTCCAAGAAGACTCCATCTGCAAGCTCGTCTACGCCCCCGCCCGCAACGTCTCCGATGCCATCAACCGCAAAGCGCAAGAACTCGCCCGGAAAGCCGTCTCCGCCTTCGAAGGCAAGGGTGTCTTCGGCGTGGAGATGTTCCTCCTGGAAGACGACAGCCTTCTCCTCTGCGAGATCGCCAGCCGTATCCACAACTCCGGTCACTACACCATCGAAGGCTGCCCCATGTCTCAATTCGAAGCCCACATCCGCGCCATCCTCGACCTCCCCATCCCCCCTCAGAGCCTCGAAATCCGCCAACCCTCCATCATGCTGAACATCATCGGTGGCTCCGCCCCAGACACCCACCTCAAGGCTGCCGAAAGCGCCCTCTCCATCCCTAACGCCAGCATCCACCTCTACAGCAAGGGCGCCGCCAAACCCGGCCGCAAGATGGGCCACGTCACCGTCACCGCCCCGACCATGCACGAAGCCGAATCCCACATCCAGCCCCTCATCGACGTCGTCGACGAAATCCGCTCCCAGCGCAGCGACGTCCGCTCCAAGCCCCAAAAGTCCGGCGTCTCCAAGCCCGCCCCTTCCGTTGCGGTCATCATGGGCTCCGACAGTGACCTCAAGACCCTGGTTCCCGGTCTCAAGCTCCTGCGGGACTACTTCGGCGTTGAGCCCGACGTGGAAATCACCTCCGCTCATCGCACACCCACCTACATGGCCGAGTACTCTGCCAATGCCGCGGCCCGTGGCATCAAGGTCATCATTGCTGCCGCAGGAGGTGCTGCTCACCTCCCCGGTATGTCGGCTGCTCATACCGCGCTGCCCGTGATCGGTGTCCCAGTTAAGGGTAGCTCTTTGGATGGAGTTGATAGTTTGTACAGCATTGTGCAGATGCCTAGGGGTGAGTCTTCTCCATATTCTTTTCTTCCTTGTTCATCACCTAGATCCTGTTTCCGTCTTCCTTCACATGCACTGTTGCTGCATGCATGCATACATGCACGTAGGATGACAGTCACACACATCATTTCCTGCATATCATATACCGGGTTACGTTACATCCGAGCTGACAACATGTTTTACAGGTGTACCTGTCGCCACCGTCGGCATCAACAACAGCATCAATGCTGCCCTCCTGGCTGCTCGTATCCTCGGTGCTTTCGATCCGGCTATCCAGCGCAAGGTTGAGGCTTATGCGGAGAGCGCTCGGGCTGAGAACATGGAGCTGAAGGGTACTAAGCTGCGCGAGCTCGGTTGGGAGAAGTATTTTGAGCAAATGTAATGGATGTTATGATTGAATGGGTCAAGTTAAAAATGTTGAAAGTATATAGAGTCTAGAAGCAAGTTTCAAATACGAGGGGTAATGATTTTGGTTTCCTGAATTTAATGCCTCATGCTTGTCTGTTTCACTGTAATGAGCCAGGCTATTACTGATGTCTTATAAAATATACAGCTTTCTATCGCAGCTGTTCTTATTATTGCCCAGACATATCGCAGGATATCACAATGAATTAATCATTAACTACTAACACACTTATGCTGATAAGTAAAGCATTAAGTTCGTATAACAAATGAAATGGTCAAGTCGACAACGTCACAAGGTATCAAAAACAGTACAGGCAGGATAAATCAATAACAAAAGCGATACTTGGCTAGCGTGTATGAGCATTGCTGAACCCTATGATCCCTCCACGCGATTGACCTACGCAGTCTGGGGGTTGAAGGCAGTTTCGACGCCTGGGACTGTGGTGCGAGCACCTCCGCCAACGTTTCCATCACTGAACGCTTGGCTGACTTCATCGGAGAATTTCTGGGACGCAGCTGCATGGTCATATGTCTTGGAATGTCCATTAGTATGTCCATTGGTGTGTCCATTGGTCCCGGAAACAGCGTGCTTGCCATTGGTCACTCGACCATCCATGGGCTGTGCACCTCCGTTGGTCACTTTTTCATTCTGGGTGATAGCGGTAGTCCCATTAGTGACTCCTCCAGTTGTCTGATTAACGTTCGTAACTCTGCCGTTTGTGGCCCCGCCATTAGTTACTCCATCAACACCACCCTTTTCGGCAGGGGATTCCCGTTTGCGAGAAATGTCGCCCGCCTTGGGAATATCAGAAGACTCTGAGGCGCTGCCAATGCTGAAGATGGGAGATTCCCAGCGTTCACCCTTCATCGCGAGTTCCTTGTACTCAGTGGCCTTAGTACTGATGCCGCCAGGAAGCTTGATCTCGGGGAAGAGGGAATCATGCAGAGTTGTAGCCGTCTGCACCTTAGTGTCTCGTTTGGCAATTTCCTGTGCCTTTCGCTTCTTGTCCTCATTTCTGGCACGGAAGGCATCGAGATAGCGGGAGTAGATGTTGGGCGCGTTTGCGGGATCCTGGCTACTAGCTTCCTGTGCCTTCTTCGCCTCACTGTGGATTTCGTAGGCAAAGGCATCTCCCTTGGCAAAAGCGTCCCGGATCTGCTGCTCGAGTACCTTTTCCAGGGTTGGACGGACAACTCGGAACAACAATGGCTTGAAAATCGTGAATAGAGTCTTGTGCTTCGACTTCTTCAATTTGACGTTGAGAGAGTCAATCTTGACAGTCACCTTGTCCAATTTGATGAAGTTCTGCCGGTCTTCTTTTTGGGCAGTCGAGGCTGCAATCTTGAAACCGAAGCCTTCGCCACCCAAGAAGATATCCATGATACCAGTGTCCGTGATAGCAGGGAATCCTTGCTTCCTGTTGATATAGTAGCTCACATCTGGAGAGGTAGTGTCAGTAAACGATGCAGATCGAACGATGACCTTAAGGGCATTTCACTTACCTCGGAGATCGGCTTGGATTCCAGACACCGAAATCATAATCTTCAGGCATATCGTCAGCATTATTCACTTGAAATGATCACTACAGGAAATAAACTAACCTTGTTGTCCCTCTTGCTGCTGATCTTCTTGCGTCCCCATCGGAAGTAGTTGTCGCTGCCAAATTCCACGACATTCGGCATCAAATTATCGCTCTCAATCACGAGGTTTTCCACAACCTTGAATAGTTAGCCACGAAACTCAGCAAAGGACAACTCAGGTATACTTACAACATCGGCCGCGGGATCAGACACTTCGATACGAGGAACGGGGACATAGCGGACATTTTCAAGAACCTCTGGTAGAATAACATCCCGAATGTCCCTGACGAGATGCTTCTTGAAGGCCATATTGCCGCTGTTGTCGCGTCCAAGGTCATCGAAGAGCTTCTGCATCGCATCCCCAAACGCCTTGTTCTGAGGGTCCTGGTTGAACTGATCGCCAAGGAACTTGAGCTCATCAAGAATTCGATCGGTATGATCCCTGTAGCGCTCACGCAGGAGGTAACGGCCATGATCAGTGAGTTGGTCCCACTGGCGATTGCAATCATCATCCATAATATAGCCTTGCTCTGTTAGGGTTTTCCTGTGAAATGATTAGTACACCGCCTAGGTCCCGTAAGAACTTTCATACTCACCGGATGAAGGTGTCCATGTTTCTGAACCATCCTTTCAGCTCAGGGTCCCTGTCTGCATCTCGGTAGATGTTGTCCAGAGAGTCGAATAGATTATCCAGGGACGTGTGGTTGGCAAAACGTTCAATCAAAGTCTGGTCAGAAGGGGTTAGTCACTGCTTATCCGACAAAATTGACAGACGTACCCGAAGATTGGCCTCCATTCTCTGGATCTTATCGCCGCTTCGGAAGCCCTGGACTGAACCGGCGCCCTGCTGAGACAAGTTCCGTCCATGGGAACCATACTTTTCAGCCATCGAAAGAAGGGTTCGGATCGCCTGTTGGTCTGTTTCGCAGTCAGTCGACCGTCTATGGGTGCATATCGTTGGCTGATAACTTACAATCAGAATGGCCTTGAATCTCAATGACCATCTTCTTCAAGCGCCAAATCGTCTGATCCCGTCGCTCTTGGGGCACCTTTTCTGACAAGTAGCTCTTGGTCCTGTCCTTGTATTCACGAGTACGGCTCTTTGCCTCTTCAGGGACATTCTCCGAAATCTTCTCCTGGGCTCTTCCTGCACCTGCAGCAACACCAGCGCGCGCGTCGACATCGGAGACTGATGAAGGCTCTTGGCCACCGGTGGCAGCCTGTGCTGCAGTACCAGCGACTTCCTGCTTACCCTCCTGTCCATATGTAAGTCACTTGGTATAGCACTATCGGCTCAGAAAAACTCACGTCTTTGTTTCTCTTGAAGCGGGATTTGAATGTTTCCTTGTGCTTGGAGAAATCAGGCTGCTCGTGCCACACGTTCTCTTCAGCTGGCTCATCAATCTGGGAAAGTTGTTCCTCCGATGGTCTCAGCCTGTTTGCGGCCTTCTGAGAGACGTCACCAGCCATATCACGCGCAAGCGTCATAGCATCGTTTACTAGACACTAATGTCAGTTTTGGGGTTCCCTGCCCAGATGGCGGTCAACTTACATAGCTTTCTGAATTCACCATTCGTGATCAGGAGTCTTCCAAGGGTCTTGAGACCCTCCAAGGCTTCTTGGCCGTCTTGTTGGGCCGCATCCCTCGTCACAGGCAGACCTGGCTTCTCTGTATCACCCGAAGAAACAGTCTGTGCCTCCCACAGGAATTCCTGCAAGAGCTGACCCTCATTCTTGCTCAGCATAAGCTTCTTAACATGTTCGATAACGTTCCGAAGATCCTGCACGAGGGCCTGGCCTTCACCAGACAGCTCCTGGGACGGCGACGAGAGGGCCTTGGATTTGAGAGCACTGTTCAGAGCAACGTCGCATTGTTTGTTCTATGATAATTGATTTCACGTTAGTATGCAACACGATTGATGGTTGAATCACTTCACTCACCGATGGAAGCTTGCCATTTTTGAAGGCTACATGGCCCATTAGCACAAATACGCTGGAACATGATGACTTGTGTTGAATTTACCTTGATAGATTCCATAAAGCTGCAGCTTCTGGTTGATATCCTGGAGCGATATTCGGGTTAGAGGCTCTGCGTCCAGCTTTTGAGGAGACTAGGTTGATGAAATACCTGTTCCTTCTGCTTGGTGTTCAGCGGATGGTTGACTGCTTTGGACGACATTGCGGCAGGATTACCAGATTGACTGGCAAGAATTGACGTCTACAGAGGCTCGAAAGCCAAGCAAGAAACTTTTTCTTGTTTTTTTAAATGTATGTATGTGGGAAAGTAAGCAGTATGCAGTCGCAAGGGGGACCACTGGCCAGCAGATTCGGGCGTCTGGCCAAGATCCGGGGTTAGGTATCTGGCAAGGAAGATAGACCGAACAGAGATTAAACAAGGTAAGATAAAGTGCACGGCACGACGATAAGCAGACGACAAGGCTGATCTTCTCTTGGGGCTGCAAACAAGGGATAGAAAAAAAAGCGCGTCGCTGGGTATCTCCGGAATGAAGGACGCCGAGGACGGATGGGGTATTAGGTTGACAGCGTAAGTGTAGTAGTTGTAGTAGGAAGGGGGAAGAATGTACGCCGAAAGAAATTGTGGTATCAATCAAAACGACAAGTGGATCGAGGGAAGGAAGGAACTACTACGAAGTTCTCTACGGATTTAAATACAACTGCCGCATGCAGCGAAAGGGCAGGAGCGTAATGGCGCGGTGGTGCCTGCCAGTTTGGGCCAGCGCACCTGCTTGACGTCATGGTGTCGTGGTGACGAGCAGAACAGGCAAAGGTGAAGTTCCGGGTTTGTGTCTGGTTCCTGGAGGGAAAAAAAAGAGATTTCGTCGAGATACACGGCATAGGGTGGTTTAGGGGGGGAGGGGAAAGAAGGAGGATTGAGTTTGTACGACGATGAGATCATCATCGCGCCGAGAGCGATGAAGTCAAGGGCGGACGCGCCAGCTCAAGATCTGGCCCGCCATCCACTCAGGATCGGCGCTACGAGCCTGGATGTTGCGCGGATCATCCCTACGACTCCCTACTTTAGCCCTTCTGGCGAGTCGTCGAGCTGGGCCAGCTGGTGTCTTAGCTAATGGATTCACTCAACAGTACTAGAGTGTTTGCATGCACGCGAGAGAAGGAGCATTGAGACTCGAGAGCCATGGAAACGATCGACCGGAACATGTGATCCATCCACGTCAGGAGAGCCCAGTAACTTAGTGCTATAGATAGGTAGGACTAGGCTCCGGCTCAGGTGTGTAACAGATGCAGTTCTCGGACAACCTCATCCCATCCCTGGGGTGCTGGCAGCTTGACTTTTACGGGCGCGCAACAATTCAATCCCATCAACAGTAGATTTGGACAGAAGCGGCAGACCCGAAATCCAATTCATAAAAGACACAAGAAAGAAAGCGGATCCCGTCCGTGGGCCTGATATCAGAAGGAAAATCTTTCGTTCAAAGCAAAGCGGAAATACTTTTACTCATCGGCGGGCCTTGAGGAAAAAAGCAAGCTTAAGCTTCTTCTGCCTTATGGGGTGACTGTGGGTAATTGTCCACCCTCCATTGCGACTTAGTGCAAAGGACTAGTATTTCCCTAGTAAAAGTAAATACTGCTGCTACTACACTGGACTTCGTAGGAAAATTATTACTGTATCATGCAGTGCAAAAAGTCGATTGCTTGACCATCCGCGACGCATCACTGTGACGTCACGAGTTTAGTCTCGCTTCTCTCTCTCTCTCTCTCTTTCTCTGCCCTTCAATTGGGCACTCTACTTATGTATCTCTGTACTCACTCGCTGCTACGGTATGAGTGCGGTGCCTGGTGCTATATTGGGGACAGGTTTCCATGGGAAAAGGGACGGGTTTCCAAGGAGGCTCGAGAAGTTCAGTATGTCAAGCGTGTACTTGACGCGTGTCTTTCAGCCCATGTAGTCTTTCCTTTCCTCTCCATTGCGGAGTATATTGTGACGAACTAGCTAGTTGTACTACCCCAAGCTTATGGTGCGGTCAACTGGCTCCGATCTTGACCAGCCACACTCTTGGCCAACGATTGGCCGGTAGATCACTAAAAGGCACCAGCATCGCTTACGTTCAGGTTCAAATCCCGACCTACATTTACCGAGTACGGAGGATTGATGTTCCCGTGCAGTTTCTCGAATGCTCATCGGTTTTGGGGGGGGGGAGAGAGAAAATGGAGAGATGCTAGCCCACATGGCCCGACGCGATCGGCCTTCTGGTGTGGCTGCTCGCAGCCCTTGCAGCATTAGCCGCAACCGGGAGACTCTCTCGTAGGACCTGCCCAGGAATTCTCCCTGCTCACGACTGTCATTCAAATACATGCAATCTCTGGAGGCATTCCACAGAGTAAGAAAAGAAGAAGAAAGGAAATCAAGATACGATACACATCAAGATAAGGACACTTTTTCTCCGAGTATTATCGTTATCCAACTTCACATCGCTCACATATAACATGTGCAACCAGAAAAAAAAAAAAAAAAAAAAAAAAAAACATATACAATATTACCACAACACAGGGGCATGAACTAAGGCATTATTGAAGATTCATGAAGCAGGCATCCCTTGCCTTGGCCCTCGCCGAGGGCTAGATCATCCAATGTCAAAGCCTAGGTATCCTGTTCCTGCAGGCACCAATGAAGCGTAGCCAGCCATATAGGCCCCAGAACCTGCCAGATATGGATTCGATGCATGTAATAGACGGCTCCGGGCGGGCTCGCACATTTGCTGGAAGTCTCCAAGTATGCTGGTCGCTCCCCACTTGCTTGCACCATATTGGAGGAGATTGTTGATCTGAGAAAGACATTCCGAGGCGCGCGCGTGGAAGCTCATACAATCCTCACCATTCAAAATCAGCTGTTCCGGGGTCTCCGGAGGAATTGAGGGCAATGCGGGTATCGACGGGTTCAACAGAAGGTCCTGGTTTTCTGTCACATCTCGTATGAATCGTCGGCCAACTTGATACGTCCTCTGAATATCCAGGAAGGTCATCAAAGGCAGCCAGGCAGGGTTCTTCAGCACCTCATAGAGTTCTTTGATGTACCGCATGCAGCAATGGAACAGAACAATCTTGCTGTAATCACATAGTGTGGTCTGTTCGTCGCCAGCAGAGAGAATCACGACTATCGTGTATGATAGCTCCAATCGGTACAGGATGGGGAAGTGGTTTGGTATATTACTCGGGATTTTATCAAACCACTCGTATGCTTTTGAGCAGAGAGCCCACGTCGAGGCCGGAGCTTGAAGAGAAGTCTCGTGTTCATGAAAATATCTTCTCTGGTAACCCTCCGACAGTATTTGGCGAATTCTGACGATGTGCCACGCAGGCTCCGAGCTTCGTAAAAATATATGGCTCTTTTCGGTTAGCGAAGCCCCTAGGGACGTGGCAGAAGACGGCAAAGCAACATCGACGGAATCGTCTGAGAACGAGAAGGTTCTTTCAAAGGCAGTGCTTATTCCTCTTTAAAAGTGAAATGGAGTTTCTTTCGTTAGCTCAAGTATCAAGTAGCAAGTATGTGTCCGGGACAAAAAGAAGTTTAACACACCTGTCCAAGCAATAGACACAATGGAAAACACGGCGGCGCAGGTCCAGCTGCACCGAGGCTGACTGAACATCCAAAGGCGGGTCCTGGTGTAGGCCTAGATCGACCATTACCCTGACAGCCATCCCTACTAAGTACCAGCTGCGAAAGTGTTGCGGGTCGAATAAGGAATATTGGGCAAGCAGGAGGATTGACTGGATACCGGCTATAGTACCGGGACGGACGACGTCCTCGGCTTGATTCATTGCCATTGAAACATGAGACAACGCTCTGTGATGACTTCTATCACCGATCTCGAGGGAGATAGACGCAGACGCAGTGGCTAAGACCATATGCACAATCCACTTGTCAAAGGGCTTGGCAAAGCGCCCCCCAGCTTGGTAGACCGCATCCACAGATGTCCAGAAGCTCGTTTCGGCGAAAAATGGAAGCTGTATGTAGATGTTGTCGAAATAGTGTTGTAGCACGGGCATTATCTCATGGCGTGGCGGTATTGACTGCGCCGTCGTTCTTGGTATCGACTCAGCTTGAGACAGGGACAGAAGAAGATTGGCGAAAGACGTATTCGAAGTAATCCCATGGAAGTCTCTCGAAGTCGCATTGACGGACCTGATTGGTGTCAGTCCGAGGAACATCGTGCTAATTTCAGCGAGAACTTACAAGAAGCCAAAATCACCAACGAGGTCATCGATGTCAGTCACTTCTTTGCCACCTTCCTGTGCAACAGTACCTGCCGAGGAGATGGAGGTGATCGAGCTTTGATGGGCGACACCCCTTTCGTCCACAGATAATGATGTTTTGAGGCGGCGAAGATCGTCAATCTTCGTTTTGAGTCGTTCGCAGTAACCTTCCAAAGAGGCGACATAGCTTCTTTCCTTTCCTCTGGCGAATTCGTCACTTGCGCCGGAGCAGGTGCTCGCTTTTCCGACCCTTTCGCACGCGGAGCAGGCCGGAAGCTTCCCGTCACATTTGATTTTGGCTGTTCGGCATCTTGAGCAAGCAGCCACTGGTCGACTGACTTTGAGGAGTGGTTTGTCCAGAAATGAAGTAGCCGACATGCTAATTATACATAATCTCTATGTTGTACTAGAGATGGAACGCTATTGAGTAGAAGATATGCTAGTTATAAGCTTGCGTCTTGCCCTGTCGACCACCCTGTTAAACTCATGACAGCTTCAGACGGACAGGTCGTGATAGGCACTTACCCTCGAAAGAAAGGAGAGGGGACGAGAAGCGCAAGTGTATTTGTAGAAAGAGAGACTCAAGACGTGGTTCTGTTCAGGATCTATTAGCATGCAGGAAGGCACTCAGTGATATCAATGAGAGTTCCTCGCATTGGTTCCGTCGCACGTATCGTAGTCATCTAATCAAATAAACGTTGGCAGGGTAGTTGGGGAAAGCAGAAGTTCTAACGCCATGTTTCCTTATTTCTGGATATTTGGTTTCTGCCCCTGCCTAGGTATGTATATGGCTTTAAGGACTAGAACTCAAGAGGCAGATTACTCACCAGGCACTAGCGCTATCAATTTAGCCCGAAACCTGGCGGGGGGAGGCTGGCTGAACGGGCAAAGTAGCGAGAGGGGTTCAACTGCCCCGACACAGAGAGGGCTGACGGGGGGTTAAAGTTCCCCAAGCAGTACAACCGTTGTGGGTATAATGGTCGGAACAGAAGAAAAACCACTGAAAAGAAAAGGGAAGAGACAAATCACCGTTTAGCGAGGGGTATCAAAATCCCAGGAAATAGTAGTGGTGCTACTAAGTCTGGACTGGAAGCAAATGAGCCAGTCGTAGAGGGTGGAAGGGAGGAAAAGGCAAGTACCGCAAGCTCTGGTACGCAATTAGGGTCACGAGCTAGTGCAAAAGCAGGGGGGTTCGTACCGTACCCGTCAGCCCCGTATACCTAGTAAGTACTAGAGTCAAGCAAAAAGAAAGTACCTAACTGTTTGGCGAGCCTTCCCCTATTAGCTTTCGTTCTCGTTGTTCACTGATCGCGCTGTCGAAGAGGAAGGACTTCTGGGTATTCTAGTCTGTACTAGCAGTCGATAGAGCCGCAATATTGTCGACAAATTGAACTACATGTGGTTGAAGATTGAATGGTGAATGGGAGAGGAGGGGTTGGTAGTCCTTTCTTATCAAAACATTTGTAAGGTAACCACCCGCCCGGGCACCAGCACCACCAGCACCACCACCGACATCTGGGCTCGAACGGTTTTGCTTGTGGGCGGCTACTGTCATTGGGTGCCACACAAACATTTCCCGGTCAAGGCTGGCTCAAGGCTGGCTCCTGCTCACGCCCCTCCTTTCATTGCCCCCCAAGTGGACCCCTCCTTCCCCCACGCGCAATGGGGGCTGAAATCCTCCCCCTACGCGACTCTCATGAAACGAGTCGACATGAGAGTGAGCTTGTCGAACCAGAAATTCAGCCTTGTGCTCATTTTATGTCTATCTCTTCCATCCGTTATATCAGCCTATAAACTACATTTTACTTGGGGCGCCCGCTTGAAGTGTTATGCATAATCTAGCGAAAAAGCTTCGGTCAGCCGGTGCTAGTACGGTGTCCGTATTAGTGATCTTCATGCTGCAACACCCGGCACTTGGCCGGTCCAGAACAGGAATCAGCATTCCGAGTATTTACTGTAGGTAGTGCCCACTCTTCCCCTTCCCCCTTCCTCCCCCCAAGAAAGGTGCTGATTGACCAAGGGGTAAAAAGAATGTCGACACCGACGTCCCAGAGTTCGTGAAGGGGATAAGTAGTTCAGATCGTATGAGCTCGTCAGTGTTAAAATGCGTCGCAACAGGATATCTGTCTGTAGCAATACCTGCCGATGTCGCAGTGGCTGGAATTATGCAACCAAAAGCCTTGCATCAAATTTTGTTGCTCGGGGCGCTAAACTACTAGTTTTACACCCTCTTTTGTCCACTTATCAACGTTGTACACCGTAGGCCAGTCAATCTTCCAACAGAGTCGGGTGTCGGTCCTGAAAGACTAGGCAGTATTACTATTATCATATTTGTCGTCCTGTAGAGCACTCCATGATATGGCTGCTCTTATTACGAGGTTGTAAGTCTTCGAGGTCCTCATTCAAGGACTTATTCAAGACAATACTTAACTATTCACTAGGGAATGACTAGTTGATCACCACCAATCCATAACTAGCAGAGGTCCTAATTCATTAGAGGCATTTGCAGACACCCGCCCGTGCTTACCCATATACCCTTTTGGGATAGCTTTCCGAAGCTTGGATCAGATGAACCAACAAACTGGTTCCGACCATGGCACTGAGATCCTCTTCGTCTCTTCCTTCATTTTCGCGACTCTGCATCCATGGCACGTTATTTTTCCCGGCTATCTATATCTCTAGAGAGGGCTAGGCTCTCTGGAACTTAATCCCGCGGATTATCTCCTGAGGCTCCCCATGATTTGTTGGCAAGGACTTGTCGGCTCTGATCCGAACTACACCTTCAATCAAAGCTACTAGTTATGCAGAGAGTGTTGACGAGTAGACTTAGCAAGGGCTTACTAGTGTACTTCAGTACGTTGCTGTGAGATTTTGACTGACACAGAGCAGGAACTTATGTCATAGTACGTAGTATCGATGCCATGTACGACCAAAGCAGGCAACCAATCGATGTGAGGCTTATCTCGAGCGTGATAGTACGTAGTTTAGTACCTCATCCGCACTGTCCGTTTTGTGCGCCCTTGAAAAGCGCGGCTCTTCCAGTTTAATGACTTCGAGGCTCATACAGTGCTACCTCCTTTCATGGAGTTAATTTCAAAGATGAAAGCAGTGTGTGAAACTACTAGCAGTAGTACTGAGTGGTGAATCTACTGCCCCCTTCTCAGTAATAGTTATTATTGAGGTAATCCCAGTAATTGAGACTAGATCATCCGCCACCGCAGATCTCCGAGAAAGGTTATGCATAGTTTCATGTGTGCTAGGTCACCAGTATATGTAGTAGTATCCTCGTGTTCCTGAAAGCTCCGACCTACTGTAAGCTCTCTTTCTTTTCATGCCCACCCGGAAATTCGAATAGCCTGACTGATCGGACCGCGAAGCCCATTCCATGAAATTTGTCCGGTACGGAGGGGGGCCCACCGCGTTGGATGTCCCACCCGTCAATTTCGAGGCCAGTCTTCACAAGCGGCAGCTGTGGGTGTCCGTAGTCCTGGTAAGTGCGACGTCGGTCATCGGGGCGCTCTTTAGCGTGCCGTCGATCCAGGCGGGAGGTGGACCGAGGCCTGCTTCACTTCAGTTTCCACCTCACCCCCTCCTTTGCGCCCCATTCCAAATTCGCAACTGCATATCTTGTGTTTCTTTCCAATGTCTGAATGGGTACCTTGAGTCGGAGTTCATGTTAGGTGCTAGCTGAGCTTTTCAACCTGTACAACCCCCCTAGATCTGTACAGTTATTGCCCGTCTACTCCTAGCAGCTGGTGCATGTCAGAGCGAACCCCGAACATGTCGAACGTGCTCGTTTCTCAAGTGCCCCTTCAAACTTCCACAGTCGCGTGTGCCTGACGCTCGGATCAGACCTCCCCAAAGCTCTGGAATTTTCAAGGCTGAATGCGATACATAGAATGCAACGTTGATGATTCCTCCGGCTAAACCTACAAACCTTCGGTCAACCTAATATAGGGGTGCTCCTGCACGACATACCACAATGGCCACACATTTAAACTCTTCAAGCTCCCGCCCACAATTCACCAACCCCTGGTCAGACTCTCCATCAAAAATCTCAGAACCATCTGATTATACCCCTGATAGCCGCATCGCGCACACTTTGACTGCTTGTACGCGGTGCAGACAGGTACGTAGTTACTCTTACTCTATCGCTGTCCTTGTTTATTCGTGAATCCGTGTTCTGTTACGATGTACTCTTAACTTGTTCCTCGGCGGCTCGAGAAAGTGATCCTAATTTTTATACAGCGTAAATCTAGGTGTGATCCCGGTATCCCTCGATGCTCGCCATGCGAACGCAGCAACGCCAAGTGTGTCTATTACGATTCGGCGCGTAAAAGCACGATATCAAGGAACTATATTGTCTTACTCCGAGAAAGAGCTCGCCAATTAGAGAGTGAGCTTGCTGAAGTCGAGAGAGAGTTTCAACATGCAGCGGACGCGGAGCTCATGGTGCGCGGGGCAGGCCGCATTCGCTTCAAGGAGAATGACGAGTCGAGATATTTGGGACCATCCAGCGGTATTGCAATCACGCGCCTCGTCATGGAAATGGCCAAACAGAACACAGATTCCAAAAGCATAAAAGATGTTGTCCCTGAAATGACGGCGCAGGAGATAAAAGATGCCTTTGCACAAGAGAGCTCAAAGCCAACATCAAAGGTGTACCCCATGATCAGTTCGACGCCACAGCCTACTTTACCGCCAAAACACATGACGTACAGACTTATTGATGTCTTTGTAGTCAAGGGTACGTCCGCATCCTATCCTATACAGCTGTACACTCATGGTTGACTTGCCGTTTAGCCCAGGCAATGCTTCCGACATTGCATGAGCCTACCTTTCGCGAAGAAGCCGAAGAGGTGCTCAACGGGTCTGATGATCCCTGCCATAATTTCCAATTACGCATGGTCATAGCCATCAGCATGCAAAAGATGAGCACCGTCTATGCAGGCTTGGCGGATAGTTATTATCTTGCAGCGCTGCCATTCTTGGAACCGTCGTTAAAACGAATGGACCTCCGATCTTTGCAATGCCTTGCCCTGATTGCTCAATACTCAATGCTCACGCCAACGAGGACAGCAGCATACTGGGTGGTGGGAATGGCAGTCAAGCTATGTCAAGACCTAGGGCTTACCGATGAAGCGACTATTACCCAATCTCCCAGCGGGCAAACATTGGACCCTTTAGAGATTGATATGCGAAGAAGACTTTTCTGGATTGTTATATCCATGGAGTACGGTCTTTCCCATAGTCTTGGTCGTCCAAATTGTTACTCCGTTTGTCACGATCACATCAACGTCAAGTTCTTTGAGCCAGTGGAGGACAAATTTATCACTCGGGATGGCTTCCTACCAGGAGCGAAAATAATCCTACCGAAGTGCATAGCTATTCACTTCCTGAAGATGCGGCTCCTCCAAGCAGAAATTCGACGCACGCTCTACCTGAATAAACGCGATGTACCAGTCGATGACCAAGACCCATGGTTTTCACAAATGCTTCAGAAGATCGATTACTGGGTAGCTTCATGCCCCAAGAATGATGGGGGTAGTGGCTTGAGCGAAAAATGGTAAGGACGATGACCTAACTAGCTCTGTTTCAGGGTGCTTATCTGTATGTGGCTTTTCATAGGTTTCATGGAAGACGAAACACGATGATTGTCTTCATGTTCCGGCCTTCTCCCCAAGTGCCGGAGCCTTCTGTTGATGCTGCGCGAAAATGCTATGATGCGTCTGTGTTCAACGTAGCAATGCAGAGAGAACAAATCGCAACGGGATCTGTTGACTTGACATGGATTTTCACCCAGTCACTTTTTATGGCCTTGAACACTATCCTTTGGTCTCTCTCTTATCCCGATATTCGCAAGGAGCACCCTATTGACGAAGTCAAAGGCCACCTTGGCGTGGCACTGGAGGCTATCGTTCTTGCTGCACAGAGATGGCCCGGTGTCGAATCGGCCCTGGTACTTTATAGGAGCCTAGTTGCTGCTTGCCTTCGCGCATATGCTACCGAAGATTCCTTCGTCGTCCATTCGCCTTCCAATCATGCAACTCCGTCGTCTTCGCAGGATGTCACGACACCGCTATCCGTCTCTAGCCCTGCAAGTACGTCAGCATCGTTTCACTCACATGGAGCTCGTGCAGCGAATTCTTCTGTTCCTGGTAGTAGCGCATCGGGTGGCACGTTTTCAAGGGGGCCTTCTGCAGACCCCTCATTCTCTTTCTCCCAAGGGTCAATCTCATCACCTATTGCCACTGAATCATTGAAGGCCGCGCAGCATCCATCCTGGGATGCTCAACTTACTCCGCAATCCATATCAACCACCACACAACCCTCGTATAGTTCCCCCCAATCCTACAATGTACCGACACCTTCCTACGCAGACTTATCGTTCGACCCGACAACTCCATACAACCCATTTCCATCCGTCGTTCCTGGCTTGCCAGGCTGGGATCCCAATTTCAATCTAGCCTCCACCACGGCTAGCCATCTAGCCTATGTCGATGCGACAGTCGATCCCATGAACTGGATCGAGACGATAGGAGATCAATATTCCCAATACACCAACGGCGCTTACCCAATGCCCCCGTGGCGAGGAAGAACGCTCAGCCATCAAGAGCAGATGGAGCTGATGGAAACGTTAGAAGACAACATTCCTGACGTTTCGGCGCAGTTATTAGTGCAAGAATCTGCGACATTCTACCAATCGTGACATGTTGGTCGTTTGAAAGTTTTCTACGAGGGCGCTTCGCTCTCTTTGATTCGGTCAAATCAGCGTGTTTGTTGAGCTTTTTTATTGCATGGGCCATTGTTGTCTCTATTTTGGTGTGCTTCTTTTTATTGTGTTACCATAATTATTTTGGATTCATGGATCTCAATATACCCAAGGGTCATCGTGCTGGGAAGTTAATGAGGTTCATCTGGGTGTTTGGAGCGAGTCGGTTCCGATCACTAGGTTCGGGATTTATGGGTTCAATCGATGGTTTTGGTAGAAGAGTATGAGCTTAATTCAATGTCTTTGGGTGTTTGACATGGCTTAGGGGTCCGAGAGAATGCATCACTTCCCCAACAAGCCAACTGCAAATTCTATAGATGGGACAAGTCTATCTAGCTCTAGGTCTAGAAGCAAGGAAATCTCCGGAAGAAACTATGCAATAACCCCAGGTGATACTTTCCGAGGGGCTATTCCCTCCAGGTTTAGACAAGCGCCCAACAGGGGGCGTGAGAGCCGCTAGTAAAGCGCTTCGTGCCCATGCGTGTCGTGGCATACATAGATCACAACCACGGGAAGTAATGTCTAGATGACCAAACCTGCGATGGTCAACGGGGTGAACACGATAAGCAGGAAGTACCTTGTCCAGAGAGACAGAAAGAGTGAAGGAGAAAAAGAGGGAATATCCGTTACCGATGCATACTCCGTAATTTACCCGACGATACGCCCGAGTATCGGTATTGTTCACGTGTATTGATACCGAAATACGGGCGCGGAGGCCGAAAGAGGGAAAATCGAAGAAATGAGGGCGCGTCACGTGCCCAGCCCGGGGCTCTTGCCGTCATCCAACATCTCGCCGTCCGTTTCTCCTCCAGTTGCGGACCAAGGGTTTCCCATCCCAGCGCTTTCTCGAACTCCTACCCACCCCGCCGGCTTTCGACTTAACCCACAGACCACGCCCTTCACTCTTTCGCTGGTCTTTTCTTCACTATCTGGTGCTGCTCGATATTTCACTTCAGTGCTGTGTCGGCTCATTGGAATGTGTGACTTTTGAGACGGTCGTGGAACGTCCTGCTCGCCCGCTTGAGCGCACCTCGACCGGCGTTTCCCCCCATCTCCTCGTCTTCATACTAGTCTGAATCTGCTGTGATCTGCTGCTGTGTTGGAGATCTTCGATTCAGGTCTCCCTTTCGCGAGGCTCGGGCTGCCCAGGCTTAGGCCAACCTCCTCTTCCTTCACCCTGCACTCCGTCCTCGATGTCTGATCGCGCCTCCTCGGCATCATTTCGAGCAGGACCTCCATCACCATCATCTCCCGCCGCAGGGACTCTCAAGCAAAACCAGTTACCAGCTCCCTTATCCGATCGAATTCCACAGACTCCGACATCACCTCCGTTGATGTCGGTAAGCGCTCAGAACTATGCCACCAACTTTGTATCCTCGCAAGCATCACCTAACCAGGCGACCTCTCAATCCGCAACCCTCTCATCACCCCCGTCCTCTGCTCCGATGTCCACCCAAGCCTCGCAACAACCGACGGTAGGTACGGCGAATTCGTTTCCGACGCCGGCCAGCAGCGTGAGCGGGCACTTCCCGGGTGCGACTTCCTTCGATGATCCTGAAAATACAGATAAGCCAATGGGCTCGACAGTTCCAGACACAGGTGCGCAAACAGCGAACATGAATGCCGCGGCCATACAGCAGGCAGAACACAGACGGACAGATCATGACCGGCATACAGAAGGTATAAAAATGGAAGTTGGAGTCCGCGATTTTGCTGTGAACCACGGAGGCGACGCTATGGATATCGATAGTGAGGCGCCGGCTTCATCCAGTCGCAGTGAGCCAAGCTTGGAATCCTTGCAGAAGAACTTTTCGTCTGCCTTTCATGTTTGCAAAAGCTGTAAGAGCTCCCCAGTCCTTGGCATGGCTGTTGCCACAATTTGCAATGCACTCTCTCCCATCTTATATTTGGATTGAGCTTTGTTAACACACGTGGCTTTATGAAAATGCAGCCCATATTGCGACTGGACCGGATCCATCGCTAGATCTCATCTCACTGTACGGATTAGGTCCAGTGGCAAAGTCTGTTGCTCGGATGGATCCTGTGACAGGCGAGAAGATCAACAGGCTCAGGAAATCCTATGAAGGAAAGCTGAAGGGCTTGGGACTCGCAGGCAGGAACAAGCCAGTGAAGACCGAGCCTGGTGCGCCCGGAAGCCTCAGGCACATGACCATGTGGCCAGAGGAAGAATGGCAAAACCAAAAAGTGTTCGGGAAGGAGATCAAGGTAGCGGACATGGACTCTGCGCTGCACAGCTTGCAGATGAGGGCCATGAAGATGGAGCCGGGCACGGTACCGAACAATGAGTATTGGGAAGACGTGCTGGGGCACGAGAAGCCATCTAAGCACGCCGGTGGCGACGCCAGCAAAAAGGGCGTCGCACCCCCTCCCAACGGAGTCCGGATTCCCCAACCGAATGGAACCCCAGCGCCTGTTTCAGACCAAGAGCGATCCCGACCCAGCAGGGGACGTAAACGGCATTACGACGACAACAGTTTTGTTGGTTACGGCGAAGGTTACGCAGACGATGATGACGATGGGGCATTTTATTCAAACAGTGAAGGCATGGGGAAGAAAAAACGGAAGAAGGTAGGGCGTTCGGACGGTGAAATGGCATTCTAACATACTGATCACATTCGCTTATTTTTCGAAAAGGACCACGTTTCGAAGATATCTACCCCTCTACCTGACCGAGGTGGAAGTTACGGGGTTGGTATGTTTGGGATCGGGGCCAGGTAAACGAACGGGACGGAAACTTGATGGGATGAAAAGCTTTGTGGCTTGTTCGTTTCTTTTCTCTGCCTTCTTGGCTTTGCTTCATGCATAGGGTCCTTGTTCTGAAGGCGAGGGCTAGACTCTGTTGGATCTGTATCTGGCATTGCCAAATGCTGGACAGATTCGGTTGACCTATAGTCATGTCCTCGCCATATCTGTTAATTCTCCGTACAAATTTTGCATCACGGTGCTGGATATACCCGGCTTTCACAATGGGACGGCGTTGGAGGAGCTATGATTTGTTGCGGCACGGTTTTTGCCTGTTTCTTTGCCTGCACTCTTTTCTGTCTTTGTGCTCCCAGACAGACTGGGAGCTGGAGTTGTAATGACAATTTTTTTATTCGCTGTGTTTCCTGCTGGCTATCTCGACAGACTCCGATGCCGTCTTTTGAGCTTTTCTTCTCTCTTGTGCCAGATGGACATCGCCCGCCACTGGAAGAGCATGTATTTCTTTTTTTGAGTCTGTTGACGTGCGGCGGATTGCTTGGGCGTGACAGTACAGAATTCTAGCTTAGCATCGACGATGCTTGTGTGATACAATACTAGATGGATAGGAATGACATCTACGTTAAACGTGGGTAGTTCAGTTCCCATCGTGGATACTAAATAAGAGCTGGAGGCATAGAAGCAAACCACTACAATCACCTTGACACCGACACAGCCCAGACACCCTCCCTTACCCCGTATTTACTCCCCCTCGCTTAGTAGTAGTAGTAGTAGTAGTAGTAGTAGTAGTAGTAGTAGTAGTAGTAGATACATACACATACCTTCCACCAACTCCTCCCTCTATAACCCAAGCCGAGAATAGAAAGGGAGAAAAGGAATTCAGCCAAACCAGTACCCATTCAAATCCTCAAAAGTCCTCTCCCCGACATCCTCATGCCGATTCTCCTCCCATACCTTTCCCCCTGGCCAAACCGATTCGCCATATGTCCCAAAAAGAATTCCAGATTCTCCCGACACTCAGGGAACGCCTCCCGGAAGGTATCATATAGCTCTTGCACAGAAGGTTTGCCACCACCACTGCCAGACGCATAGGTGACTTTCTCCGCAAACAACCGTAGATAGCGCCTCGTGTGGTCTAGATCCGCCTTGACATCCAACTCCCATCCTTCTTCCATATGACCTGGGATGATCTTCTGCGGGTGTAGGTGGTCGATCATGTCGAGGGTTTTGAGCCATGAATGCACGAGAGCGGGTGATTCGAGTTCTTCGACCCTGTATATTAGTATAATTCAGTAAGTAGATGTATGCGTAGATATTGTAGATATAAGCCAGCCAATTGGTCTTAATTTGGGCCTCCCTTTCCGAAAGTTTAACCAAGAAGGGGAACTTTCTGAAGAAAGAGACAGGAAATAAGAGAAACATACCAAACATGCACACTCCTCCCAAACACGACATCACCCGCAACAACCGTCCTACTCTCGGGGACCCAAAAAACCGTCTGATCCACACAATCGCCCTGCACCGGACCCAGCAGCACAACGGGAGACCCGTCCAGCAGGAAGAAGCTCGACAAGTACGGGTCCGGCTTGCGGGGCGCAGCGGGAACGGCGTCGGTGCCGAGCACCGCGGGCCAGTATTTGGCTTTCTGATCGTATTCGGCGTTGATGCGGGAGCAGACGTAGGGAGCGGCGTAGAATTTGGCGTCTGGGAAGGCGGCCAGAATGGGATTCGCGGAGAAGAAGTGGTCTGGGTGGTGGTGGGTGAGGAAGATGGCAGTGGGGGCGTGGGGAGTTAGGGATTTTATCCAGTGTATGGTGGACTGGGCATCTGCGAGGAGGAAAGGGTGGTCGATGAGGAGGGATGCGCCGGGGGTCGTGAGGAGGGTGGTGATGGAGGAGAGGCCTTTCGGGGTGGCGGTGCGGTGGTGGGTTTGGATCATTTTCAATTGGTGGTGGTATATTGAGTGTGGTTATTATGCTGGGGTGTTTTATGGACTTGCAATTCATGATATGCATTCATCGTGTGTACTAGGTCTACTATATAGTAACTACTGGATGGGCTATATCCGTAGTGGGATACACCCCGCACAGTAGCAGTTGCATCATACTGAATTGGGTGTTTATAGGCCCTCTATCTTCCTACTGCAAAAGCTCCACTTTATGTCTGTGATGTTCGATGCCGAGGTTGATACCTCTGTCATATCTGCCGCTCGTTGTACCGATTGTGTTGAAGTTGAGAATCAATCCGTATTTCCGAACTGCAATCGGGAGTTCCGGAAGCCGAACTTGCAGCATCCTCACTCGGCTTTGAATAATATCAAGATCTGCGTTGGATCAATTACGTGGAAGCGGGGTTGACTTGATAACGATGTTATTATTGGACTTTGCCACATCTCTACTACATATTAAAGACCCACCATGCGTTAACCCCGCAGCTATAGAGAGTCCGAGACACTGTTAGTATGAAGATGAAAGGTGAATTACGCAGTACACAGTATATATAGAAGATGATTATATGAGGGTTGGCCGCTGATCCTATCCCGCATTCTTGCACTAAAAGATGGAAGACATTTCGACTTGCAGTGTCGACTTGACTCTTCGTCTCGGTACTTTGTCAATGGGAGGGGTAGGTGCCTATCTTAACTTCTTTCAATACTGCATCGCAGCCGTGAGATATAGGCATGACATGGCAAATGACCGGTAGAGGTAGACGTAGTATGGAGGTTTGCTGTGGTAGCTACGGGGCCCAGCTCAACACAATCATGATATATGTGCACAAGCTTCTCCATGCTTCGCCTATACATTAAGCATCGATACCAGTGTGCGAACGGTCCTGCTTTTTAGCATAGTATTCTTACATTTACTCGATTTGTTGGGGCTGTTCTACAAAAATAGTACTCTATAGATATCGGCACTGTTCCCATTTAGTAGCAGAAATGCCTTGACCGCCAGTGCCCCAGGTCTTAACCCTGGCATCAGACAGACCGAGAGGGTATGCTACCAGACACTATATGTTGCAGAAAGTATATCTTAGCCTTATTAAATGACATTGATAGAAAGACCCCCTGCACATACACTCTTTCTGAACGACTCTTAATAGTATGTGGAGAATCTACCACCGAGCTACAAGACGTCTTAAGAACCTCAATCTACCTTTTCATATGTGAACTAACGCAGTCTTAGAATCAAGGACTCTAGCCAGGTCGTTATACATTTCTATGCGAATAAAGATCACCTCCAATCCTGTCGACTGAAACTATGTCTACCAGTACTTATGCGTATATTCAAATTAGGAAAGACAGTCAGAACCTTAGAACATCGGGCTATAATTACACAAAGAACAATGCCTATTGTGCCCCAGAGATAAGGCACATCTCCGCGGCCTCACCTAAAGCCCTATATCTTCCACATATACACCTTATTAACTCAATTTTAGACACCCCCAAAACCTAACCTACCATGTGGGGGGTGACTCCTTATCGCTTATCAGCACTCCCCCCACCCTCATACAGAAAAGAATCGAACCCACCCAAATGCCGACCCGCCAGCCAATCCCGCAACCGGTATTTGATGCGGTGCACTGAACGGCAACCCCGAGGTCGGAATCCATGAATCAATAAATCATCACCTACGTCGCCTCTCTACACATTACCCCTGTACAATTCCATTCTTTACCTCCCTTATACATACTTTATATACATACTATATATACATATATATACCCACCGCAATCACAACCCTCCCGATTCAATTCCCTAAAAAAATTCATGATGGACCCCCTAACAACCGCCCTCACCAAAATCGACGCCCTTCACTCCGAAGACCCCAATAAACTCACCGACACCAACATCCCCTACGAACTACACTACGCCGAGAAAATGACCAGCTATCTGTACAAACACACCCCGAACCCCTCCCCGGTCCTCCAACTCGCCATCCGCGCTCAGCATCTCAAGCGCTGGGAAGTACCCCGGGGGACTTACCCCGATGGTAAAATAGGGTACTATTCCTGGCGGACGGCAGTGGCGCGCCGCCAGGCTGAGATAGCGATGAAGGTGTGTCTGGAGAGTGGCATTGGAGAGGCAGAGGCGGAGCGCGTAGGCCGGTTGATTCGAAAGGAAGGGTTGAAGGGGGGTGAGGATGCGGAGGCGCAGATTTTGGAGGATGTGGCGTGTTTGGTATTTTTGGATGATCAGTTCGAGAAGTTTCAAGAAAATTATGATGATAACAAGGTGGTGGATATTTTGACGAAGACGTTGAAGAAGATGTCGGAGCGGGGGAAGGAGTTGGCGATGGGGTTGAAGATGGAGGGGAGGCCACATGAGTTGGTTACTAGAGCTGTGAATGGGGCTTAGGTCTTGTTTCTTTTCCTTTTACTATATATAATTGTTGGTTTGTGGATTGGTTTGGATATGAATTAGAGTATAGAATTTTGGGGGTTTCAAAGACTCGCTCTATGAAGTGGTGGTGGTGGTGGTATCTAATAATGTACAATCGTTATGGCATGAGATGATGGGATGGGTAACTTTTGCAGTTGGGAGATCACGCTCCGCCGGTGTCGATCAACCGGACCAAGGCAATGGCTGCTCCAGCTGCGACTCCGCCCACGAAACACATTTGTATTCCTCCCTTGATGCCTGCGACGACGTTGTCGCGCCCGGACCAGCCGCGCACTACACATGTCTTGATGTATCCGAAGGCCAGAAGCGTGATTGCCATGACTCCGATGCTCATGTACAATGCCACTATCACCTGGTCGACGATGAAGTATGGGATGAGCGGGATGAAACCACCGACGAAGTAGCCAAGGGCGAGTGTGATGGCGGAGATCCACGCCTGGTTGCAGTCAGGCTCGGATTCCTTGTGATGAAAGCTGACCAGGAAGTCGAGGAGGCGGTCTTCAGAGGAGTGGAGGGACATGTTAATCTGGTTGATGACATCTTCGGGGAGACGGTAGGAAGCGAAGATGGATTGGACAATGGAACTGGTTTCGGCTGGCGATGTGTCGATGAGTTCTTTTGCCTCACGAACGGTGGTCTCGTACGATTCACTATTTGCTGTTAGAATTGAACGGATGAATTATTTGAAAAGGAAAACTTACGCTTCACTCTTCGCACCGACATATCCTCCCAGGCCCATGGAGATGGCACCCGCCGTCAATTCAGCCAATCCACCAAGCACAACGACCTTAGTGTTACCCAGCGCCGAGAGACCAGCGCTCAGCGCGAAAGGTACCGTCAAGCCATCGGATAAACCTAGAATGGCATCCGATACAATACGCGGGTTGATACGTGATCGCGAACTGCTAGTGCTGGCGGCGGTGCTGTCGGTGTCGGAAACGGGAGATGAGGCGCGGAAGGTAGAGTAAGACCGCTGAGCTTCGAGATCTTGTTCGCTCGGCAGGGTATCGGTATCTTCATTGGAAAGTAGTGGTTTGCCTGTTTTGGTCAGTCGAGTTCGGTTGAAGTTATTCATTTGCAGGCGGACAGACCATATGGAAGGGCCTGTTTTTGCTTTTCGCTCGGGAAGAGCTTCTGCTTCAGAAATAATAGCGCCATTGTATATTGACTGGGCTGCTGCGGGCTGCCTCAGGCCTGACGTCAGAAGCCGAGTCGGTGGCCGAATCTAGACCCTCTCAACAATTCCGGTAAGGCTGAGGGATTCTCGCGAGAGAGCGAAGCTGGACGAGACAAACAAAGTCCAGGAGTGATAGAAAGAAGCTTGATAGAATATGAGAATTTGATCTGGATGACGGTTTCAGCCAGAAGAAAAATCTTCTGGAAGCACTGATATTTATAAGAAATCTCCTCCTGTGGCAGCCAGAATCGACTTTTTCTGATTGTTCTCCAGACCCTTCCAGGCTGCCTTGGTGTGGGCCAATCACAAGCCGCGTAATTGTCAGCGGGTGTAGATCTCGGCGCAAAGCTCCAGCAGCCCCTCGGGGTTAAGCCAATACACCGATATTGATTGGCTTTCAGAGAGCACCGCTGACATTTACCAGGACACTGACTGGCCAGCTGCAGCAAGGTTGCTGCTCGATTACGCACTTGGATGCAGATTTGTCGGTCTCCGATGCGGATTGGGAGCAGTCCGAGAGGGGGAATACACCGAAATCACCAGCAAAGTAGGTGTGGCGATGCAGCTAATATCTGACCAGGAGGCCAATGCTCAACACCAGTCTGAAATTTTCAGGGTGAGACGCGGCACGCTGTGTACCATCGTGCACTTGTCGTTGCTGCACTGTAAAGCAATTGACGTAATTGTAGGGCGATCTGTTTTAGGTGCCTCATCTTCACAGCTGTGCCGTGTCTGCAGAGCTTGGCTTTGCTGGAGCTAGACGATTCGGGTTCTACGTCCCATGGGTGGGCTTGAGAAAATCTTGGGAGAGATACAGAGGGTCAGCCAGGCATATCTCGTCAGACTGCATGCCGAACATGTTGTTGAGCCTACTCCTCTGAATAACTACGGATGAGGGTTGAGACATTCTCAATATTTGGGATTTCGCCCTGAACATCATTGAATCCACCTAACGAAGATCACTAAACGTTCTGACCCGCCTTCGACCCGGTTTCACCAAGGGCAGGTCTGGGCCGAAAGCCGCGATCAGCAAGAGCGCCCGCTATCATCTCGGGTTTACGATATTAACTTTGTGATGCTTGATTTACCAGTGGAGTAAGCCTTTTTAACTCCGCACCGCACCTCCTAGTATTGAATTTGGAATTGGAAACCAAAGCAAAATGCATTCATTTGCATATAGGGGAGTGTTCCCTTGTAACTATCAACAGAGCCCTTCAGCTGATGGCAGAAACAAGCGTCCTGAAATATACGTGAAGTGAATGGTGATGTTCAGTTATTTCCATCGTGCTAAGTATGCAAGGCTGTTTATGGCTTATGCTATGGCTAAGCCTCTTAATCTTGAATCATATCGGGCTAGTCGATGGTAGACATGTGTCAGACTAAGAATGGGAATATTGTGTGTACTGTATAGTTCTCTGGCTTCCCATGATATTAATAAATCTGAAGACCTAGATCTCAGTCTTAAGCATCCCATGTCAATAATAAATCCTTCTATACACTGCCCAGTCTACTTATCCAGTCTAACCAACCTAAATCCAACATAGCCAAGCTATATGCTATGCAATTATTACTATATCGTAGCAACCCTTCCACCACTATCACTTAAACTCATCATCGTATCAACTACACCTATCTCGGAATCCAGATCACACACTTCCTCGCACCCCAGCCACTCTAAAGAAACAAACAGCCTAACATTCTACACTATTATCCAAAACATGTTCTTCAGTGGAAGCCGTCACCATTCATTTGGCATCTCAAATCATTAGGAACCACTAGATCGCCTGACCACGTGCTTGCTGATCTAAAGGCTCGTCATGCAAAGACCCTCGCAAACGACCCCCAAAACGGCCTCTCCAACGACCTCGCGTACGTCTACATCTACGCCCGAAACACAGGGGAAGCTCGTGGAGGAACATCATTAGGATCTATTCAGCAGAATTCTTAAGACATTCACTCCAGCCCGGGTCAGCTGATCCTTCGCCTCTTCTTCCTGCGTGGTCTCCGACCACCACCTCAACAACTAACCACCCTCTTGAGATCAGATAGATCAAATATACATCAAGCATATCGTTTAGCATGCATGTCAAAACCAATAAATAAGAGATGGCCGGAATGAGATCCAAGCACAAATGTAGAATCTTTGATGCAAAGATTCTCGCAGTCGCTCTTTGGCCGATATTCATCAGGAAGCCAGAGAACCTTATCCTCACCGAGGCACACCCATCCATCTTTCACACGTATTGGATCAACATCAGCAGCTACAGAGACCAAATGCCCCTCAGCGTCAGTTTCTATGTGATATATTTCATGACCGGTACAGAAACATTTGCCATCCTCGGAAAATTGAATTTTGCGTCCAGCGACATTGAGAGAGCTACGCAATTCATGTGTTGGCAAGTCCCACAAATCCACAATGAGGTTACCACGGCTCAGTGAAAGAGTAGCCAGGATCATGTCGTTCGGCGAAAGGGCCATCATCAAACAGGATTCAAATGATTTCTCTAGGTAGAAGTGCTTCCCTGTTGAAGGTTCACGAATGCTGACTTTCCTACCGTCAGTGACAGCTAGCAGGTGACCATCATGGGAGACTATAAAAGAGCACAGCTCAATTGAGTCGGTGAAAGTTTCGATTTGTTTCCCCGAAAATGGGTCCCATACCTGAAACTCCAGGCTGTCCAGGGACCATGAAATGATCTTGCCATCCGGCCGGAAGGCAATCTCCACGTTGATGTAATCGTCAATACCCCAATCCTCAATATCCGTGATCTGCAACTCCCGGATTAGTTTCCCACTGCTTGTATCCCAGACCTTGACTGTTCTATTGACAACACCTGCAATGAGACGGCCGTCGTCAGAGAACCTAGGATCAAAAATGGGATCTTCGAGAGCTTCGAGCTGATGCTGTGGAGTGCCTGAGGGGATATCCCAGAGTTTTGAGCCGTCATAAGTAATCGAAAGAACCGAGTTTAGTTCACAACCGGGTAAGGCATGTACAGAAAGAGCCGAGTTGGAATTAGAAAAGGGAGTCGAGTCTCGATTGCCGACTCGTAAGTCCCACAGGCGTACAATGCCATCGCTCGTACCAGAAACAAATTCGCCATTGGGAGAGAAAGCGAAAGTGCGAACACGATTCAGCTCGTACTCTAACTTCCCTGAAGTACTGTTCCATAGTTTAGCTGTGCCAAACCAGCTGCAAGAGGCGACCAATTCACCATTGTAGGAGAATGCCACCGATAAAGAGAGATCGTCAAGAGAGTGAATTAGCGAACCATCTTTCACATTCCATACCTTGGCCCCGACATGGCCAGAGCACGATGCTAGCAGGTCGTCGCGAGGTGAAAAGGCTAAAGATTGGATAGAACCATCACATACTTTGATTTGGGATTGCACTGTCAGATTCAAAGCCGGGTTCCATAACCTCAATATACCTGTATCGGACCCAGTTGCAACTATCTGGCCGTCATGTGAGATTGCTGATGCCAAAAGCTCATCAATTTGACCCTCCAGTGTCTGATGGAACGCACGTTGGGCGATATTCCAGAGGCCTAATGTGTGGGGGTTGGTGGAAATGTCCTGTAAGAGAACTGTCGTACCGTCAGGGGTAAAAGCTGGTCGATCGTGGCACCAAAGATGTCTGGGAATCTCTCCGTGCAGTAACCCGGTGGGCGCCTCCCATAGCTGGATGCCGCTTTCTTTTTTGAACACCGATGCCAGTAATTTACCATCGGGAGAGAACGTTAGCTTACTATCACCTGGCTGTATTTTGGGCAGTTCGTCCTTGTCGTGGATTGCTTTGAAGCTCTGGCGAATGGTTCCTGTGACCGTACTCCAAAGTATGATCGTTCCAACCTTATCCATCGAAGCAATGACTTCGCCGTCTGGCGAGCATGCCACCCCTATTATGCTCCTCCCATTGTGGCCTTCATAAGATTGCAATCCTGGGCCCCACTCCAATCCCACATTTGGCAGCCGAGAAATAGTTGGAGGTATATACCTCGCAAATATGTTTCTGATGAGAGACTTTTGCGGAGCAAACACAAGTGCAGAAGCGTATAGCTGCAGCGGAGCCTTCTCGGCAATCCCTAAGTTCTTCAGAATGAATCGGTGAGCGTCATAGAGAAATCCGGACAGCAATGGTTCATCCTGCACCTGTTTAACCTTGATCAGAAAAAAACTTTCGTTTCTTTTTTGTTTTTGTTTTTTTCGGCGGCGTCTGAGATTGAGACCTACCTCTAACAACTTCCGCAGAATGTTGATATTGACCACAACCTCAGATATATAGCCTAAGATGCTCATCGCCTCAAACCAGTGCAGAAGGTGTTTTTCTAGGAGCTGGTGAGTCTCGTCACCCTCTCGTAGAGCAACCTTTCCCCTTTGCAGATGATGAATCCAATATCGGCACGCATATCTGAGCTCTTCAGATATACTTTGACTACATTTCTCCCTGTCGATCTCCGAACGCAAAGTTCCATAACTCGGTATGTTGCACAAATTTTTCCGCAAGCCGGTCCGCGATCGTTCCATGACTCGTATGCAGCAGAGAGCTACGTGCCGATGCATCGCTTCACCATCTACCCAGAACGGGGTCTCTTCGCGAGTCTTGGCCGCGAGCAGAAAATCTCGGAAGGATTGATGGTATGGCCTCACGGGCTGGCCTTTGTCCTTCGGTACGAAGATCACAGAGGTAAGGAAGCTCAATTGACGGCTGATTGTGGATTTTGGTATCCCGAGAAGACATGCCAGGGCGCTGACCGACAGTGGACTGGCGAGGATGATAATAGGCCCGATCAGTCTCTTGAACTCATTCACTGTCTGTGCGTGTTCACTTTTATCTTCAAATGCTAAGATTGAAGAAAATACGGGAAGGTATGTCTTGCCTAACACTGATATGTGGGATGCGGGTTGATTCTCGAGGATTATCCTCAGCCTGTCTCTTGGGTCTTTCAATGGATCCTCGATGAATCGGCACATGGTGGCGGCAGAGATGAATAACGGGAGGGCTATTTGAATCAGCTGCGCAACCTCGCTCTCCTCTGGCCATTTGGAGAAGTCGTCGTCCTCGTCAGCCCAGTTATAGTCGTCTTCACTCGGCAATTGTCGTTCCGTCCGGATCTGCAACAGTCTGTCTCGTATGAACAACGAGATGTCCTGCTCAACAGTCTCGGCAGGTATTTCGTGCAGGGCTACGTCATCATGGTCATCTCTAGATAATTTTCTGAATCCTGTTTTGATAATAAATTCTGGACGACTGGTTATGAACACGCGGAGTCGGATCGCTTTTGACTCTTGGATCCGGGGAAGAAGGGAAATCAACTGCTGCACGTCTTCAATCTTGTCGCACTCATCCAGTGCATCAATGACCAAAACCAACACCGAATGCTGCGAAAGATCATCATTCAGGGCCAAGAGGGGCTTCAGGAGGAGTTCGTCGAATTGCTGTACAAGGCCCTTCGCGGCGATCTTTGAGTCACGTTGTATCGCCTTTCTAACGCGCGGGATCAATCGGGGCTCATGGACAATCAGTTGTTCAACAATCGTGGCAAAAAATCGGCTTGCGTTTCCACGATCAGCCTCGCCTCTCTTGAAGAAGAAGCTTGCCCCGAGGTAGTTCTTATCTTGTAATTTCCGTGCAACAGACTTTGAGATTGTGGATTTGCCGGTCCCCGCCATGCCATTCAGCCAGAAAATGCACTTCTCATCTGGCGATTCCGCCCACGCCATGATCCGCCGGAGTAGACTGGTTCTGGTGTTTTCGAGGCACCCCTCATTAAGTTGGTTTGCATAGGAGTCATATGCTGCTCCGTCGGCAACCACAAGCTTGGCGACCTCAAAATCCTGGATCAAGCTTTGGACATCGGCAGCGATCACGTCGATCTGCGTGAGTAGCTTCTCCGCTTCATCGTCTCGACGACGGTACTGGTCCAGCCGCATCCAACTGTCGAGCTGTTTATCTTGCTCCGCAATGGCGGACTTGAGCGTGCTCAGCGGCTGGTCCTTCAGGGCGGTAATACTTAGAAGAAGCATCCTGCCGACGTTCGCCTGCCGAACCGTCACCATCTCTGCAGTATACTTTAGGATGGCGACATAGGTGTCGATGAACAATCTTTCCAACGGGACCTGCGTGTTGGTGTTTACCGAACGGCGACAATACATCTCCACAACGGCATATCGCTCGAGCGTGTCGGCGATGAATCCAGAAGACTCGAATGCGGCTTCGCGTAAATCATGTCGATTCTTGGCCATCTGGAAAGAAGACAACCATATTAGCATATACGGCTGGATTTCTTGTTTAGGCCCGAAAATAGATCTGACCCAAGCCATGATTGAAACTCACCGTGAGCGCCAGGGACACGAACGTCCATGCCGTGGTCGCATGTCCCGTCGGATCGCAAGCTGCCGCTGCGCTTATGACACTCTGAAAGGACAAGGCGGCGCTGAGAGTCTTATGGGCATACACCCGTAGCTGGCGGGTCTTGCTCTCCCCGTTTCGCTTTTCGTCCTCATCGTATTGCCGCTGTGTGGTCTGGACTATGGACTGGAGGAGTTCCTCCGTACGGGCGTGAAGGCCTCCGTCCGCATTTCGGATAGAACATAGTTTGTCTCGGGCGGGCTGGTCGAGTTTGTCGAAGGCCTCTTGCCATAGATCCTTGGGACTATCTGGGGCTGCCACACAGGAATTTGGTGGATTCTGGTTACTCTGGGATTGCTGTGAGCTACGGCCGGATTCCAGTGTAGATGAATCTGCGGAGGAATGCCTGAGGCGATGCTTGTGAAAGCGCTCCCGGAGACCCCGGAGAACCATCTTGAGACCCCTGGGGCATTGGTCTCTTTCAGATGAAACGAATGATCAAATGTGTTTGAGGGGTAAGGGGACGATGTGGGATTTCTCCGACGTATTACGAGCATGGTTGCTTTTTCCTGAGGGGAAGAAACTAGGGCTAAGCATTTACAGTTAGTTTCCCATCCTCTTCCGTCCACAGCCAATGACCGGAAGGCAATGAATGCATGGCATCGCGGCCTGCATGATTAGCCCGATTCAGCTCAAGATTCTGACATGGTACATGGCTCCCCTGTGTTTCGGGCGTAGATTCAGACGTACGCGAGGTCGTTGGAGAGGCCGTTTTGAAGGTCGTTTGCGAGGGTCTTTGCATGCGAACCTTTAGATCAGCAAGCCCGTGGTCAAGTGAACCAGTGGGTTTGTATAATTTGAGATGCCAAATGAATGGTGAAGGCTTCGATACCAGAACCTTAGCTTGAGATTTTGAAGCTTTTGGCTCTGGCTCTGGCTCTGGCTCTGGCTCTAGTTCTGCTTCCAACAGATTCTGGGATTCCTGTAGTCTTTCCTGTTTATTACAGGCCTACCAGTGGCTATTTGATGTCAAATACTAACTTTGAGATATATCTAGATTTGCAGCAAGAAGCCGGGCTCATAACCTTTCCAATCTGACTGTATCTCGCCAAGCATGCAGATGCAATGGTTTGGGCACCGAAGTGTCAAGTCGTGCTTATACCTTTATTTCAATATGCACAGGCCGTCTATAAACATCGGTTCTCCTTCTGCTCTGGCGCGTTCGGCTAGAAACCAGGAAATAGGCGGATATATCATCTCACAACCAATCCCTCCATTCCCTCCCTCAAACGTCATAAATATACACGTAAATGTGACCCAAGCAAACCTACAAAACAATCGCCATCCCCAAAATTCCCGCAGCACCCATAATCCCCGCCATACCCGTCGGCTTCGGAGCCCCAGGCCCAGCACCACCATGCGAAGACGAGGTGGAAGGCGAAGCCGTTTCAAAAGCCGTCGAAAAATACGATTTCACATCCCCATTCAAACTACTGTACCAAGACGGAACGATTCCGTTTTTCCACTCACTCGCGACTGATGACCAAGCTGTCGGGTTCGTCATCTCGGAGATGACAGAGGTCGGGACTTCAGTGATCAGGTCGGATCTGATGGAGGTAGGCACTTCGGGGAAGAGGGTGGGCATTGTAGTGGTTGGGTTGGCTCTGTGAGATTTGATGGCTCGTTAGCTAGATACTGGATGGGGGTTGAGAGTAAGAAATATGTAGGTATGTAGGTAGGTGTACAGGTTACTCAAGGGGTTGGGCATGTCTGAGTCGGTCGTGTCGTCTCGCTTTTCGATGGCTGGGTCGGATTCTGGGAATGCCAGTGCTAGAGTTGATAGAAGTAGGACAGAGAAAGTTGTGAAGCGCATTTTGATTGGTAATAGTATGGTATAGTAATTGTTTTGAGTGTGATTGGTAGGTTGATTGATGCGAGGGGGAAGTGTATGTTGGGGGAGTTGGAAAAGGGCTGTGGGAGAAGCAATTTATATATTCAAGCTACTATCTATCATTGCCTTCTCTGGACTACTTAGGTAGCCTCACTGCCTGCAATTGTACTTTATGAGAAAATTCCGAGCCAAAGCAGCGATCTGCGTCATGTCCAGACACCGGGACCTGGGTTTGTAGCAGTGCATATCAAAGCTGGAGAGGAAATAGCACCTATAAACGAGGTGAACACTTCACTCCCAATAATCTGCTTCACATTAGTCTTGTACCCCAAAATTGGATTGATAGAGATTGAAGAGGAAAGACGAAAGCATATGCCATCCCGCGGTAAATCGTAGGCATCTACTCCGTAGATCCGGTTCAGCTGCGCCGTTAGGGTGGTTGAGTTGATCCCAAACACAGGTCTCCAGCTCGTAGCATTAATGACGTAGACTCAGCATTATAGAAACTCCGTTGTGCAAATATGCTTAATCATGGTGGGCTCTATTTGCAGTATGCGATTGAGAGTGGTCGATTATACCTGAAGTACTCCGCTAGATGGGGTGTTGTTGAGGCCGGCCTATAGCCGATCTCGCCGCAAGAGGAATAGGAGGGGCCACCGGAGCCGATGGGCGACTGCGACTAGGAGTATCTATTCGCCTTATTCTTTTCTTCTTCTATTCCACCTTGTGCTTGGGCATTTGAGCATAGTCTCGAGTGCTAATAATATCTCAAATGGTGGCTTATGCTTGCTTTGCTTCTTTCGTCTCCCCATTATTGCAGCTTTGCGATTTTACTTCTTGTGGCCTAGCTACGCTTCCAAATGAGCATGATTGCTGACACGCCAGGTTCAGGCGCATATGCCAAAGAGGCTCCGTAGCACTCCGACGATCTTCGAAGAGCATACACGGCAGGCCTTGCTATCCTCCGTCCATGATTTATCGACTGAACCTGCTCGACACCGATGTAGAACGTGCTCATCGCGATCACGACGACCGACCGACACCGTACTACACTGTGCGTCCTCAGGCAACAGCGCGGGGTGAAGGCAGCTTTGGTGTTCCCGGCGGCTCGCTTAAGGGCCAATCAGGAGCGTAGAATAGTACCCGGTCTTCCTATATAATTCATCGTAAAGAAGTACTGTTGCCTTCGGGCATTTGGTCAATTTGAAACGATACAGAGAAGATTAGCATGGCCCCTGCACTAAGGATGACACGCTCAATCAAAGAGAAGCTACCAGTTTTTTTTGTAACTTTTACAGGCTTCATATGAAGGTAGAAGTGTCTCGTGCAATATACGCCGTCGAGGAGGTGCCGGGTTCGAATCGCGCTGTTGGCTCCCTTGTTTTTTATATATAATGCTTCACTTAGCCTTTTTCTTTTTTTTCCCAGAAAGTGGCATCCACTACGAAAGGCACGTTTATGTTTACTTGGTCGATCAGAGCAATTAGTATTTCCTTCCGGTTCATGATGGTTGTGCAGGTCAATCTGATACATATATACACAATACTCCGTAGAAGTTAAAAATAATAATCAAAGAACCCAATTAAGCACCCCCCTCCCGCTTTGCGTATTCCTCCTCCATTCTCTCCTCGTATAATCTCTCCGCTTCCTCCTTGCTCAAAGGCCTGAGATCTTCGGAGCCCGTGGACAAGTATTCGGGTATCGTACCACTGTTGCGGTCCATGCCTGAGCCAAAGGCGGACTCGCCGAGGGTGTTTCCCGTGGCTGCGAGGCGGTTGACTGAAGAGTCAGAGGTTCCGTCTGTGCGGTTAGGCACCGAGCTGGTGTCTTTGTGAGGCATTATCAGGAGGATTGGATTATAATTTGCTTTCAGAGATGGGAGTAAAGAAGTGGACTTGTTTGAAGTATGATAGATAGACAGGTACTATGTCGGCGATGGGCCGGTTGAGACGTTGTTTACTTATTTATGTGCGCCGGAGTGGCGAGATGTTTTCCGCAACGTCATAGGCCACCGTGGCTTAGCAACCAAGTACGCAGTACGAGCTCCAAGATCGCGGATATGATTGCCTTCCAGTCGGTAGTTACTTCCGTCACAGGCTGCTACTCATCTTATTCGCTGGTATAGTGCCACCACTTGACTAGAGCTGCCTACTGCTACAATGTTCTCTTCCCCACCCTCGAGCCACTGGCCCAAGAACTGATGAAAAGAAAATAAAAGCTCCAAAAGGAGAAGTGCCAAAGAATACGCCTGTCAATGACCCGTAGGCCGTTGAACGGATTGTTCCGCCGCGCTGTGCAATGCAGGGACCAATCCGTGGTGAACCGCCTTCTTGATCGCAGTCACCCAAACAAGGTAAGTATGAAGAAAAGAAAGAAGAAAAAAGTCTAAAAGGGAGCCGGGGGGGAGTTGCTTATATAGGATTGGGTGGGGACTCCGGAAGGCGCTAGCGGTAAGCGAGGTTGGGCGGTACGACTCGTTTCGGTATGTCACGTGGATACTATTGGGAGGGTGTCTCCTTGCATCCCATGGCATCGCTTTGGTGAGGACGACACAGAAGGAGCGAATTCTACTTGCCGACTACTTGAAATGGCTGGTAATAAGTATCTTTGAGTTATCTACTTTGTATCTTCCGCATAAATGGAAAGGGCTGCCGTATCAACGAGTCCCAATCGGTGCACTAGGACAAGAATATCAAGGTTTAGATATTCAGTTACGATGCAATAATGAGAAGAGCCATAATATGGCAAACAGTGCCGATGAATGGCATGGGATTGCCATTGCAAACCCATTTCATTGGATGACGTTTTAATTTGTGGAAGTAGACGGTAGCCAGCATTGGAATCCGTTGCGAAGATAAGTCCTCGTTGCTTTGCCAACCCCGCTTAACTATGATGGTGGCAGAACTTAATTCTTTTCTGAACCCTTGGGGTAGACTGGAACAGCCTTATCCGGGCCAACGACAGTCTGAAGCAAGACGAAAGGTTAACAGGAAAGTAATATTTCCAAGGGGTCCAGGATCGCATAGAAAGAACTTACCTTGAGTGGTAGGCACCATTCGAACCCCAAATGGCTCTCCGTGAAGGAACGGTCAGTTTCCACAAAGGAGACATTGTACGAGCTAGCCAGTCTCTCGGCTATGGCCAGTGCGCAATGATTTGAATGCTCAATATCCAAAGCCTTCGAATTGATCATTTTCTTCCCCATAGAGACCGCAAGGGCGAGCTTTCGGAGAAGATAGGTACAATGCTCGTCATGCCAGTAGCGCGTATAGGCTACGGACACTTCCCCAGCCTCCAACTTCTCTACATCAGCGTCAATCGTCATCTTGGGGTCCATGTACCACTGTCTGTCCTGAAAGGTGTCGTAGTCTTCCCCTGGCTCCGGAAAATAGCACTCTGGAGGGATCCAAGCGCGTTGCATCGGCTCGAACACGCAACCTCGTGCTCGTGCTTCGTCAGGAGTCACTCCACAATCTGTGTATTTATATTGATTTCCGGTACGGGTCATCCAGAAGAATACAATTGCTCCCGCGAAAACAATTGCTAAAGGTGCATATACAAGAGGGTTGGTGAAAAATGAGACGGACAAAATCCCCCGGCGTCTAGGCACCGGAGATTCAAGGTCTTCGGTAGATTCGTCTTCGTTCAAAGCTATATATTCACCTCGCTCCGATTTGCTTTGCGAAGAAACATCATGATCATGCATTGGAACATTGACTGGCTTCCGCAGTTGTTACTATGTCTTTTCGTTATTCCTTGCCCTTGATCTTTCATGATTCAACATTTTATAGGGTAGAATAGCCACATACTCGATATAAAAGCAAAATCTCACACGATTCGATTCGTTAGGGTCAAACGGGAGGTTGGAGTTTGAAGAAGTAGGACTGTGTGATCTGTGGTGTAGGCCACCTGAGGGATAAGCATACTCGAATGCCAGGTGCCTCTCTGCGTTCTTATTTCACTTGCCGCGTCTTCCGACATCTTCGAGTGTAAACTGAAAGGAACATTGGAACATCGAATGATCATTGGCCCGATAAGGTATACGAAGGCATTTTCAGTATTATTTATTTGCGAATATACACAATACATGCCCAAAAGGCGCTAAATATGTCTCGACTAGGGTTTAATTTATGTTTTGTCTTTAGAGGGATGTCCATGTGCGTCAGAATGAAATAAATGCCAATACAGTATTAATCCTATATAGTTTAAAGGCTAGTATGTGACAAGCGGCTCACCTGGTGGAGCAAGCGAGGCCCAAGTTCGATTTCCCCTCATGAACACCGCTTGTCTTGAGCTAGTCTGAGTAAGCCCGAAAGCCACCATGCTTACTATGCGCTATAAAGTGCTCTATACACAGTTCTCATTCGGTTTACTCCGTAATTACAAAAGAGGGGTAATCATTCAGGCGACCGACAGATAAGTCGCAATCTGGGACCAAAATTATCGATCGCCGAGGCTAAAAACGTGCCTGGCCTGGAATCGGACCCGAAACTTTTGTCGTCCGCACGGCATTAGCGCTGGAATTCATAACCACTGGCACCTCGATCAGGACAAAATAACCCGGGCCAGGATCCATGATAAGCTGAGTGCAGTGTTTTACATGATGTAAACTATCAAATCGGGCTTCCAGGATCACGCCCGTATCCTTCATCCTATAGTATTTTTGCCGTAAAAGAGACAGTGCGCGGCGTGCCACTCCTCAGAGGCCCAGAACGAACCTCCCGTCTCACCCAACGTGGCAATTTCTGCCTTGCTGATGGGTATCGTGCCGTTCTCATCATAGAAAAAGTTCCATGTGCCATTGGGGCCGGGACCAGCCCGCTCGAATTGCGCCGTTAATTCGTCATCTCGGCAGTACGGAGGAAGCCAGGCTGCGGATAGGGAGTCGTAGATGCAGTTGAGGCTAAGGGCCTCTTGAATTGTGGTGCCGCAATCACAAACATTAAGTTCGTGTGGAAGCGCTTCCGGATGATGATCATGTGGATTCGAGTCTACCTCCTGCGTTTTTGCGGCGTCTGGCGATGGCGTGTGGGGAGATAGAGATGTCGAAATCAAACGGTATGTGTTATAGCAGACTGAGATGAAACCCCACACCGCGAGCAGGTATGTGATAGCTTGGGAAAGGCTGCATTGGTAATGCCTTTTCCGCGCCTTCGCAAATAGGTCGCTCTTGTCACCTGTGGATGACACCGCACACTCCTCCCTAGAAAGAAATGGGGTTCTGTCGGACTCCGTAACACTTGAATCATCAGATAGATTCATGACTGGCTTTGGTAGTTATAGTAAAATAAAGATATATGCTGGGCAGCCGGAACATGAATTTGTCGGTGGGCTTAGGGAACGATGCGAGCCCTTGGTGATGTGAAATGGCACTGGGGAAAGGGCGATGAAGTTTTCTCCTGAAAGGTTATTTATGTCCATCTGTGAGTGGTGATATGATAAATGGAGTAGATCCTGGGATAGCAAGTAGCTCCTCCCTAAGTGTATCTGGGTACTTTCAGGCAGCGGGGGATATTACGAGGAAAGTAACAAAAACCACTTGTACTCTGATAGTATGAAGCACGACTTACGCCAGATTTGAAAGGGAAAATTGCAAAGCCAAATACGAGGGCCACAGTTGTGAATTTCAGTAATGCAGCTAGGAGTCACCAAGCATTCATGAGAAACAACGCTAGTCCTTTCCTCTTGAATTCACAATTTGATTTCGAGACGGTGGGCCTGAAATACTCCACCATATGCAAGAGCCTCTTGGGAGGTACGAGACCGGAGTCTGGACTTTCAAGCAATCATGTCATGTGGCTTTGTGAAATTCTAATACAGGACGACGAATACCTAGATATCCACCGTCTCGGTTAAGATAGTTAACTACTTCTCAGCTTGCTCTTGAACCAGCAGCTAATCTATCGCACGTGTCACACGTGGCCTTCCTCCGGTCGAACCGTCCCACTAAGCAGACACTTTCCCATCATTATTCAATAACTTCCCAGTGCCTATTTCAGTAACCCCCAAATCAGGATGGGTTTGATTCTCCGTATATGGGTCTCCTGCGCAGAAAATGGTATAAACAATCTGGGTTTAAATAGTGTCGGAAAATGGACGGTGGTCCCTTACCGAAAATGGGGTGTACGAGAAGACCCGGCTCAAATGGATCGAAAGAGCGCTCTGCCATCCACTCTTCAACTTGACTCCAGTCAGCACACTGATGGTTGCCGTCATCCGATGCCACTGGGCTGGCATCACTGTCATTTTTGCATTAGTTTCAGACAACCACATCATTCCTACATGGTAACTTACTTAGTAGTCCAGTGTATTGGAATGAAAGTAGGATCTGCGTGGCATTGGATATGCTGCCTCAGCCAATCTAGACAGTGTTCTGTGTCTAGTTAGTACAATCATATTCCAACAAAGGACATTCTCATGGTGTCGTAACATGCCTGTGTGTCGTCGCAACATGAAAAGCTCGAACTCAGAAAGTCCCGCATAATAGTGCTCCGCATAGATGTACATATGGAGTCGTTTGACACAGTGCAGCCCATGGAAAGCGGATACTGTCACATAATAGCCGCTGCCGTCACTGAGTTTGATAACACTATCATCACCAGCAAACTCACCCAGCTCGGCATGGCTGACTTTAATATCTGCATCTAAGGGAACAGTTAACACTTGCAATACCAAAGGGATTAGATCTTCAAGCATCGAACTCTTCATGAGTCTGTCCCACGCCTCCTCGAGCTCCGGCCTTGGCGGCCCGCTAAAGTTGTTCGTTTTGTGGGGGTTCAAATCGCCGTCATGTCGGTAGATTGCCAAAAGTTCAAATCGGTGCTTCTCAAGCTTTATGTTATCCTGGAGAGTATCTTTGAAGGCCGAACACAATTCAGCCATGATCTCTGCATTTCGAGGGAACGGGCTGACTCACTGGAAGAACCCAAATGGGTTTTGGGCATAAGAAACATGGAGGCATACAATGTGACTAGAAGCCCATTCAGCAAAAGTAGGGCGATGTGCACAGCGACAGAGCACCAATATCTCCTGAACCAGGAGATTCCATGTTTCGGTCCTCGTTGCGCTCTAGGAAATTCTGGAAAGCTATCATCATCGGCCGCGTTCACTGGGTCGTGGTATTTCTCTTCGCATTCTGAGGATTGAAGGAGACGAGAATATTTGAACATGTTGGGTCCGCGCTGGCTACTGGGTTCATCTGTAGATTTTGAAGCGGAAGCAATTTCTTATTGTGAACAACGTTCGTCGACTATGGATCAAGTGTAGTTTCAAGGATTGAAGGGCCTTCAGGTACCTTGTCTCCCCTCCTTCAGACTCTAGCCCAGCCTACGTCTGTCAGATATGATAATGGCTGGGGCATTTCAAGGCATTTTCATGACACAACCCTCATCACTCGTAATTATCACTTGCTACTGCTACACTTGTACTCATAATCCTATTGTAGGTAGTCTCTACGTCGGGTTGGCTGTGCACCTTCCTGTTCCGTAATAGATCCGCTCAGTACGCCTAGCACTGGTGTATACCACGATTCAAGATTGTGAATTTGACACAGAACACTACTATGAGTGGGTATTTTACAATATGTCTTCGAATGAGTCGCTTACAGAGCTACAACGTCTGCTCTGACTATTTCTGGTTGGTCGGCTCGCTAATTTCCATGTATACTAGTAAGTAGTTTCGGATTTCATACAGACCGGTGTCCCATTGTGGGGCTATCTCAAGGTCTAATGGCTGACTCGGTCATATGCGGAGTCCGGATCCTGCTCCGTACATTATCTTTATCATCAGTCTTTTTAGCCGACTGCAAGCATTTTGTCTCACTTTGCTATCTCACTTTGCTATCTCACTAAGCTATCTCACTAGGTGGCACTGGTGGCCTGAACTTGGCCACCATTCTCATTGGCCAGGATGTTTTCACCTCCACATCCGTCCACCCTGCCGGACGCTTTCTCTTGGCGGCATGTTTTACTACTACTGCTAGTAGTTCTATCCAAGATACTCTATCCGCGGCCAATGAGACAATACCCCTTGGTCTACGTTCTAGCCTACCCCGCTCGCATTGTATTTTCCTTCCGTGCGTCGATGCCGTGAATCTCAAAATGACGAAATGCTGAAAAGCCTGAAACATCTCTGGATGGACACGATTGGCCGGCCCGTTCCGGGTGATGTTGATCCCTTGTCTGTGCGCTTTTGCCGTCAATGATTTGAAATGACTCTCTACGATTCTCTCTCAAGTGACATGATGATTGAATATAACACCAATGGTGCAATTTACAGTATATTATAGCGCGGGGAATGACACCATCGTGTGAGATTCTGACCTCACATCCACCTGTAAGCTTATAAGAGATGCGTAATCTGAGCTGTCAGAATTCTAGTCTTTTACTGCATGGCCTAGCGGTCATTTTCTGGAGGATTCACTACCTAAGGCGCCCTAGATTGGATGCTGATACAAGAGACACTATGATCTTACCGCTTCATGCATATGAGGCTTTTAGGCACGTGCGCCTTACTGCATCGACTAGTTTGTTCACTAGCCAAGTCACAGAGATTCGTATGTCAGATATCATCCCATCCCCACCTTTGGCATACAGCCTTAGTGGAGACAATACTAGTCATCATGTAGTATCAATACGACTTAGTGGGGTTTGCCTACAGCAAGAGGCAGGGGATGTGTTGAGCAGGTACGACGGCTTAGTGGAAATTTGTTTGTTTGCTATATTCCTTGCTTCTAGCCCATACATTTGCCATTTTGTGGCTTATTGAAACATCGATCGTGCTCAATCTCTCTTATTCGTTCTCTCCTTCCCCCCAGCCTCCACTCTCCTCCAATAAACTCTCATTCATGGATGTTGGGAATCCTATCGGCGTTTAAACTCACACCACTCCCTGTCGCAATAGCGTCCAGCGGATAATTGAGCGTAAATATCCCCTCACAATGGTCGATATGAGACTCGCTGTCAGACCGATACTCAATCCTCTTCGCTGCTCCTTCTACTCCATGCACCATGCGGTGAAGCTTCCGCCAATAAAAGCTACAATGGAACACGTGCCAGCGGTAGGTCATGTAAAAAAACTCATGGGTGTCATTTCCCGGCAATTGAGCGATCTCCGCCAGTGTCATTGTAGAATTTCCCGATTGATCTGCGTAGTATGTCCAGGACCCACCATCACCTGGGCCTGCGGCGTCGAATCGTGCAGTCAATTCGTCGTCTCGGCAGTGTGGTGGTAGCCAGGCTGCGGAGAGGGTGTCATAGCGGCACGAACGAGTCAAGGCTTCAGCTATAGAATCGCCGCAGGAGCAAGACAAATCATCTTGGGATAGGCTTCCGGGCCAGTGGATGTATTGCGCTACCGTACCACTATACGGTCTTACTAGGTGGTAGAAACCGTTTAGCGCAAGAAGCAAGATGACTAGGTAGAAAGATAGCAATCCTATGCGTTTCAGTAGCCTCGAGGAAGTGCTCGTGCAATGTCGCTTGTCAGAAGAGAGGCGTCTAAGTGCCAAAGAAGCCGTGGCCAAGTCGGAACTCTCCCTGGCAGCAAGTAGGCCCTCGTTGTACTCTTCTTCATCTTCATCGGGTTTTTGTGAGGCTTTGGGTAGAGTGGGGAGTTTGAAAGAGACGGCAGCTGGGTGCATGACGAAGGCAGAATGTGCACTTTGTGCTTGAAAAAAGCCAATGCCAGGGTTTTTTGGTCGCTAACGAACGCTGAGAAGTAGTATTCAATTTGTAGGCCAGAAGGATTATGCATGTGGGAGACGGACTCGAAACTTTCGGCCTTCTCCAATACAGAGTCTTTACCAACTACTATCGACAAATAGGCCAAGGTTTAAGAACTCCAATCGGGGCCCAGTTACTTATCCTAGAGTTTAAAAGGTGAAAAGCACGGATTACATGTTACCAGAACGTCATGGGACTTTAATTCCCATTTTCATTGGCGATTCACGTGGCTAAAGGTACGTGCGTATGCATCTAGATAGACCCGCAATTTTATCATGACTGGGGCTATGTAGAACTTTTCGTAATAAGCGCCAAATGTCATCAAGTAGTTCAGACATATAGGTATCACACAGGGAGAGCACTACAGGCCTACCGGACTTGGCCAGGAGGTCGTCAGCATGCTCTTTTCAGTCTAGTAGGCATCTGGTCTATGCAGTCATCATGTCTGCAAAAGGGCACGCGATGGATAACGCAATATGGTTGTATCGGAAAAGACCAGTATAGTATCTTTCATAAACTAGTAACCGTATCAGTCTGTATCTCTCGTCATCCCCAATGAGCTTGAAAGGCTAGAGATCTTCCATTATAAATAAGAGACAGAATCACTCTGATGGGTTTGCACAAGTTGTGGGCCTTGTCGAAGCTAGTCAATCTTCCTTCTGTTGTTGCAGCTCCGTTAAAACTACTCTCAAGCTCCATTTTCTCAATTGAACTCAAATACATTTCCTCATAAAGATGCACTTTCGAAACTTCGCACTAGCTATTACGCTTCTCACCGTTGGGGTCCAGGCTGCTCCAACCCCTGGTAAGTACAGTGTTTACCACGGCTTTGCAGTCCAGAGTAACTAATTGTATCTGTAGGGTTCATTGGCATTGAGAAGCGCAGCGATGCTGCTCCTTGGACTGCCAAGCTAGATGAGGTCGAGAAGCGCAGTGATGCTGCTCCCTGGACTGCTAAGCTAGACGAGGTCGAGAAGCGCAGTGATGCTGCTCCCTGGACCGCCAAGCTAGATGAGGTCGAGAAGCGCAGTGATGCTGCTCCTTGGACTGCCAAGCTAGATGAGATCGAGAAGCGCAGTGACGCTGCTCCTTGGACTGCCAAGCTAGATGAGGTCGAGAAGCGCAGTGACGCTGCTCCTTGGACTGCCAAGCTAGATGAGGTCGAGAAGCGCAGTGATGCTGCTCCTTGGACTGCCAAGCTAGATGAGGTCGAGAAGCGCAGTGATGCTGCTCCCTGGACTGCCAAGCTAGATGAGGTCGAGAAGCGCAGTGATGCTGCCCCCTGGACCGCTAAGCTAGATGAGGTTGAAAGTGAAGCCAGCACCTGAAGGGCATGGGCTGAAAAGACTAGAGGGCACTATCCGGATACAATGACACTCGCGTCCCCTTTTGCAAGTCTGGGACTGATTTAGCTCTTATCGCGAGTAGAGTCCCATGATAAAATCAGCCTACATAAGAATGAAATTTATCTGCCGACCTCTGCCAATTTCTGTGTATCGAATCAAAGATGAAATGTGCTTCTCAAGAGACATTGATAAGACTATTTGCTTGTACTATGTACGGGCAAGTGCCTCCACCTCCGCCCCAATATCTTATCGTGGAATAGATCGCACGAAGTAGATAAAGGCTATCCATAGGTCCGGGCAACATGAAAGGTGTTCATATCTATACTAGTAGCCACTAAGACACGTGCACCCCACCACATGTATTGTGTGACTTGACTTCCCAGTATATCATGCCAGTGGGGCCCCACCTCGAAACCGACGGGCAGATCAAGCATCATCCGTCAATGATACTTCCCCTTCTAACATAAAAACGAGATTCATCTGCATGTACTATTCCGAGTGACTATCGATCTCACGATGCTAGACAGATTACCCCTCGAACTACTGCACATGGTGCTCGATCATGTAAGCAGTCCTCTGTTCCTCTCCAGCAGCAGTTGAAGCAGGCTAATTCGCCATCCCAGGTGACCCGAAGGGATCTCAAAAATCTCTGTGAAGTCTCCAAGAACATCTATGTAAAGATGGTTCCTTGTCTATATGAATCACTAGTCATAAAAGCAACGTACCCATCAGCTCAGTCCGTGAACGATGCAATCACGAGGTCAAATCACTCGCAGTTGGTGCATACAAAGCACCTCAGGCTGTGGGGTTCATATCATGAGATAGAAGCCTATCAATTCTGTTCTTTGCATGATTTCTTGGATGGCAGGCTTCAAGCTCCCGGTGATGTTGATGGACCCATGTCAAAATTAATACTGTGCGGAGATCAGCAGACCACTACGTTTGACTGCATTCCGATCATGACACACAACATGTATCGCATGGTATCAGGAATCCCTCGGGGTCAACTTCAAAGCTTCCAGTACAGATATTGATTTCTGATGCACTACGGCGAGTCAACACTAACACGCTATAGGTGGGATCTAAAAACATGTTTTTCCGAGGAAGTGGTTCTCCTCATCAACAGGATTTTAGAAACCCAAGAGAAACTTACGACAATTTCTCTCCTCACAGATGGTGACTGCATTGTAACCAGAATCAGACATGCATCATGCGCCATAAATCTTGCTCAACTTTCTGAGCTCCAACACCTATCCTGGAGAGGTCTTAAGCGATATGTTGACTTTGAGTCGGTTAGACAGTTTATCGCTGCTCACGGTGCTCAATTGAAGACACTGCACCTCGACCTTATCGGCTGGGACACCGCTAGATTGGCCTGGAGACAAGTTTTCCGAAAAATGGTCGATAAACATGCAATATTGCCACAGAACTTCTTTGCGCAATGCGTGCTTGGTCTTTCACTTGAAGAAAAACCATATACCCTTCTCACGGCTCTTCAACGCTTGACTCTCTCCCAAGTATCCTTCATCCCCATGGAAGTCCAGTTGACCGGTGCTCTTAACGTAGGGCAACTTCAAGCGTTGCAACTCATCAACTGCCCCGGTACATTCCGCTTCCTTCGACAGATCGTCCACTCAGGCATGCCACTTAAGCTGAAATTGCTCGAACTGACATTCAACCCGGAAAAGCTAAATCAAATTACCGACGAGTCGCAGGACAACATCACCGAAACCGTGAAAGCCTTCCTCGAGGCCTTCTCCGGCTTGATAGATCTCTATCTTATGCTTCCAACAGTCTCTTGGGACGGCATGTGTCAAAGCATGTTGCATCACAAGTCCACACTGAGGCGCCTCATCACACACGGCCTCTGGAGAACAGAAGTCGGCTTCCAGCAAGATGGAGATTTGTTTGGGTCGCCTGAATTTCGACCCCGCATATCCCACGATCCAGGGTTGGAATTTTTGGGAATTTCGGCAAGTATCAGCGAGATGTGTACAATTACGGTACCCACTATCCTATTTCCTCATTTTTGATATGTTTGATATCGAGATGAAATGCCTCGAATGCTTACTTGATGTTTCTCTGGGACAGGGCGATCACGGACTCAGCCCCACTATCGAAGTTCTTCATATCAGAGCAAGTGGACCCATGTTACGCGAACGCATACCAGATAATTCAGTAGCCTATGATGTTTTGCCTTCTTATGCCGAATGGGCTTTTGGGCGGGAAGGGTACTTGCACCTGCAGGTTTTGGCTTACGGGGATTTCTCCCACGACGGATGTTATAACGACTATAATCTTCTTTGGTATAGAACAGGTCGTTATGGGTTCAAGGTATTAAAACCTTCTGATGCGAAGTTTTGGGACCTGGTACAGGAGTACAAGGATGTGTTAGGGGCTTGTGCTTTCGATGAGTTGTTTCTTGAAAGGGGAATACCTCGATGATTGCTAGCATTTACTCCTCTGATAGCGTCGTGCATTCATATCATGCAGAATGGCTCGGGACACACTTTTGTGCTTACCCTACGCTCTGGGCAGCTCAGTCAGTGGCTCGATTTTTATGTAGATGCTGTTCGGTAGTTTACTCATTTCTGGGTGGTATGGCTACCATTCAGCAGTATTATTATATGCAATTAGCCCAGGCAATAAGTACATAATCGGCCACAGTGCAAATGAATAAGGAGTAAAAACCCGAAAGTTAATCCTCTCAATGTAATTTGCCTGTCCTTGACCAACTTCCACCAAACTCCGTTCACTCAGCACTAAGAGCAAGGCACGCGTCTACTGCTAATCCAACCCTGCATTACCAGTGTTAGCTACTCAATACATCGCTCCTGATGTAGAAGCAAGGGACAGCTTACCTTCCACCCTTTATCTTGACCACATCATCAATGACATCGCGGTCAAGATTGGGGAACATATTACACAGAGTCTCTACGACGTTGTTGTGCTCTGCACGATGGATTCTCCGTGCTTCTGCATCCTCAGCGCTGGCTTGACGCGCAGCGGCATCTTGAGCATCCGCCCTGGGAACCTGCGGAGAGGCTGCACTGCGTGGCCTCTCCGCCGATCGCCGGCCTTCGCTGCTATTGCGGGGCGGCTGGTACACGTTCGGTGTCAGTCGTGGCGATGCCCCAGACTGCGTGGGCCGATCCTGAGGGGAGTCTGGCTCATCAGAGAAGATTCTTCCAATGGTCGACAATGGCTTCTGAATGGTCCGCAGAAGCCCTGCTACTGGGGCCGAATCTTCATCGCTAGACTGTGATGCCTCTTTGCGCACGGCCGTGCGTTGCGTGTCAGCAGAGCTTCGTGGCGCGGATTGGGAGCCTTCGGCGGAACGGCCTGAGGTTTGGCGCTCCAAGGTCTCGGACTCGCGGTTTTGCTGGGCAATAGCGGATACGGCAGCTTCAACGCTTCGCTCAAACTCTTCGTCGCTCACTGTTAGGCTCGTTCGGTCCAGTGTCTCGATGAATTGAATCGCTCCCGACTAGAGAGAGGTCAGAATATGGTCGTTATCTAGAGCAGGATTCAGCATACCAGTGATGATAAGTAGTATCCAGCTTCCCCTCCAAGCTTATCCTGGTTGCGGAACCGCAGGATATATTGTATATTCGATACTAGATGTTCGGGATTGGCCTGCAGCACCACGTAGATCAAAAGCGGCACAAAAGAATCGGCAGACGTGTCAGATCTTTTAGAGTTCCTCAGCAAACCTTGAGAAAATTAGCACATATGTCACTCCACAGCCCTTGCATTAAGCCTGCTACCTACCGAATATAACTTTGCAGCAGTTCAAAATGCAGATAACTTTATCGCGAGGAGCCCGATAGCCGTTGATCTTCAACAATTCTGTAACCGGTTAGATAGACGTCGATCGATGAAAAGAGGGCCCATCACATACCCTGCTGAGCTAAATTCAAGAAACGGCGACCGTGAGAGCTCACTGGCGGTATGTCCAGATGCTCTTCTCTAACCCAGCTGTAAATTCGCATCTTCTGAGCGAGAACTTCATCTCGCTCTATATCCTCCTGATGCTGCCCTCGCCTCCATGGGCCATGCATCCTCTCCATCTCGCGCCTTTTGCTTCTACGCGCACTTCGTGGGATTGTGGGCGGACCAGGAATAGCTGGTGAAAAAGTTTGGGAATATAGTCTATTCATTACGAGCTTCTCCATCCCTTCTTTGGCATTGTCGAATTCACTGTCGGACACATCGCGCCATACTTCACACTGAGCCATTTTGTTTGTGATGAACACCAAGAAATCGCTGATAATCTTGACTTGTTCATGGACCATCCATTGTCGCTTCCCAAACTCATGGAGAAATGAGCGTAGAAACTTCGCGACCGGGTCCGCAGTACGGTGACGCAGTTGCTCTAAAAAGCGATGAAAATCAAACGGTTGGTCCGGCTCAGGCTCGGGTGGCGGGGGAATGGTCGATGTCGACGAACGCCGGCTCAATTTGGCCTCGTCGGCAGCAGAACTCTTGGGAACTTTTGCGGGTTGTTTCTCAGCTGAGATGGAAGATGCCCCTGTCGCAGACTTGGGCATGCGCGCGTCGTCAGCCGCCGATTTACTGTGATCTAAACTTGACTGACGAGGTGGAAAGTGGCTCTGTCCACCCAGAAACTGCTCGGCTAGTTCCAGGCGAGGAGACATGATCTGTTCCTGCCCGTCACCGCGCGTAGAGTCTTGGAATTGATCCATAATACTCTGAATTTCCGATTGAGAGTCATTGTCACCACCACCAGTATTCTTCCTTCCGTCTTGGTCGTTTTCAGGCACCTCCGGTAATTCCTTATCAGTCAATTCGATCGCGGGCGAGTGTGTGATTGCGGAGTGAGGGTTTGAGGATACATAAAGTTCGTCTTTCGCCGGGGGTGTAGGAGGAATTTCTGCGTTTGGCAACGTAGCAGGCGCCGGTCTTGCTGTCGTGGTGATAGAAAGCCCCTTCATCCGCTCCGGAAGCGATTCCCGTGGAGGCAACACGGGGTTCGAGGGATCTGTGGCGGACGGCGTCGGCACCGTGCTTGGGGACTCCGTAGAGGTGGCCTTCGCTTCTTTCTGAACGTGCTCCGTCATCTCGACTTGTTGCGCCTCTTGGCTGGTCATCGGCACTCCTGAGGGATCATCCTGTGGCTGCGCGGCAGGCTCGAGGTCAGTCGAGCTCACTTGTTCAGTGGAACTAGAAACGTTGTGAACGGCCGGCTGGGCCTCCCCATGACCACTAGGAGCCGGGGATTCCGAGGGTTCTATCGCAGACATAAGCAACCTGCATGCACGCCAAAATCAAACTAGAAATCAAAAGAGCCTCGTTAGGTAGAAACATGGATCATCATGAGGGGAATATGCGGAGACGTGGTTCCCGGGGCTGCCACGTAATAGGCCACGAATGTCTGGTCAGCTAATATTGGCAACAGACTTTACGGCCCTAGAGTCAATCAGAGTAGGTGTCAGGGAGAAACTGCGGAAATATAGAAAAAAGGGCCCCAGATAGGGGAGTAAGCTCCATCAGCGCCGAGGATGTCAGCCCGCAATCAGCGGCGGGGGATCATCGTTCCCCCGACCTCCGGCTCTCTTCATCATGTTTCTCTTTCCTCTTCCTTGTCTTTCACCTCAACTACGCCCCGCCAGCGTCTCGCTTGCGGCTTGTTTGCTACCATGTGTGGTATTTTCTTTTCTCTAAGCGCATCAGGAGCTGTGCTTCCTAATGAGGAGACTTGCTGCTTGTTGCGGAAAAGAGGACCTGATAACTACCATGTTCATAATGTTGAACAGAAGATAGCCAATACACGGTCAAGCAATGAAGAACCCATTGCTGTTCAGCTTACCTTTGTTTCCACAGTCTTGTCGATGAGAGGAGGCTGCCTTGTTCCCCAGCCACTGGTGGATCTCACTACGCAGTCCGTATTATGCTACAATGGAGACGCCTGGAAGATATCAGGTGAACCTATCCAGGGCAACGATGCGGAGCTGATCTTTAAGCTGTTACTGCAGGCTGTAAACCACCATTCGAAAACAACTTCGTCAGCGGACTCGGGTACGACTGCTGTTCAAGGTGTTCTGGATGTCATCAGTAGCATTTCCGGCCCCTTTGCCTTCGTGTTCTATGATGCGATCAACTCAAAACTGTTCTTCACCAGAGATTCACTTGGAAGACGCTCTCTACTCCAAGGTGTTGATGAGTCAGGGGCCTTTAAGCTGTGCAGTCTCTGCGACGGCACATCTTCGACCCACTTTAGTGAGGTCGAGACAGACGGAGTGTATATGATTGACTTTGAACATGCTATATTCCAGGATAACTGGATCGCAACGAGGAGTGCTGGCGCGCCTTTGTTCGATGCAAGTTGCATACAGACACTTTCTTGGGAACATAACACATCCGATCTTCCTCTTCGTCCTGTATGCACTTCTTCCTCATCCTGATCTTACCTAGCTAACAGAGGTTCAGAGAAACCCCGTCCCTCCAATGAACAAATCCACACCCGATGGAGAAGCTCCTTCACTAACCGTTGAGACTGTCGCTGTCAGGGAACTTGAGCATAAGTTGCGTCAGTCCTTAGCATTGCGAATTCAGAATGTACGAGAACCTCCGACTGCTTCATCAGGGAGCAATGTGAAAGTGGCTGTACTGTTTTCCGGTGGCCTCGACTGCACATTACTCGCCAGGCTCTCTCATGGGATCCTGCCAAAGGAGGAAGTCATTGACTTGCTCAACGTGGCATTCGAAAACCCGCGCGTTGCGGCCGCCGCGGCGGGCAAGGGAGGTGCCACTGGCTCCGTGTATGAAAGCTGTCCCGATCGTATCACCGGCCGGGCGGCATTTGCAGAGTTGCAAAGAGTTTGCCCCGACCGTAATTGGCGATTTGTTGCGGTAGATGTACCGTACGAGGAAACCCTTGCGCATCGTGAGACTGTCAAGCGTCTGATGAGACCCCACAATACCGAGATGGATTTGTCCATCGCTTGCGCATTATATTTCGCTTCGCGTGGGCAAGGGCTGGCGTTCGACAGTCGACAGATCGACGCTCAACCCACGCAATATGCCACTTCGGCACGGGTGCTCCTGTCTGGCCTTGGCGCAGATGAGCTATTTGCAGGATACTCGAGACATGGAGCAGCATTTTCTCGCGATGGTTTCACGGGCCTCATTGACGAGATCAACCTTGACGTCAGCCGCCTTGGAAAGCGAAACCTGGGCCGTGACAATCGAGTCATTGCACACTGGGGTCGCGAAGCGAGGTTTCCCTTCCTAGACGAAGAGTTCGTGTCCTGGGTGGTGCAGCTCCCAGTGTGGGAGAAATGCGGGTTCGGCACCCCTTCCCCACCAACGGATTCACCAGAGGCAGGGCTCGATTCGGAGAAAAAAGCCCTTCGCCTGGTCGCACTAAGACTCGGCATGACGAACGTCGCCCGGGAGAAGAAGCGAGCAATCCAGTTTGGGTCCAGGACAGCCAAGATGGAGAAGAGCAAAGTGAAAGGGACCGATGCACTTACCTGAATAGATTTCCTTTCTTTCCCTTTTTCTCCCTTCAACGCCTCCTCTCCAAAACCCTCCGGTACGTCTTTTGACGTACAACAACATGCCTCCTCCCCCAATCAAATCAACCCAGACCAGCAATGATGACAACTCTGGATCAGATACTTCTGAGACCGCCTCTTCGATCTATGCTCTTCATCCACCACTCTTTCGCTTCGGCCCTCAGGCAGACACGGCTCCAGTAATCCCCACAGCACACTCGTCGCCACATCTGTTCTTTTTCTCACGTGGGAATGCAACCGCCTTTCCATCATCTAGGGGACTCCCTGCACCGTGAACGGAGCGGGATCTCAAGCACTGATGGAAACAGGACCGGTACTTCTCACGCACTGTAGTTGGCGCTTTCTACGAAAGCATTCATATGAGTGTGCTGGTATACTGGATGCCTTTTCCGTTTGTTGGTTGAGCGCGAGGGTATGGATGGTTCGGGCAAGCAAGAGGTTGTTTGTCCATGAAGTAGATAAAAAGGCAAGTCTGAGCTGAGTCGATTGCACACACATATACAGATGCACATACATAAAACACAGAGGTGTAGATAGTTTATGAGTGGCGCTGGCTTGATCAGTGGCCTTGTGTACGATAGTGAAACCTACATAGACTTGGTGCTAGGTATCGAGTGTCATTTCATACTACGTGAACGGTAAAGGTTGAAAGGGCTGGGCCGTGTTATTACTTGTCTTACGTATTCGGTTCAAAGATACCAAGGGTCATGACCAAGAGCTCCAGTTGAAAGGATACGTTGTTACAAAGAAGTCAAGATGCGCATATAAGATACTTTGAATTGGAGAATACCATAGTTCACAGTCTGGTACATAAGCGCAACAATAATAACAGAAAAGGCACTCGGATAAGTCAAGTACACCAGGTAGAAAGATTAGTGGCCACGAGTCAATCCCGATAAGTGGGAGACATCAGAACCGGCCATAGAAACAGAAAGGCAGAACAACCATATAACAGACCCGCAGTATATGACTGGGGATGAATAACTCACAACAGCAGATGCAGAGATGCTGATCTACCGAAAAGTACACGGTGTAAGCTCCATAATGAATGGGCAAGAACGAAAGGAAACTTTTCAACTGTCGGAAGCATCAGTCAAGAGATTGATTGATGCTTCCGACAGGTGGTGACAGGAGGCTCGACGCCCCCGCCCACAGAACCCGCTAGGAGTATGAATAGCACAATGAGCACAATACAGATACCAAAACCCCATGCCATAACCCAAAATGAAAACCCAAGAAACTTTTTAGATCAGTTAGTGCCAGTCTTGGCCATGCTTCGCCAGTACTCCTCGCGTTGCTTGGACTCTTCAAGCATCCGCTCGAGCTCCTCAATACGGCGCTCCATCTCGCCTTGACGCTCAAGCTTGCGAGCGCGAGATTTGCGAGCAGCCTCGGTATTGCGAGCCCTCTTCATTGCGGCGGGGTCGGCAGAGTCAAACTTGATTGGAGGCAACGGCTTGCGCTGGCGAGCATTGACACCGGCCACTGTGGAGTGCTTGGTGCCCTGACGGGATGGGGCAGGAGACGCAGACGGCGCGGGCGAGGCGCTGGCACGGATCACTGAAGTCGGAGGGGGTCCGGTTGCCTTGGGCTGTTGAAGCGAAGCAGCAAGCTCAAGGGCAGCCGAATCCAGGTCCAGGGAAAACCCATCCTGAGGGAACAGACTCTCCCACTCCTCGGGCACAGCGTTCAGATCCTCTCGGTATTGATCTGGGAGATGTGTTCTGACTGAAGAAGCCAGGCGTATCCAGCGGGGGAGTGCTGAGATCAGTGAAAGTCGTCGATGGGGGAGCCGAAGCGTCGAAGAACAGGTCCTTCGGCGAGACGGTGCCCGGAGGGGCCACCTCACCCATCGGGCTGAAGAACGAAGTGTTGATCTGGGGCGAAAGCATGTTGGACTCTGGGGAGCTGAGATCGTCCCCAAAGCGGTTGGACTGGAGATCAAAAAGCTCAGGGAAATCTAGGACTGTCTTAGCACCGTATACATAAGCGTGCACTGCCCATGTGACAGGCTTACCTTGAGCGATGTTCGGGGTAGACATGATGCGGCGATGCTTCAGATATGAAGCGTATTTTCTCTTCAACAAGTTTTGATTGTGCTGATTCACAAAGGCGGAATAATTGACCGTCTTGTCGTTAAATAGGGGGACGGGTGGGCGGTTAGAATGAGCAGTGTTGTTCACTGCAGGAGTAGAATTCGAAGCGGCAGGTGTTGCGAACCGACGCGCAAAATGCTTTCGCAGAGAGGGGTGAGACCAAGAAGACGGAGACGAGGAATATCCGGAAGATTGAGCGGCTAATCTGGCCGAAAGAGGAACCTGGGCAGGCGAGCCTGGAAGCTGCTGATGCAAAGCTGAAGAGTGTCGTCTAACAGGATACCCTGGTTGGACCAGAGAAGGTTGATATGCGGATAATCTAGGGGCAGAATTGATCGGTGCTTGAGCACGCGAGTCCCTGGGTTGCGGCGGGGGACACGGAGCGGGAAAGAGCACAAAGTCCTGCGGAAGGGGACTGGGATTGTTGTTGCTGTTGTTGTTGTCGCTGGGAATCGAATTCACTGGAGCCGATGGCTGTTGAGGCGGGGGCGTGGGAAGCCATGATTGCTGTTGGTAGTCCGTGGTGAACGACGTAATGTCGAACGGGAAAGCGTTGTTTGGAGAACTTGAGCTACGCAAAGCGATGCTAAAGTTCAGAGGTCCTGGAACAGGAGACTCTGAGGGGGTGGAAGAGGAGAGATTAGAAAAAGACGAGGTCCGAAGAGGATCTATGGTGTCTGTCTCGTACGAGAAAGACGTAGCTGGTGCGGGGGAGGCGTTTAGCAGGCCATTTTGAAAGCACGGAGAATCAGACGCGGTATAAGTATAATGCTGTATGGTGACGAGATGGGATAAATGAATAGAGAGATGTGTGGAGTGGGAGAAAAGATGAAGTGGGAGAGAAAGAAAAAGGAGGGAGAAAAGAAGCGCCAGGCAGCGACGGGAAGCCAGGCACTTCTTAACTGTTTGTGTGTGCGGTCTTGCCCGGATCTCGCCGCCAATCACCGTTGACCGGACCCCCGCCCAGTGCCCTAGCCTGATTGGGCATAGTCTATCTTACGCGGTCAGCAGGTGTGAGTCATAGGGCCAGCAAAGCCGGCGATTGGCTGTCAGACCCAATAAAGTGGGGTTTGCAGGAGCCCCAGGCATTCCCGTGCCTGGTGCAGCGAGTCTCAAATTGTCCTCTTCTACAGTGTAGCACCAGGCAGGTACGTGGGCTTTCCTCCATTCAGCCCGCAACGGAAATGTCACTCGCAGGTCACTGGCCCAGCAGCAGCAGGCCCCCCTCGACCTTGGATTCCTGGCCCTTCTTCGACTCCTTCATTCAACTCCACCACTAGACTACTACTGAAGGAGTGTGGGAACAAAAAAAATGAAAAAAATAGAAAAAGGCCGCGCGACTTCTGTGGGTGATGAAACCGGTTCGCACCCGTGCCGCCGACCGGACCCATTGGCCAACCAGCAGGCACCATCACAGCCCGTCGGGGTCTGCATTTGGTGCAGCGCCCGGGGGTGTCATTGGGGCTGAGCCTGAGCCTCAATGTCTCAACTGTCTGCGAATGAGACTTGTCCTGTGTCCATCACTCTCTTGTCCCGTGCGACTGTCACTCCTTTGTGATGTGTAGGATCTATCTATCTAAGCCCTCAACCTCCTGGCTACCGTGTCCTGTCCCGGTTTATTGGGGCCGCAGGAATACGATGCCGCACCCAAGGGATACCAGACACACTGACAGAGCCGGTTTGTGACCAGGGTTTTTTACCCGGTCGGAGGATCCTTTCCCTAATTCCCTCCCCGCCCTGCAGCCCCCTCGCCAAAGTCGCTCGAAGGGCGTGAAATTCCACTTGGGTCAAACTCTATCAAGACACCGAGACGTTCCGGCCTTCATCTGACCACAAATGAGTTTTTAATTAAAACGATACTTGGCGGTCTATGGCCCTAAGAAGAATTCACACAAGTACCAGGGAATTAGATTGAACCCGGTCCGGTCAGATTCAGCAGGAGATTATTTTCTCTGCGACACGGGTGGTATATGGTCGAGGTCGTATTATCTCCGGGGAGAAGCGTCGTATATTCCGGGCGGAGCATAAAGATAACTAGACTATCCGTAAGACTATTGGAATTCCTCATTGCCATTAGTAATGCACGGGACCAACCGGCCCATGTGAAACCTAAAAGTCAATTACCTGCAAACAAGGAAAAATCTCACTTGTGTCCTTTTCCATCCGAAGTTGGCATTTCTAATATCGGGGTCTAGAAGGAGTGAATGGAGGATACTAGGCAACGATTCCGACCTCCAAAACCTGCCTACCATATCCTGCGAAGTCAACCCTCAGTTGACCAGGAGACGGACAATTCAATATCTCTAGATCGCACATATCGTACGTACGTACGTACATGCCTCCTACCGTTGCAACCTGCTTCGAGTGGGGATGCCAATGGGCGTATGCATACATCAGCCGCGGCGCGCGCGCATCTCTGCTGTATGCAGGCCTCCCCAGGCAGCCGCCGGCGATGACGTCTTGTCAAGGAGTCGATGATGCCTGGTCAGCACTACACAGTAGACTAGTTACAAACTCGCAAGAGTAAAACCAAGCTTTTATTTTCGTGTTCATCTTGACTTATGAAATTGATTCGTGCTGCAGGGTACACCTAGCCTGGGTACAACCAGTCCCTTCCATTCAAATTACTAGTCTGGCCTTGCGAATG